GCACTGCGATGAGACCTCACTTGCGTGATCCCATGAATCACCCAACAAGTTCTAGAGGTTCTAAACCTCACTTGGAGAGGTTCTAGATCCTCTCCAACAAGCCAGCCTCTCCCTCCCATCCATCCTCCTCGCCCACCCAACCCAACCCCTGCTCCTTCCTTCTAATCTTCCTGCCCATTTCTCCTCTACCCTTTTTCGACGCGCCTTAAAATTCTAGGCGCCTGATAGATCCTCCCCAACAAGTCAGCCTCTCCCATCCTCCTCGCCCACCCAACCCAACCCTTCTTTCCCACCGTTCTTCCTGTTCCCTCTCCTCTATGTTTTTCTTCGGGCGTCACTTTTGGGCGGCACTTCCCCCCCCTCCCCTCCTCCCTCCCTCCCTAGTCCCCCAAACCCCCCCCAACCCCTCCCTCCTCTCCCCCTCCCCCCCAGGTGGGTCCGTCGTCTCCCCTTTCCCCACCTACATTACATTTGAGAAGACCATCCCCAGATATGGTGACGGCATGAGCTCTGCCAAGGGCGCTCTGGAGAATGACAACCCCCTCCCCGTTCCCCCCCCCCCCCCCCTCCTTCTCCCCCTTCCCCGCCCCCCCTACCCATGACCCCAGGTGGGACCTTCGTCTCCCTGACGTATATTGCCTCTGAGAAGATCATCCCGGGGTACGGCGGCGGCATGAGCTCTGCCAAGGCGGCTCTGGAGAGCAACTGCCACTCATCCCTTGTCCGCTCCCCAACCCCTCCCCTCATACATCCCTTGTCCGCCCCCTCTCCCCTTGCATTCCCATGCGCGCTGCTGCAGGTGGGTCCGTGGTCTCCCTCACCTACATCGCGTCGGAGCAGGTCATCCCCGGGTACGGCGGTGGCATGAGCTCTGCCAAGGCCGCTTTGGAGAGCGACACGCGCGTGCTGGCATGGGAGGCGGGGCGGAAGTACGGCATCCGGGTCAACACCATCTCCGCAGGTACCGCTGCTGTTGCACATTTGTGGGTGCAGTGCGTCAGGATGAGTTCTGAGGCAGTGCGTCAGGACGACTTTTGAGGCAGTGCGTCAGGACGACTTTTGAGGCAGTGCGTCAGGACGACTTTTGAGGCAGTGCGTCAGGACGACTTTTGAGGCAGTGCGTCAGGACGACTTTTGAGGCAGTGCGTCAGGACGACTTTTGAGGCAGTGCGTCAGGACGACTTTTGAGGCAGTGCGTCAGGACGACTTTTGAGGCAGTGCGTCAGGATGACTTCTGAGGCAGTGCGTCAGGATGACTTTTGAGGCGCCTCAGAAATTGTTGCACACTTGTGGGTGCGGTGCGGTGCATCAAGATGACTTTTGAGTCGACTCAAAAGTCACCACATAGTCACGCTTACTGTAAAGCATCACTGCTGCGGGAACTGCTCGCCACAATCAAGCAGGCAAGCAGGTCCTCGGTACAGGCTAGGCTGTTGGATTAGTTGACAGGATGTTGCTCCACCACCCCATGTTACATGGCCTCTGCGCAGCCGCGCGGCCAAGGCAGCTGGCTTAATCGGCCAAGGCAGCTGGCTTAATCGGCCAAGGCAGCTGGCTTAATCGGCCAAGGCAGCTGGCTTAATCGGCCAAGGCAGTCGGCTTAATCGGCCGAGGCAGTCGGCTTAATCGGCCAAGGCAGTCGGCTTAATCGGCCAAGGCAACGAGCTGGATGGCGACGAGGTGGATGGCGACGAGCTGGATGGCGATGAGGCGGGTGTCACTCACTGCCGCTGACTCTCCTCTTGGCTTACCCCCTCCAACCGCCCCCATCCCTTTCCTGCAGGTCCTCTGCGCAGCCGGGCAGCCAAGGCCATTGGGTTCATCGACAACATGATCAACTACGCCGCTGCCAACTCGCCGCTCCCCAAGGAGCTGGACGCCGACGAGGTTGGCGCCACTGCCGCCTTCCTCGCCTCGCCCCTGGCTTCGGCTATTACTGGAGTGACACTGTATGTGGACAACGGGCTCCATGCCATGGGCGTTGCTGTTGATAGCCCGGCCATTGCCAATGCAGGAAAGGAGTAGGCAAAACAGGGAGGCCTTGTAATGCCACTTCTTATGACAATGTCTTTCTAGATCTGTTCACTGGAGTTGTTTCCTGGAGTTGAGTGAAAGTGCGATGGGGAATACCAGTTTTGACACAGGTGTCATCACACAAGTTGCTGCCACGTATTGACACAGTGGCACCTATCTGGTGTACAATTGGACTAAAATCTGGAGGCTTTGTAATGCCACTTCTTATGACAATTTCTTGCTAGATCTGTTCACTGGAGTTATCTCCTGGAGTTGAGTGAAAGGAGGATGGGGAATAACAGTTTTGAGAGTTGGCAGACTTCGCTGATCCACTGCACTTCCTTTCCTTGCTGCATCCTTTGCCATGGCCAACACCGGTGCTATGCTACAGTGACTACGGGTTTCATGGTATGAGTGTGGATGTTAGCAGACCAGCTATTGTCAATGCAGGCAAGAAATAAGCTCATTTCGCATGTTTAAAATTTAAAAATTTCCACAAATAAGATTTCCTGCGAAGATGTTTTGCAACGGCGTCTGTGCTGAAGAGAGCTGTCTCAAAACTGCAGTTCACATTTACTCGAACTACCATTACCATGAAACGTCATTTATTCCATAGGAATGCAAAGGCAACTCCTTATCGTGCACCCGTCACTGAACAACTACCTTAGCTTTCATCTTCCTAGCACAGTGATTACCGACCGCACACCCAAAATAAAGGGTCGAACCCTTCTGAATATCTTTCACATTGTAGAAGTAGTGGGCCCCAAAAATCCCCGTTTTAGGATATAGCTTGGTCGCAAGGGAGAAGTCGCAGTTGTCGTACGCGATCTTCGCGGGAAACTGCCAGACATCGTGCGGCCCCAACCACTTGAACACTGCGAACATAGCGGGTGGACAATGTGAGTGGCGAGAGAAACACCAACAGGACGAAATGAAAGTGCAATTTTGCGCCCGTTTACTCAAATGATACTGGTATGTAGACTAACCCCTTATAAAATGCAGGGCAAATGTGGAATAGAAACATAGAACAGCTTGGTTGGCACTTACACAGCTGGTCGCCTGGTTGCACTGTCCGAAAGGGCTTCCATCCAGAGATTCCGTACCTCCATGGAGTAATAATACCATACCCCACTATAATGGTCTTGGACTGGGGGGTGGGGGAGAGGGGGAGGGGGGGATGACTATGAAAGGTGAATGTTTTCCAACAAAACCATATAGAAATACCATTCTAGAAGTTGTGGGCAAATGCAGCAATTTATTTTGTCATAGTTCAGCAGAGAGGTGCATCTAGAGAGGAAGCGGGAAGGGGTGCAGGATATAGCAATAACAGGAATCCTCGCTCTCCCAAACCAATCGTTCGAACAGACTAACAGGAGAGGGCCCTGGTGCGGTACCTCAGCCAATGCCGCGCCTGCAAACAACAACGGGCGAAAGTAGAAACAACGTTTTTTGGTTAAATTATGGCATGAGCAAACCGAATGGTACACAATGACGGCAGCAAAGGGATACTAAACGAGCGGATATATCCTAACTACGGACTTACTCGAAAGTAGGAAGGCGAGCAGAACCCATCCGACAGCGATCGTGTTGGAAGACCTCGTCATGGCGTCCAGCTCAGTTAAAAAACAGCTAACGGGTATGGTGGAAAACAGAGCGTGGCGCTCTGAAAACAAAGCAGGAGTTGCACGAAAAACGGCTAAGAAAAATGTTCATACGACATGAATTATTTATCGTAGGTACAATTCTGATATGGCAAGAGATAGCGTAGCTTGTATTCCTCGAAACTGGCCAGGCGACTGATTTCCAATCGCTCTGAGGGGCTCACTACTCGAGACAGGAGGGAGGTGCGCTGCAAGAGGCTGCGTCAAATCGAGTGAAGTTCGCAGGTCGGTGTCGTCGCGTCGGTACGGTAGGATCATTGTCAGCGGGCTGTGTGTTGTACTGGACTGTATTGTAAGGAATGGAATCGAATGGGGAGGTGCAGCATGCAAGGTTTTGTGTGGGGCGGGGCTGCTTGAGCGGTTGGCTGGCAGGCTGCAAAATGCAAATTGCATATTTTGGAATTTGGTGCAAGAAATGGCGACGAGAGATGCGCGGCCTGTTGGGGGTCGACGTGGCGCTGCTATGGAGTTGACACGATGTGAATGGTGGCATCCTCTGTAGTAGCTCGTGTAGCTTCCCACTATGAAAAATCTCCACCCTATATCCAAGTGGGAAGCAAGGGTGAGAATATGTATTTATCGAAAAGCGTTATTCGTGAATCGGAATTTATCATAGGATCCTCGTATCTGTGCATCGCTGAAGTAAGGTGCTAATGGTGTATGGATGCCCCAGTTGTAGTTATTCATGCATGCCCAGCACTGTCACGTTTCCTAAAACGAAGGTGCGTGACGCTTCGAATGGGAAGGTGGGCAAGTTCCCACAAACGAGAGCACCGCCCAGCCTTTCATTGGTTATTCCGCTGGCGAGGGGGGAGGACCGCCAATGGCGAAGCAGCACAGAGTCGTCAGGGCCTCCCCCTGCGACGCTGCCGTCTCGCCTTCACCAAGTTGTGCGAGTGCGACGTCGCATGCCCTTTTTTAACAGAGCTGGGCAGGGCACTGGGCAATGGGTTGGGGCACCTTCTAGTGACGTCCCGGAATCGCTGTGCAACAATCTGTACCGTCAGGAAACAAAACAAATCACACTTGAACGTTCTGAAACGTATTTTGCGAGTCAAGGGAGTGGGAATAGGACTCCCAAGTCCTGATATGTACTGTATACCCATTCACCCTCCCGTCCACCCTCTGCCATTTTCCCTCTAGATTCACAGTGCCACTCTCTTCTGCTGCAGTCAATGACCAACCTACTTCTGATTACGGTTGAATGAGGTGCTTCGTTTGTAAGTGCAATAAAAAGAGTTCGAGTATGGTTAAGAAGGGTAACAAATGAAAACCTACACTGGGACATGGCTTTTGTACCACCCCCCAACCACCATCTCACATAGCACAGTGCATCAGTAGCAGGCCATTCCAGAACAGCCATGGCGTATCCTTTGGCTTTTAGGTGCACTCCACTTGCACTCTAGTGCTCAAGGCGACTCGCTTGGTCACTTATCCTCGGCAAAATCGCCTGATAAGAGCTTCCTGGTATTTCTGATCCTCCAGTCATCCCCTATTTTTTGTGAAACAGCTATCCTCAGCCTGCACTGGGTCTGGAGGGTCCTGCAGCTGTATGCGACCTTTATTTTTCACTCGACGGTTTTTGGCCCTTTTAGCGTAGACTTCCCTCGGGTAGTCTCTGGAGATATTACTAGTAACTGTAGATAATAGACAGTTTATTCCTACTCTTGCCTGATTCATATCTCACGCCGTGGCCTGCAGTTCTTAGGCTCTCTCGCACGCTTTTGCAGTCGCGTGGACTTCGTGCGATGGCGTCGTCCATGTCGGTCGCCGACGTCGCAGCCTTCGCAGCGTCGTCGCTCGTCGAGTTCGCAGAAGTCATCGTCATCGCCGTCGCCACGTCCGTCCCCGTCGCCGGCCTCTGTATAGGCGTCCCCGTTGTCCGCATTATCACCGCGTGCCTGCGCGGGCAGCGTACGCGTTTTAATTACATCCGGTGGTGGCTAACGTGCGCCGTGTCGCTCCTGCTGCTCGTTAATCTCCTCTTCCTAGCGGTCGGCATCGGCGCGCTTTGGCTGCAGATGCCGCCTGATCCGGCCGCCATGTCCAAGGGGACGTGCCGCGTCGTTTCCGCAGGTGAACAAAGAAATTATTTCTGCCTCAATGTTGAAGCCAAGTGATCGTTCGGTCTTTCCGTCATCCCTCCCCCTCTCCCCACCCCGACTTCCCCCCAGCCCGTCCCCCACCCCCCACACCACCCCCCCTTCCCCCCAGTCCCTCCCCCCCATCTCCCCTCCTCTCCTCTTAACGCTTCTCCCCTTGTTTACTCCTTTCGTTTTCTATCACTGCCCACGTGATCGCTTTGTACGCTTTACCCTATTTTCCCCCTCGTTCCCAAACTGCCCATTATCTTTTCCCCCTCGTTCCCAAACTGCCCATTATCTTTCCCCTCGTTCCCAAAATTCCCCATTATCTTTCCCCGCCAATGTGATTTTTTAGTCGACTCAAAAGTCCCCTCTTTCCCCCTCCATTATCTTTCGCCGCCTCCTTCGTCTTCGCCAGGCGTGGATTTGCGATCCGTCAAGCTGTGCACCGTTAACGACACCTCCTCCTCGTCCTCGTCGTCGTCGTCGTCGCCCACCTGGTTACCCTCTTCGCCACCCACCTGGCAAGCCCCTTCGCAGGCCTCGCCGCACCCCTCCTCCCGTCCGTTCGCCACTCAATCCTCGTCCTCTCCTTACGCCTCCCCTTCTCCTCCTTCCTCCCCCAACCACCCCTCTTCCGCGCACGTCTCCTCATCCTCCTGTCACTCCGCGCCTCCTTCTTCCCCCTCAACCGCCTCTCCTCCCTTCGCCTGTTCCTCTCCCCATTCCCCTCCTGTCTCCCCCCCTCCCCCCAACTCCCCCTCCTCCCCCCCCTCGTCGCCCCCTTCCCTCTCTTCCTCCCTTCTCTCTCTCCTCCCCCACCCTCTCCTCTCCGTGCTCCCCCTCTCCCCCTCCGCCACGCGCTGCCACTTCACCTACTATTGGGCGGCTTTAATCCAGGTGATTTTTTCGTCTTGAGACGTCTCAAAACTACACTTTTATCCCCGTTTTTCTATTTTGTCAACAAAATAATCACCCTCTCCCCCTCCGTGCTCCCCCTCTCCCCCTCCGTGCTCCCCCTCCCCCTCTCCCCCTCCCCCTCCCCCTCCGCCACGCGCTGCCACTTCACCTACTGTTGGGCGGCTTTAATCCAGCTGGACCTCAACGTCTCCTTCCACTCGCCGTCCAACACGTGGCGGTCGATGCGTCAGCAGAAGCGGCTGAAAAGTCAACGGAATCAAACGGAGTCTGTCAAGGCCGGGAAGCAGGACAGTGCTGCGTCAGCGTCAGGGGGCGAGCAGAAGGCGCACTGGGGCCAAGAGAGCATAACCACCATCCGCACCACCACCACGCTCCCCGACCCACTGTCGCTCTCGCTGCCTGACTCCAAATGCCGCCCGGATTTCAACGCCGCGTGGCGCGCGAAGGACAAGTACAAGGTGAGCCACGCCACCTACTGCCATTTTCGTTGCCGTTGCTGTTGCCGTTGCCGTTGCCGTTGTCATTGTCGTTGTTGCCTTACAAGGTGTCTCTCCCGCACAGGTGTGTTAGTAATCTCGTTTCTGAGACGACTCAGAACGAGATTACTAACACGTGTGTAATGAGTCGATTTTTGAGTCGACTACTAACACACCTATGAGGTGTCCCTCCTGCACAGAATGCATCTGCCCGCTCTCTCTCACCCGCTCTCTCTCACCCCCTCTCTCTCAGCCCCTCTCCTCCCCCTTCCTCCCCCCTCTCCTCCCCCTTCCTCCCCCCTCTCCTTCCCTGCACCTTTCAACCCCCCTTCCTCGCCTCCCACCCAGGTGGCCTCCCTGCACAGGTGCCTCTACGACCCCCGCCACCTGCACAGGGTGCACCTGCCCCCTCTTTTAACTCCTCCCCCCCCCCCATGCTCAGTACATGCCATGTCTTCCCTCCATGGTGTCTCCCCCCCCCCCCCCCTCCCCTCCCCCCCCCCAAGGTGGCCTCCCTGCACAAGTGCCTCTACGACCCCCGCCACCCGCACAGGGTGCACCTGCCCCCGCCCCGCTCCATGCGCCAGTGTCCGCCCCCTGCGCGCCAGGGGATCTTCATTCACCTGGCTGCAGGCGCCATAAACAAATGGTGCGTGGAGTGACTGGGTAGGCTGGGCTTGTAACGTTCGTAGGGCTCTCAAGAGCCACCCGCACAGGGCGCACAGGGCGCATCTGTCCCCTGCGCGCCAGGGGATCTTCATCCACCTGGCTGCAGGCGCCATAAACAAATGGTGCGTGGAGTGGCTGGGTAGGCTGGGCCTGTAACGTTCGTAGGGCTCTCAAGAGCCACCCGCACAGGGCGCACAGGGCGCATCTGTCCCCTGCGCGCCAGGGGATCTTCATCCACCTGGCTGCAGGCGCCATAAACAAATGGTGCGTGGAGTGGCTGGGTAGGCTGGGCTTGTAACGTTCGTAGGGCTCTCAAGAGCCACCCGCACAGGGCGCACAGGGCGCATCTGTCCCCTGCGCGCCAGGGGATCTTCATCCACCTGGCTGCAGGCGCCATAAACAAATGGTGCGTGGAGTGGCTGGTCGGCTGGGCTTGTTTCGTGAGTGGAGTGGTTGGGTCTCTAGGGTTTGTAAGGTTCAGCGTGGGTTTTGGTTTCGGAGGGCAAGCCATATCTGGGTCTCAGCCTGGGCGTGCTCCTGGGGGTGGCCTGCTGTGTTGGCACCCCCTCAGAACGCACGTCTCTGGCCGCATCGTCATCACCTTTCCCCCACCGCCTCATCTCCCTTCCTCATCCCCCATTCCCCTCCCCCCCCCCTTCCTCCCCCCCCCCCCCGCCCCCCCCCGGGCCCGAGGTTCTTTTCTGACGAGTCCATATTCCAGCCCTCCTCAAGCGTCGGAAAGCTCTACCTGGGTCTCAGCCTGGGCGTGGCGTGCTGCGTCGGCACACATGTGTTTGCCCGCATAGTCGTGACCCTCGGGCCTCGTCCTCCCCTCCTCATCTCCCTTCTCTCCGCAGGTTCTTTTCAGACGAGTCCATATTCCAGCCCTCATCGTCGGTGGGCAAGCTCTACCTGGGTCTCAGCCTTGGAGTTCTCCTGGGGGTGGCGTGCTGTGTCGGCACACACGTCTTTGGCCGCATCGTCGTTGCACTCGACTGCTTCCAGCCCCCTGCCTCCTCCCTCTTCGTCTCCGCTATTGAGGTAAGCAATCCCTCTCTCCTCCTCTCTTCACAACACAGCTCATCCCTCCTCCCCTCCCCTCCCGCCCCCCCAACTGGGCCACACACACACACCCCCCATCCGTGCAGGACCCTCCTCAGGTGAGCCGCGGCCTGCGCATCACTCTCATTGGGAGGCACCATACACTGCACACAAAACCACAACCTAACGTTTGAAAACCCGCCCCACCCCCCACCCCCCAACCCCCACTACCTCCACCACCCCACCCACCCCCCTCACGCACTCACCCCTCCTCAGGTGAGTCGCGGCCTGCTCATCACTCTCATCGGCAGGTGCCATGCAGCAGGCAGCGATGGAAGGTGGGGGGACTGGAGGTCTCTCCCATAGCATCGCTCACATATCTCCCCTCTGCCTCCCCACTCCCCTCTCCCCCCAGGTGAGTCGTGGCCTGCGCATCACTCTCATCGGCAGGTGCCACACACTCGCAGCAGGCAGCGATGGAAGGGAGCAGGCTGGGCGAGCTTCTCAAATCCCCAGAGCGAGCTCCAGCAGAGGGAGCAACAGTGGCAGTGGGGACGGCAGCGGTGGCGGCAGCAGCGGTGGTAGCAGTGTGCTATACCCACAGGAGCCCTCCCCTGGGTCACTTGAAACAATCCGAGGATTCTGCCGCCCTTCCTTGGTGGACGGCCCGATTTTCTCCAAGAGGCACTCTCACCGCTCCCAAGAGCTCCCCCGCGCGGCAACCTCAGAGCTCCCCAAAACTGGCTTTTCCCCTGAGGAGCTTGACGATCTCCCAGAGAGCATCCTCGGCTGCTTCTGCCCGTCTCTTGTCGACAGCCCATTCCTGGCCAAGAAACACCTGAACCGCTCACCTGAGCGGTCACCTGAGAGGTTTCCTGGGCGGTTACCCAGCCTTCGGCGCTCGTCCAGCTTAAGCCACAGCCTGAGCCATTTTCTGGCACCAAGGGCAGATGTGGAGCCGCTTTCGCTGGGCCAGCAGGCGGAGCAGGCACCTTGGCAGCAGCCACAGTCACAACTGTTTAGGTCACAAGAGCAGGAGCAGGAGGTGAGTCCGGATGCATGGCAGTCATGCTCTGTGGCGTCGCGGCGTCCAGCAGTGGCAGAAGCTCCTGCAGGAGCACAGCTGGGTGATGTGGGTGGTGTGGGTAGCTGCTCTGTCACACAAGATTCTGTGGCCGCTGTTCAAGAGGCAGAGCAACCACCAGGAGTTCCGCCACTGTCACTCTTGTCGGCAGCGCCCTTGCCACCAACCCAGCAACTGCTACCAGCAGCAGCAGCGCCATCAGCTTCATCAGCAGAAGCATCATCGTCACCACCATCACCATCACCATCACCATTACCATCATCATCAGGAGTGGTTACAGGACTATTAACGCCATTGTCGGCAGAATTTTCTGGATCCGATGCGTCATCATTACGGTCTGTTGCCAGCTCCGGACCGCAACAACGCTCCAAGGTTGTTTCTCCGCGTACCAGGCGATATCCCTCACCCACCTTCCTACTCCAGGCCCGTGCTCAAGCGTTGTGTTACATCGCGATAACATGCGCGGTTATTGGGCTCTTGGGCATTCTTCACGATACAGGACTAGTGCCGTTTCTAGATCCCTCGGGCTCACCTGTGTTTTTGCAAGGGATCAATTCCTTGCTTCAACATGGGGGTTTGCCTTATGCCTCTGCGGCCACTTTCGACGGTTCCTCAGGTGTTGCCTCTTCTTCGGTTTACCGAGTCCAACCACATGGATAGGGTCTACAGTCATGAAATGTTAAAGAAAATTGCATGGCGGGCATAGGACTTCCATTATGCTTGTATATTATGGCAATGTAGCTCTCCTAAGAGCGATTGACTTGATTTGCTAAGATGTTACTATGCCATTATAAGTTTTTACCTTCTTATACCCGTTACAGTTTTTTGCCCCAGAACCCATTACCCCTATAATTGTCGCGTCCCTGTTCTGGGAACAGTTTGCCTGACCTGAAGCGCGGGGAAGACCTCGGTTTCCATCCATGACCTGGTTCGGTGGTCCGTGCTGAGTCAGCGAAACGGGCTCTCCTCCAAAGCGAAATCCCCACGTGGTCATCAAACCACCCACTTTCACTCTCATTGGTCCGTTTGAGCATTTGAAACCGCGTCATGCTGTCGAGCCTGGCGCGCAGTTCGAGAAAATCTTGCCGGGCACGCTTCCGCCACCTTCGCCTGACCACACAACCAATTTCCTTGTTCGAGACGTTTCTTCCTTGGGGTTTCATGATTCATCCATCGCCGGGGCAGGGCTGCAGTAGCACCCCATGGTTGGTGTTCAACGAGGTTCCTCAATCCCGTGGTGTGGCTCGTTTGGCTATTTAGTCCTCCCCCAGAGCTGAATCCCATCATTCTCGAGCTAGGTTCCTTCAACAGCTTTTCTCACAATTTCTACTCGTTCTCGACCCCAGAGCTCCTGCTTCTTTGGTAATCGCCGTCTGCCACCATGCAGATCTTCGTTAAAACTCTCACCGGCAAAACCATCACCCTTGAGGTGGAGAGCAGTGATACCATTGACAACGTTAAGGCCAAGATCCAGGACAAGGAGGGTATCCCTCCTGACCAGCAGCGTCTGATTTTCGCTGGCAAGCAACTGGAGGATGGCCGTACTCTTGCTGACTACAACATCCAGAAGGAGTCTACCCTCCATCTGGTTCTCCGACTTCGCGGTGGCATGCAGATCTTCGTGAAGACTCTTACTGGCAAGACAATCACCCTGGAGGTCGAGAGCAGCGACACCATCGATAACGTCAAGGCGAAGATTCAGGACAAGGAGGGTATCCCTCCTGACCAGCAGCGTCTTATTTTCGCCGGCAAGCAACTGGAGGACGGTCGCACGCTCGCTGATTACAACATCCAGAAGGAGTCGACGCTCCATCTGGTGCTTCGTCTTCGCGGTGGCATGCAGATTTTCGTCAAGACTTTGACGGGAAAGACCATCACCCTGGAGGTTGAGAGCAGCGACACCATCGACAACGTGAAGGCCAAGATCCAGGACAAGGAAGGCATCCCTCCCGACCAGCAGCGCCTTATCTTCGCGGGGAAGCAGCTCGAGGATGGTCGCACGCTCGCCGATTACAACATCCAGAAGGAGTCTACCCTCCATCTGGTGCTCCGTCTTCGCGGCGGCATGCAAATTTTCGTGAAGACTCTTACCGGCAAGACCATCACCCTGGAGGTTGAGAGCAGCGACACCATCGACAACGTGAAGGCCAAGATCCAGGACAAGGAAGGCATCCCTCCCGACCAGCAGCGCCTTATCTTCGCGGGGAAGCAGCTCGAGGATGGTCGCACTCTCGCCGATTACAACATCCAGAAGGAGTCTACCCTCCATCTGGTGCTCCGTCTTCGCGGTGGCATGCAGATTTTCGTGAAGACTCTTACCGGCAAGACCATCACCCTGGAGGTTGAGAGCAGCGACACCATCGACAACGTGAAGGCCAAGATCCAGGATAAGGAGGGTATCCCCCCTGACCAGCAGCGGCTCATTTTCGCCGGCAAGCAGCTCGAGGATGGCCGTACTCTAGCGGACTACAACATTCAGAAGGAGTCGACCCTCCATCTGGTGCTGCGCCTCCGTGGTGGAATGCAGATTTTTGTGAAGACCCTCACTGGCAAGACCATCACGCTTGAGGTGGAGAGCAGCGACACCATTGACAATGTCAAGGCTAAGATCCAGGATAAGGAGGGTATCCCTCCTGACCAGCAGCGTCTGATCTTCGCAGGGAAGCAGCTCGAGGATGGCCGTACCTTGGCGGATTACAACATTCAGAAGGAGTCTACGCTTCATCTGGTTCTCCGCCTCCGTGGTGGTCAGTGAGTGACCACCAGCTTAAGCTGGTTGCAGACATGAGCTGTGGTGGTTCCTAATGGTTGTATAACTTCTGTGTTTACTGTATACAATCGTGGATTAATTTTGAGTTGGCCATCACAGCTGAAATTGTCTTGCATTGGTGCGAAGCCAGTTGATAACTAACCAGTCTCGGGCAGATATGGTTGCATCTCTGTAAGCAAACGATAATGCTAAACTTTTCCCCCTCCTATCAACTGACTAGCAAAAGCCATCTGAGTGTAAACAGTTACTGATAGTTAGCAGTAGCACTACTGATGACCATGAGATGAAAGGTGGAAAACGATTTCAATTGAGTCTCATTGAAAACCATTAATCCTGCTGCCACAGCTAGGATAAGTAAACAGCTTCACATTGCCAGTGGCATACTTGTCATTACAACTTACACATGTGACTAAGCTATGACAGACAGAACACCATGTTCCCCCATCTGCCTCCAGGCCGGCCTCATCAGCGAACACATCGACCATTCTAACTCTCGAAAATGACCGCATGTTGACCACTACTGGTAGTTACCATATTAAGGATCCATTGACAGCACCACTTGTCCCCCTTTGTGGCTCCAGAGCAACCACATTGGCTCCAGCCGCTGCATCACGATGCAATAATACCCCCTGTCTTCTCCCGCTGCGGCTCCTCAGCCACCGCATCAGCTACCACGTCCACCTCTCCCACTCCCCGTCCAAACGCGAGCTCAAATATTTCATCGTAGTGGTCCACAAACCACGCATCCAGCCCCTGCCTCACATGCTCTGGCAGCTCCTCATAGTCCTTGCGGTTGGCCTTAGGGAATACCAGCACCTTCACCCCGTTGCGCCTGGCAGCGATGGTCTTCTCCTTCACCTGTAGAGGGGGGGATGAGGAGGAGGGGGGGGGGGGGGGGGGTGGAGACAGGAGGGGTAGAACTCATGTTCTCTGGCAGCTCCTCATAGTCCTTGCGGTTGGCCTTAGGGAATACCAGCACCTTCACCCCGTTTCGCCTGGCAGCGATGGTCTTCTCCTTGACCTGTTGGAAGGGGGCGGGGGAGGAGGAGGGGGGAAGGGCGAGGCAGGAGGGGAAGTGTGCACGCGCTCCGGCAGCTCCTCATAGTCCTTGCGGTTAACCTTAGGGAATACCAGCACCTTCACCCCATTGCGACGAGCCGCTATGGTCTTCTCCTTGACCTGGAAGAGAGAAGGGCGGGGGAGGTGGGGATGGGGGGGGGGGGGAAATGAGAGACAAAGTGCTTGCGTGCTCTGGCAGCTGCTCATCATAGTCCTTGCGGTTGGCCCTGGGAAACACGAGGGTCTTCGCTCCATTGCGACGGGCAGCGATGGTCTTCTCCTTCACCTGTAGGGGGGAGGAGGACCGGGGGGGGAAGTGGAGACAGGAGGGGTAGAGCTCACGTTCTCTGGCAGCTCCTCATAGTCCTTGCGGTTGGCCTTAGGGAATACCAGCACCTTCACCCCATTCCGCCTGGCAGCGATGGTCTTCTCCTTCACCTGCGGGATGAGGAGGATGAGGAGGAGGAGTGTTGGGGGGTGGGGAGGAGAAGAGGTAGAGGTCCTTGTAGGCTTTGTTTTTCGCCTTGGCAAACACGAGGAGTTTGACTCTGTGACCGCAAGTCAACATAGGTCAACTCCAGCAAAGACTGACCCCTCCTACCGGCGGCACTCTGCCAGTCAAAGTGACTTCTCCAGTCATCGCCAGGTCTGCCTTGACACGCTTCCCCAGCGCCAGCGACAGCATGGCGGTGATCATGGTGCACCCGATCCAGCCCCCACCCCACCCAACCACACCAGAGTACTCACCCCTCCTATAGGCAGCACTCGGCCAGTCAAGGTGACCTCGCCAGTCATCGCCAGGTCTGCCTTGCCTGGACATGCTTCCCCAGCGCCAGCGACAGCATGGCAGTGATCATCGTGCACCCAGCGCTCGGCCCGTCCTTGGGCGTGGCTCCGGCAGACACTACCATCAAACCCCACCCCACCCAACCACACCACCAGATTACTCACCCCCCCGATAGGAAGCACCCTCCCTGTAAGAGTGACTTCTCCAGTCATCGCCAGGTCCGCCTTCACATGCTTCCCCAGCGCCAGCGACAGCATGGCAGTGATCATCGTGCAACCTGCGCTCGGCCCGTCCTTGGGCGTGGCCCCGGCCGGCACGTGCATGTGCATGCGCGTCTTCTTGAAAAAGTCATTCCCAGGGTCGGCTCGGCCCAGAATCTGCCGGGCCACCGTGTGGGCGATGGTGGCACTCTCCTTCATCACGTCGCCCAGTTGCCCGGTCAGCTCTAGACTGCCTCGCTCTCCTGTCTGCATGCGAGTGATTGGGGAAGGGAGGGGGGAGAAGGGGGGCAGGGGTGTGAGAAGGGGCGTCATTGGGCGTGACCCCGGCCGGCACGTGCATGTGCATGCGCGTCTTCTTGAAGAGGTCGTTGCCGGGGCCAGCTCGGCCCAGTATCTGCCGGGCGATGGTGCCGCTCTCCTTTGTCACATCGCCCAGCTGCCCTGTGAGCTCCAGACTCCCACGTTCTGCGGTCTGCCAGTGGTCAACACAACAGGGGAGAGGAAGGGGATTTTTGAGTCGACTCAAAAGGTGATTTTTGAGTCGACTCAAAAGGTGATTTTTGAGTCGACTCAAAAGGTGATTTTTGAGTCGACTCAAAAATCACAGGGGAGAGGAAGGGTCACTGTGGGTGAGTATCTGCCGTGCCACCGTGTGGGCGATGGTGGCGCTCTCCTCACCACATCGCCCAGCTGACCGGTCAGTTGGAGACTGCCTCGCTCAGCCGTCTGCGAATGGGGGAGGGAGGGGGGCGGCAACAGAAGAGACAGGGTGAGGGGTCGGCGCGGCCCAGTATCTGCCGTGCCACCGTGTGGGCGATGGTGGCACTCTCCATCACGTCGCCCAGTTGTCCAGACTGCTTTGCTCTGCGGCCTGCCAGCAGTCAACAGGGGAGGAGGGGAGGGGTCGGTGCAGGTGAGTATCTACCGTGCCACCGTGTGGGCGATGGTGGCACTCTCCTTCACCACGTCCCTCAGATGCCCTGTGGGCTCCAGACTGCCTCGCTCTGCCATCTGCAGGGGGGAGAGAAGGCGAGCAGAAGCAGAAGTGAGGGAGAGGACCTGGTAGGATCAGAAGCAGCAGGAGCATGCACACACACACGCAACCCTGCCTGTCCAGCCACAACGCCGATCCCACTCACCTGTTCGGTCACCGTGGCTTCCACATAGGGAGTAGACCTCCCCATTGCCGTCCAAGCCAGCCAGCCCCATCACCACCCCCACCGGCGTCTCATCGTACATGAGCTCACTATGGACTGGAACACCGGCTGGCTCAAGAGGTATCTTTGGAGCAGCAGTCTCACCTGTTTGATCACTGTGCCTTCAACGTAGAGAGTCGAACTCCCCATTGCCGTCCACGCCAGCCCCATGACCATCCCCACTGGCATCTCATCGAACATCCTCTCACTTTATAACACCATCTGCCCCACATGCTCCACCAGGGCCCCCTCATCTATCACTACTTTATACCTCTCCCTAGCCTCATCCTATCACCATTCTCACCTGCTCAATGACCGTGGCTTCCACATAGAGAGTAGAACCACCCATTGCCGTCCACGCCAGCCCCATCACCACCCCCACTGGCGTTTCATCGTACATGCGCTCGCTCTGGAACACCGGCTGCCCCACATACTCAACCAGGCCCCCCTCATCTATCACTATCCTATCCTTCTTCGTATCAGCCTCCTCCCTGTCCTCACCCTTCCCCCCCTCCTTCTCCTCCTTCCCTTCCTTCTCCTCTCTCTCTTCACCCTCCTTCCCCTTGGTCTTTCCCCCCTTCTTCTCCTCCCACTCCTTCTTTCCCTCTCCCTCCTCCTCGCCCCTCCTCTCCCCCTCTCCCCCATCGCCATCATTCGACAGCCGTGTCACTAGGTCCAGAGCCCCCTCCGTCCCCTCCATAATCTTCTCCGCTATATCCATACTATCTTTCTTGCTGCTGCTGCTGCTGCTGCTTCCAATGCTCTCGCTGCTGCTAGTACTGCTCGTGATTGCGCCTGTCTCTTCCACCCCAACCTCCAGTAAGCCTGCTGCTGCCGCCTCTGCTACCTTCTTCTGCTCCTCCCTCTCCCCTTCCCTCCGCACTATCTTCAGCGCCACCTGTGAGGCAAAAACGGGAAGGGCGACAGCGAATAGCGCAATGAGAGGTGAACACACATAACACCACTCGCCTTCCTCTCCTCCCTCTCCCCTTCCCTCCGCACTATCTTCAGCGCCACCTGTGAGGCAAAAACGGAAAGGGCGACAGCGAATAGCGCAATGAGAGGTGAACACACATAACACCACTCGCCTTCCTCTCTTCCCTCTCCCCTTCCCTCCGCACTATCTTCAGCGCCACCTGTGAGGCAAAAACGGAAAGGGCGACAGCGAATAGCGCAATGAGAGGTGAACACACATAACACCACTCGCCTTCCTCTCCTCCCTCTCCCCTTCCCTCCGCACTATCTTCAGCGCCACCTGTGAGGCAAAAACGGAAAGGGCGACAGCGAATAGCGCAATGAGAGGTGAACACACATAACACCACTCGCCTTCCTCTCCTCCCTCTTCCCTTCCCTCCGCACTATCTTCAGCGCCACCTGTGAGGCAAAAACGGAAAGGGCGACAGCGAATAGCGCAATGAGAGGTGAACACACATAACTCCACTCGCCTTCCTCTCCTCCCTCTCCCCTTCCCTCCGCACTATCTTCAGCGCCACCTGTGAGGCAAAAACGGAAAGGGCGACAGCGAACAGCGCAATGAGAGGTGAACACACATAACACCACTCGCCTTCCTCTCCTCCATCTCCCCTTCCCTCCGCACTATCTTCAGAGCAACCTGTGAGGCAAAAAAGGAAAGGGCGACGGCGAATAGCGCAATGAGAGGTGAACACACATAACACCACTCGCCTTCCTCTCCTCCCTCTCCCCTTCCCTCCGCACTATCTTCAGCGCCACCTGTGAGGACGCTGGGGATAGGGGGATAGGGGGAGGGGGAGGGGGAGGGGGAGGGGGAGGGGGAGGGGGGAGAGGGGGTGTTTGATTGAGCCTGCTTCCTCTACCACATCCTAGCCTGTTTCCACTTTTGAGGCGCCTCAAACCTAGACTTCCTCTACCCCATCCTCCAGTAAGCCTGCTGCTGCCGCCTCTGCTACCTTCTTTCTCTCCTCCCTAGGAGACAGGGAGAAGGAAAGAAAAGAGGAGTGTGATGAAGCAACGATGGACGAACAAGGCCGATGATGACAACAACAGGAACAATGGAGAAAGACAACTCTAAACAACCCCCTGACTGACCTTGCGGTAGATCCTCTCGACGTGCTTCTGCAGGTTCCGCACTCCCCTAAGACTATTGTCACATGGCATTCCGCCCAACCACCAACCGCCCGCACTACAGACACACCTTGCGGTAGATCATGGAGATCAGTCAACTACAACCTACCCCTCACAACAGACACACCTTGCGGTAGATCCTCTCAATGTGCTTCTGCAGGTTCCGCACTCCCGCCTCTCTGCAGTAAGTCTCGATAAGAGAGTGCAGCGCACTGTCTGTAACGAGGACCTGATGAGTCCAGGGGGGAAGGGTAAGAAGGGTGGAGAGAGGAAGAGGTAGCTGGGGGGATGACTTCATAATCAAATGAAGAGTGGAGCGCACTGTCTGTGACGAGGACCTGGTGAGTCAAGGAAGACATTGAACGCGGGGCAGGGAGAGGTAGGAAAGACGCTGACAGAAAGTAGAAGGGGAAAAAGGTGGTTCCTAATAAGAAGGCAGCGTTGGTTTTTTAATATTCCCAAACACCAGCACACTTCTGGGAGGTATTGGGTGTTGCGGCAGCGAGGCAAGAAGGCTGGAGTGTGTGTGTGTGTGGCTGTGTGAGTGTGTGTGTGTGTGCGCGCGCGCACACGTGCGTGCATGAAGAAATAGACCTTACCTGCTCTCCTCCACGCCGCACCCAGTGCGAGCTGCTAGCTCCAGGTACCCTCTTGCGATGTGGGTCTTCTCATCCGAGATGTACCCCACCAGAAGTGCATCTCTATGCGCATGCATGTATGTGTGTATGTGCTGGGCACAGGGGTGTGTGTGTGTGCATCTGTGGATGCGGGCATACCTGCTCCTCCTTCAAACCGCACCCAGTGCGAGCCGCTGGTTCCAGATACCCCCTGGCAATGTGGGTCTTCTCGTCCGAGATGTAACCCACCAGGCGAATCACCTCCATACGGTCCAACAGGGGGGCAGGGATGGTCTCGAGCATGTTGGCCGTGCACACAAACAGCACCTGCGAGGGGAAAATGAGGCATGAGGCATGTTGGCAATGTGGGTCTTCTCGTCCGAGACGTACCCCACCAGGCGAATCACCCCCATGCGGTCCAGCAGGGGGGCAGGGATGGTCTCGAGCATGTTGGCAGTGCACACAAACAACACCACAGAAGAAACGAGGGGCGAGGGAGGCCAAGAGGGCAGGAGAGGGGTCAGTAGCAGTGGGGCGAATCGCCCCCATGCGGTCCAGCAGGGGGGCAGGGATGGTTTCCAGCATCCTGGCCGTGCATAGATAGAGAGTGGCATACCTTTGAGAGGTCCAGCGGCACGTCGAGGTAGTGGTCGAGGAAGGACGAGTTCTGCTCCGGATCCAGCATCTCCAAGAGCGCTCCTGCTGGATCGCCCGCATGGCCGCGACCAAGCTGGGGGGTTGGGGATAGGTGACGGGAAGGCAGGTTGAGCGAGGTAGGGAGAGGAAGCGGGGAGAAGAAGGTGGGAGACAGGTCTGCTAGAATATCTGGAAAGCATAATTGGCTCCAGCAAATACGTCAGGTAAACTAATGCGGGCGAAGAAATGTACGAGAGCGAGGTACGAATGTGTGAGAGTTCTTTGGCAAGCACGCATGCATTTGTAGCTTGCTCGCTAACCAATCTTCGCCCTCGTTAATCTGCCTGATGTATTTGCTGGAGCCAATTATGCTTTCCAGAAATCCAAGACCTGTCTCCCATCTTGAAGCACTGCACCATCTTGCTTGCCATATATTCCACCTCCCCTTGCCTCTCTCCCCCCCCCCCAAAATGTTGATACCTAGCTTGCCCATGCTGTAGACTCACCCACCTTGTCAATCTCGTCAATGAGCACGAGTGGATTCGCCACACTTGTGGATTTGAGGCACTGCAGTCCGCCTTGCACATGCTGTAAACCCACACACCTTATCAATCTCATCAATGAGCACGAGAGGATTCGCCACCCCGGTGGACTTGAGGCACTGCACCATCTTGCCTGGCATTGCCCCGACGTACGTGCGACGATGGCCCTGCGGGGGGGAAGCAGGGAGGTGAAGAGGTGCGTGGGGGGTGGGGGGAAGGGGGGATATACACGCTAGTCTTGCGGCACTGCACCATTTTCCTGAGCATTGCCCCCATACATGCGATGGTCACCCTACAGGGACAGGGGGAACATGAGAGCAGTAGGAGCAGGGGATGCGGGAAGGCAGATGAGGAGCAGGGGAGGGTGTATACATGCTTCCAAGTCTCACCTTGATGGGCTCAAAGAGGATCAGCCTCACCTTGATCTCTGCCACGTCAGGGTCCTCACCTTGATCTCTGCCACGTCAGACAGCCCTCCCACTGAGAACCGGTAGAACTTGCGGTCCAGGGCGTTGGCGATGGATCGTCCGATAGACGTCTTGCCCACACCGGGGGGGCCAACCAGGCAGATGATCTTGCCTGGAGGGTAAGCAAAGTGGGGGGTGGGTGGGGGGGGAGAATCAGCACATGTCAGCGAAGAACAGGTAGAACTTGCATTCCAGAGAGTTGCCCATGGAGCGACCTATGGACATCGTGCCCATGGAGCGACCGATGGACGTCTTGCCCACCCCTGGCGAGCCAACCAGGCAGATGATCTTGCCTGCACACATGCATCAATCAAGGTGCATGCCGTGGGCATTGGGAGGACTGAACTGGTAGGACTTGCGGTCCAGGGCGTTGACAATGGATCGAGCGATGGATGTCTTACCCACGCCTGGGGGGGTACCTAGGCAGCTGAATTGCGTGCACACATGCATCAAGTCAAGGCACATTCGTCGGTCAGTCCAGAGTGGTACATGCACCCATGCACACACACACCCATGCACCCATGTACCCATGCACACACACACCCATGCACCCATGCACACACACACCCATGCACCCATGCACACACACACACACCCACACACCCACGCACCCACACACACACACACACACACACACCCACACCCACACACACACACGCACCCACACACCCACACACCCACACACCCACGCACCCACACACACACACACACACACACCCACACCCACACACACACACGCACCCACACACCCACACACCCACACACCCACGCACCCACACACCCACACACACACCCCTCCCGTCTCTGCAGCACCCACCCACATACCATGCGTACGCCCCTTAAGTCTGCCTACGGCAATGAACTCCAGAATCCTCTCCGTCAGGCCGAAGCAGTCCTCATGCACACCCACCCACCCACCCTCTCACCCACCCACCCTCACCCACCCACCCTCTCACCCACCCACCCTCTCACCCACCCACCCTCTCACCCACCCACCCTCTCACCCACCCACCCTCTCACCCTCTCACCCTCTCACCCACCCACCCCTCCCCTCTCTGCACCCACCCACCCACCCATCCACCCACCCACCCACACACCCCTCCCCTCTCTGCACCCACCCACCCACCATGCCCACCATGCGTGCTGCCCAATGAACTCCACAATCCACCCCTTCACGTCCGACAGCCCATGATGATTCAAAGCCACACACACTCATCATCACACCCACGCCCTCACACCTTCACACCCACACACCCACACCCTCACCCTCACCCTCACCCTCACCCTCACCCCCTCACACCCACACCTAAACATGGGCTTTAACACCAAGCCGGCTCGGCTCGGCTCACTGAAGCCGAGCCGCCGGCTCGGCTCGGCTCGCGGCTTCACTGACGCCGAAGCCGAGCCGAGCCGAGCCGAAGCCTGGCTTGGCCCGGATCGGCTTCGGCGCGGCGCGAAGCCCAGCCATGTAACTTAAAAAAAAGGGGGGTTTTAGGCTAGGAGGTGGTGGCGTGCTTAGCTAGGTGGCGGAAATTGCGTGAGTTACGGCGCGCTGTTTTAGGTCTTGTCGCAAATGGGGAAGGGAGTCGAGGGGGAGAGAGTGGAGCAATTGTGAGGACAGGTTGGAATTTGTAGACGAGGGGGAGTTCAGTGCGGTGAAAGGGTGGGAGTTGGCTGCCCTTGAGCTGCCCCACGGCAATGAACTCCAGGGATGCGCTCCTTCACGTCCGTCAGCCCGTAGTGGTCCGTCCGTGGGTACCTCCCCGTGTAACACCCCCCCCCATCACACCCACCATGCGTGCTGCCCTCGAGCCGCCCCACGGCAATGAACTCCAGGATGTGCTCTTTCACGTCTGTCAGCCCGGAGTGGTTAGACATGGATGAATAAACACGCAGACCCCCCCCCCCCCCCCACCCCCCCTTGGATCACCTATCCTCCCACCGTGTGTGCTCCCTTTGAGCTGCCCCACAGCAATGGACTCAAGGATCATGATTCTCTCTTTCACGTCCTTCAGCCCATGGTGGTCCAGTCGTACAGATACACACGCATACTCATCATCACACCCCGACACTCACACGCATACTCATCATCACACCCCGACACTCACACGCATACTCATCATCACACCCCGACACTCACACACATACCGTGAGTGCTGCCCTTGAGCCGGCCCACAGCAATGAACTCCAGGATGCGCTCCTTCACGTCTGTCAGCCCGTAGTGGTCCGCAACGACACACTCACCCATACCCACTCAAGCTCACACTTACCATGAGTGCTCCCCTTGAGCCGCCCCACGGCAATGAACTCAAGAATCCGCTCCTTCACATCCGTCAGCCCGTAGTGGTCCGCATCCAGCACCTGCTGCGCACGCACCACGTCCAGGTTCTCCGCACTGGGGGAGGAGAAGCGGAAATGTGAGAACAGCGAGAGAGGAGAGGAGCTAGAAAGCGTGAGTGAGGATGGGTGCGAGTAGTGGTCTGCATCCAGCACCTGTTGCGCATGCACCACGTCCAGGTTCACTGCACTGCAGAGCAGCGGGGAGAATGGGGAGGGAGGGAGACAGGAGGCGCAGATGAGCTTGGGTGCCCGTAGCGGTCCACATCCAGCACTTGCTGAGTGCGCTCGCACCACGCGTGAGGAGTCTATTTTTTAGGCGCCTCAAAACTGAACGCGCACCACGTCTAAGTTCACCGCACTGGGGGAACGGTGGAGTGTGGGATGGGGGGAATGGGTTCTCCGCACTCAAAAATAGACTCCTCACGCATGGTTCTCCGCACGGGTAAACAGCAGGGAGAATGGGGACGGGGGGAGAAAGGAGGTGCAAATGAGCTTGTAGTGGGGGACCATGCACAGCACCTGTTGCGCATGCACCATGTCCAGGTTCTCCGCACTGGGGGAATGGACGGGGAAGGGGGGGATAAGATAAGGGTATGGGCGGCGATGTTAGCATCCAGTGTAGCACGCACACCCCATCCCCAAGGCCGAGCTACACACCTCACGGCCCCAAGACACACACACTATCAACCTCGCCCCCCCCTCTCTCCCCCCCCCCCCTTTTCTTCACCTGTGGGTGTGGTGCCACCAGGAAAGGAGGTGAATCAGTCGAAGTAGCTCCGAATCACATTGACTCTTCGAGCATTCCTCTGCTCTGCTCTGGTGTCCCTGCTCCCCCACCCCACTCCCCAACAACCATTCTGTTCCCCCCCCACCTGCATGAGGAGTCTATTTTTGAGGCGCCTCAAAAATAGACTCCCCACTCCCCCCCACCAACCATTCTGCTCCTCTCCCACCTGCGGTGCTTGCGAGTTATCCAAAACCAGCGCACCCTTCCCACTCCACTTCTGAGTCGACTCAAAAGCGACTCAAAAGCGACTCAAAAGCGACTCAAAAGCGCCTGCGGTGCTTGAGAATGATAAAAAACCAGCTCACCCATCCCGCTCCACCAACGCACCTGTGATGGCCCCAGGGGATGGACGAGAGCCAGTCGAGATAGTACCTGGTCACGTTGAACTCCTGTGAGCTCGCCTCCAGCCCCTGCAGCTTTGATCATTATCATGGTTTAGATCCCCCTCCCTTTCCATTAACGCCCAACCGTCCCTCTGCTTTTGAGTCGACTCAAAAGCCGCCCAACCATCCCTCCCTTGTCATGGTTTAACCTGTGCAAGCCTCACCCCTTCCCCCCCCAGCCGCACCTGTGATGGCCCCATGGAATCGAAGTGAGCCAGTCTAGATAGTTCCTGGTCACGTTGAACTCCGATGAGCTCGCCTCCAGCCCCTGCAGCTTGGCAATCTCGTCCTCTATCACCTGCAGCGAACGAGCCGGCATGATGACAATGGGTGCATCATGGGGAGTTTGTTTCGGGGAAATCGCACATCGTGTCACAACCAGCCCCTGCAGCTTGGCGATCTCGCCCTCTATCACCTGCAGCGAACAGTATGAAGATCAATGGGAAGCAGTGCATGTGGGTGGGCACGTGTCAAGGTTGACACGTGGCAACGTCCAGCCCCTTGCAGCTTGGCGAACTCGTTCTCAATCACCTGGAAGGGCAAAGTCCAGCCCCTAAACCCTGGGTGGCATCGAACACCAGCAATACTGAGACGCGCCACTGCTTTAAGTCAATTGTGCAAGTCAAACTTTGAGGCGGCCTCAACAATCAGCTGGGCGACCATGGGATACGCTAATGCTGTAGATCGATTGTGCATGTCACCTGCAGGGCGACTTTTGAGTCGACTCAAATGTCACCTCGTTACAATCAGCTGGGCGATCATGAATGTGCTAATGCTATAGATCGATTGTGCTAATGGATCGATTGTGCAAGTCACCTGCAGGGCGGCCGGCGGGCAGTTCTTCTGAAACGGCTGAAGCTTCTCCCTGAACCGACCTGAAGGCACACGCGCGGAGAGGAGAGGGAAACAAGAGAGAACCCCAAGGAAGGGAGGGATAGGGGAAGCGACAGGGCAGGTAAAAGCGTCCTGAGCACGGAAGTGAGGCAGGATGAAGAGAACGGCATAGAAGTCTATTTTTGAGGCGCCTCAAAAATTGAAGTCAATCACTGAAGGAGAGTGACGATGGAGAGGAAGGGTGAAGCAAGAACATATTCATTGGCATGGCAGGACAACAGCAGCACCGCACAGCATGGCACAGCATGGCATGGCATGGCATGGCATGGCAATGCATGGCATGGCATGTCCGACCTATGAGCGCAGTCTTGTCGTCCTTCCCAATTCCCAGCTTCTTCGTGTGAATTTTAGGTTTGTTTGAGACGTCTCATAAGTAAACTGGTACGAAATGACGCGGCATGGCACGGCACGGCACAGCATGGCTGACCTATGAGTGCTGTCTCGTCCTTCTCAAGCCCCAGCTCCTTCTTGTGAAGTTTGGGTTTGAGACGTCTCATAAGTAAACTTATATGAAATGACACGGCATGGCATAAACTTAACCACGGTTTGATACGTCTCATAAGTAAACTTATATGAAATGACATGGCATGGCATAAACTTAACCACGATTTGATACCTCTTATATGAAATGACATCTATGAGAGGCTGGCATGGCTGACCTATCAGTGCAGTCTTGTCGTCCTTCTCAAGCCCCAGCTCCTTCTTGATCGCTTTGAGCTGCTCCATCAGCATGTACTTGCGGTTCTCGCCAGCTATCTTCTCCTCCACGCCCTTGGCTATGTTCGCCTGCATTGAAGGGGGGGGGGGGAGGGGGGAGGGGGGGACGGTGGGGGAGTGTCGAAGAGGAGGGGGAAACTATTTTTGAGGCGCCTCAAGAATAGACTCCTCACGCAGTGTCGAAGAGGAGGGGGAAACTATTTTTGAGGCGCCTCAAGAATAGACTCCTCACGCAGTGTCGAAGAGGAGGGGGAAACTATTTTTGAGGCGCCTCAAGAATAGACTCCTCACGCAGTGTCGAAGAGGAGGGGGAAACTATTTTTGAGGCGCCTCAAGAATAGACTCCTCACGCAGTGTCGAAGAGGAGGGGGAAACTATTTTTGAGGCGCCTCAAGAATAGACTCCTCACGCAGTGTCGAAGAGGAGGGGGAAACTATTTTTGAGGCGCCTCAAGAATAGACTCCTCACGCAGTGTCGAAGAGGAGGGGGAAACTATTTTTGAGGCGCCTCAAGAATAGACTCCTCACGCAGTGTCGAAGAGGAGGGGGAAACTATTTTTGAGGCGCCTCAAGAATAGACTCCTCACGCAGTGTCGAAGAGGAGGGGGAAACTATTTTTGAGGCGCCTCAAGAATAGACTCCTCACGCAGTGTCGAAGAGGAGGGGGAAACTATTTTTGAGGCGCCTCAAGAATAGACTCCTCACGCAGTGTCGAAGAGTAGGGGGAAACTATTTTTGAGGCGCCTCAAGAATAGACTCCTCACGCAGTGTCGAAGAGGAGGGGGAAACTATTTTTGAGGCGCCTCAAGAATAGACTCCTCACGCAGTGTTGAAGAGGAGGGGGGAACTGGGACATCAGCACTCATGGCTTTGAGCTGCTCCATCAGCATGTACTTGCGGTTCTCCCCGGCTACCTTCTCCTCCACGCCATTGGCGATGTTCGCCTGCGAACATAGGAAGCGGAGAATATGGGAGGACCACGGAAGGGGGAGCGCACTGGGAGGTCTTTTGAGGGTCGCGTGTGGGGGGGGGGTACATGCGGGAAAGGATTTTGGAGCGACTCAAAAACCATCTGTCATCTTTTAGGGGCCACGTGGGGGGGGCATGTGGGGGGGGCATGTGGGGGGGCCATGTGGGGGGGCCATGTGGGGGGGGGGGGGGTTACATGGTGACGGGGTGGACCATGGGGTGCCGGGGGGAATGTACATGCTGCAACGCGGTTCTTTCCAGGTATCTTCTCCTCCAGACCCTTTGCTAAGTTGGGCTCAACCCACGTAACCGGCCTACGTGCACTGAACCGCACAGCAGCACACTTCACCGCACCACACCTCGCCAAACCCCGCTCCTCACCGGCAGTTTGGCGAGCTCCAGCTCCTTCTTGAGCAGCATGAGGGCCAGAATCAGGCGCACACCTCAACACACACTGCGGTACGCCGCATGGCACCGCGTACCACCTGACTACAGCACACCAAACCGCCTCATACTGCGTCTCACCTGCAGCTTTGCGAGCTCCAGCTCCTTTTTAAGCAGCATGAGGGCGAGGGTCAGACGCTTGCCCACCTGGGGGTTAGGGGACGAAGGGGGGGGGGAGATTGACAGGGGGGGGCGAGATTGACAGGGGGGGGGAAGAGGGGGTGGGGGTGGGGGTGGGGGTGGGGAGGGGAGTGGGCGGGGGTGAGGATGATGAGGCAGGAATGCAATGGAGGGGAGAAACAAGGTGCAAGAATGGGAAGAGGTGACTTTTGAGTCGACTCAAAACGAGGTGACTTTTGACTTTTGAGTCGACTCAAAAGTCACCTCGTGAGGATGATGAGGAAGGAATGTAATGGGGGGAGAAACAAGGTGCAAGAATGGGAAGGACACACGCAAACGAATGAGGCGCCTCAAAACTAGACTCCCACCACCATGCACTCAGAATCGGGTTGACAATGCAGTGATGGCGCAGTGATGGCGCAGTGATGGCACAGTGATGGCGCAGTGATGGCGCAGTGATGCTGCAGTGATGCGCAGTGATGGCGCAGTGATGGCGCAGTGATGCTGCAGTGATGCACAGTGATGGCGCAGTGATGGCGCAGTGATGGCGCAGTGATGGCGCAGTGATGGTGGTGATGGTGGTGATGGTGGTGGTGCTGTGAACTTACATCCAGCTCTTCCAAAACTGCCTGCAACGTGGGTTCATCCGCAGTGGTCAGTGCAGCGCCAAAGTCCGCCATTCTTGACGCGTTGAACTCGCCCACGTGCTGCACGAACATGGCGATGTGCTCCTTGTAGAGCGGGTTGTGCCTCACGAGGTCCTTGAGCGTGCTCACGACTTCCATCACTGTTGCCTTGATCATCACGCTGTTGCTGTCGTAGGGCAGATCCTGGCATGGTGTGGGGGTGTGGTGCGGTGCGGTGTGGTGCGGTGTAATGAGAAGGGCGGAATTGGAGAGGCACCAAGGTGAGAGCAGCAGCACGAGGTCCTTGAGAGCGTGCTCACCCCTTGATCATCACACTGTTGCTGTCGTAGGGCAGTTCCTGGCATGGTGAGGGGTAATGTGGTGTGGTGTGGTGTGGTGTGGTGTGGTGTGGTGTGGCATGGCATAGAAGGGAAGGGACAAGGGATAAGGGTGGGGGGGGGGAGCCCAAGGGTTCTGCCTCACGAGGTCCTTGAGCTTGAGCGTGCCACCACCTCCATCACCCTGGGGCAGAGAGTTGGTGTCGGAGCAAGATTTTTTTCTAAATCAACAGTGTTCTTCACCCCGCTGCCACTTATGGCTAAAACCACCACCAAGTGGTGTTCTCTCGGTCCTTGAGCTTGAGCGTGCCGCCACCTCCATCACCGTGGCGTTGACCATCACACTGTTGCTGTTGTGAGGCAGATTCTGGGGTGAGGGGGAAGAGGTGGTGCAGTGCAGTGCGGTGGGGTGGGGTGGGGTCGGATGTGGTGTGGTGCAAGGCGAAGGGGGGAAAGGGGGGAGGCACCGAGGTGAGAGCAGAAGCTCGGGGTCCCTGAGCGTGCGCAGCTCACCACCTCCATCACTGTGACGGGGCCGTCCTCATCCACCATGCCTGTGAGCCACATGCCACAAATCGTCCAGAGTCGCATGCTCACACAACCATCCCCATCACCACCCCCACAACCAACCCCACAACTACACCACCCCCACAAACACCCCCACCACCTCCACCACCCCAACAACAACCACCCCCACCAGCCCCACAACCACCCCCACCAGCCCCACAACCACCCCCACCTTGACGTGGTCCACGGTGACTGTGAGGGGGTCCTCCACCACAATGCCTGCGAGCCATGCGCCATAGACCACACACATTACCAGCACGCACACACACTACCAGCACACACAACACCCCCACCTTGACATGGTCCACAGTGACTGTGAGGGGGTCCTCAGCCACCATGCCTATGAGCCGCATGCCATACATGCGTGCCACACAAGCAGGGCGCTCACACTCACTCACACACTACACGTTCCACATCTGTTATAGTCACCCCCACCTTGACGTGGTCCACAGTGACTGTGAGGGGGTCCTCAGCCACCATGCCTGTGAGCCGCAGTCGCCGGTGCCCCATCAGCAGCACTTGAGCCGAGTCCCCGTCCAGTGGCTTGATCACTTGCATCACCTGCAATAAGGGTATAGCAGCAGGAAGGAAGGGAGAGGAGAAGAGGTGGTACGGGGAACGTGGTTCAGCAGCACTTGCACCGAGTCCCCGTCCAGTGGCTTGATCACCTGCATCACCTGCAATAAGGGCATGAAGCAGGGAGGAAGGGAGAGGAGAGGGAGTTGCTTTTGAGTCGGCTCATAAGTCACTTGATCACCTGCATCACCTGCAGTAAGGGTATAGCAAGAGGGGAGGGAGTGCGGTAAAGGGAGGGAGGACGAGGCGAATCACCGCCTCCCCCCCTCTGGTGCTCGCCTAGCAGCGATAAAGCCCCTGGATGGTGATTCAGCAATTTTTGAGACGCCTCAAATTGTTTTGAAGTGCCTCGAATTGTCTTGAGGTGCCTCACATTGTTTTGAGGTGCCTAAAAAATACTCCCCCGCCCTCTGGTGCTCGCCTGGCGGCGATAAAGCCCCTGGATGACGATACGGCAGAAGGAGTGGTGGGCTTTAGCGCCGCTAGGCAAGCACCACTCCTCCTCACCGGGAAGCACCACTCTGCTTTTGAGTCGGCTCAAAAGAAAACTCGGGAAGCACCACTCTCCCTCACCTGAGCGAACGTCCCTGTCTGATGTGGCCTGTTGCACAGCTCAGCATGGCCCTTGATAAACCCCTCCAATTTCCCTCCACGCCCCGTCGTACCCCTCTAAGCCCCTTCGTACCCCTCTAAGCCTATCTCAACCCAGCCTCCCTCACCTGAGCGAACGTCCCTGTCTCATGTGGCCTGTTGTACAGCTCCTGGCCCTTGGTACGCAACTCTCAGGACCCCCACTAGCACCATTACATCCGTTCTTAACCCATCTCAACCGACCCTCCCTCACATGAGCGAACGTCCCTGTCTCGTGCAGCCTGCCATACAGCTCATGGCCCTTAATAAACCCCTCCAAAGTCCCCTCCACACCCCTTCGAACCCCTCAAAGCCTATCTCAACCCAGTCTCCCTCACCTGGGCGAACGTCCCTGTCTCGTGCAGTCTGTTGTACAGCTCCTGCCCCTTGATAAACCCCTCCCCTCCTCCACCACCTCCCAACTCCCCCGCCCCCTCCCCCGCCCCCTCCGCTCCCCCCCCTGCCTCCCCCGCCGCCCCCCCTTCCCCTCCGCCTGCCATGGCCCCGCCCCACTCCTCCTCCACGCCGTCACTTCTCTCTGGACCCAGCTCCCGCCGCCCAACGCTGCCGCTGCTGCCGCTGCTGCTCGTGGCTGCATTCCCGCCCACTGCTTCTCCTGCCCCTCCTGAAGGATTAGCACCCGCAGCGGCAGCAGCAGCAGCAGCACCGGCAGCGGCGGTGTGTTCGTCCTTGACCAGGAACGCACCAACGTACGGCGTCCCTTGCGCCTTGAGCGCCTGCAGCGCCTGCACCAGCTTGGGGTTCTGCAGGGGGGGGAACGGGGGCCGTAGAGCGAACGTGGGGGAAGGAAGGATGGCGGGGTTGACAATGGAGCCAAGGGGATGCGACAATCCAAGCCCATGAAAGACTTTTGAGTCGACTCAAAAGTCAGAACGTGGGGGAAGGAAGGATGGCGGGGTTGACAATGGAGCCAAGGGGATGCGACAATCCAAGCCCATGAAAGACTTTTGAGTCGACTCAAAAGTCAGAACGTGGGGGAAGGAAGGATGGCGGGGTTGACAATGGAGCCAAGGGGATGCGACAATCCAAGCCCATGAAAGGGAGCCTACCCTGTCTGTACCCACCACGCATACTAATCGGGAGATAGCACATACACCCCACCAGCCAGCGCATACACCCCACCTTGACTGTAACGGGGACGTAGAAGCCAGGGAATAGCGGTCTGCGCGTGAGCGGAATCGCAAGCACTTTCGGAAAGTGCTCTGGGCGCGGACCCGCGGGTACAATGGACGTCTCTTCACCATCCCCCGCCAACCCCCCTTCCCCCGCTGCGCCTTCCCCCATCACAAAATCCGCTCCGCCTCCCGCGGACGGGGCAGGATTCTCCCCCCCGCCATTCCCCGCCAGCGCATTCTCCCCCTGCGCAGCCGCCGCCTCCGCGTTCGCAGCCGCTGCAGCGGGAGCGGAAGAAGCGGAAGACTCTCCGGTGATTTCCGTGGCGGCCTTGATCCGCGAATCACGCCGCCTAAAGCGGCCGCGCCTCGCGCCATGGTAGCCTGCATGCGTGACGGCATCTGCTGCTACTTCCTCCCCCACTGCTTCCGCCGATGCCTCGCTTGCGGCCTCCCCCGCCGCTTCCCCCGCCCCTTCCGCCGATGCTTCCGCCAAGCGCGCGGATTCCCCTCCGCCTTCCGCAACGGCCTCCGCCTCCAGGCCCCCTTTCACTGAAGCCCCCTTCCCGCCTGCGTTCGCCGCATCCGCAGCTGAATCCCCTTCCTTACTTCCTGTATTACTTCCCTCCCGGGAATCTCCGCCGGAATTTGCGGAAAAGCCGCGGCTCCATGCGGTTCCGACGGCGGCCTGCGCCTGATCCCAGAGAAGTAAGACTCGGTACTGGACCGGCTGCAGCGAGCGGTGCGATGCGGAAGGGTGCAATGCGGTGCAGAGGACACGATCTAGGCGCCGTGGTAAGCACGGCTTTAGAGCTGCCAGCATGGCAGCTAGGGAAGTAGATACTAGCGCAAACTACTGCCTACAAGAATGGTCGACCAGCCCACCAGGGTGTAACTTATTCAATTTTGACGGAAGTTCGTAGTCACCACTCTGTACCGCGGTTCAGATTGCCTGTAGCCTACCAAAAGTGTTATTTACCGCACTAGAAGTTCGTACTGGAGGCTTGTTCGTACCCCAAGTCACACGCCCCAGAGAGTGCTGGGTTTGGTTTGGAGGTGGTGGTGGACCTAAGAGAATCACTTAGCTAAAAACTGCTTGCAACTGCTCCAGTTGCGTGAATCACAAGTGAGTCCACGTGGTAGGATCCAGATGCTCCTGACGAAGCGCCAGAATGTTCGAGTTGGCGAAGAGGTACTCCGATAGAATTTAAACCACTATCCCTATAATAGCTGAAGCTCGCGGTTGATCACTTGAAAAAGTGATCTCACATTCGGTTTGGCCTCGGGTGGTAACCGTCCCTACACGTAGGCGAAACACCCAAATTTCGCGCCACTTTCTGTCCATGGACTGCCGCGAGGAAGCCCCTGCGAGGAAGCTCCCGCTAAAATGGCTGAGCCGGCCCCTGCAATGTGCAGATGTTGGCCGACGGTTGATATGGTAACCGCTCGTCAGAGGCGAAAATCTTGTAGCCAGCCAATCAACGCCCCCGAGACTCGTCCGCCCAGCTTCGCCGAGGTCTCGTCGCACGAAATCCAGCCAATTCGCAGCAACAGTCCCTTTCCCCGCTGACGCGGATTGTGATGTCAGACGTTCGGGTCAAGCGCGTCGCTCGGCTGACTAGGAGACGTTTCTCGAAACCAGCCGGAAATTCAGCTGGCTCCGGTGCCGCTGATTGGAACAAAACTCTCCGAACTCACCAGTACCCACCGCTATTCACCACTGCTCATCACTACCAACCACTAGATAGGTCCCCCGAAACCCTGAATGTACATCTTGATTGCCTGCCTGCCTGCCTCAGGAGAGAAATGGGCATGGGGGAGATAGGCATTACAGTTGGAAGATAGTACAGAAAACGAGAAGTTTGCCTGTCTTCCTGACTCAGAGCAACTGCCTGACTTGGAACAACCGCAGCATTTTGGAAGATAGCCAGCAGCAGAGGTGTTAGACGAAACATCAGCCAGACAAGAGTGCAAGGCCGGCTGTATGCATGTACATAGCAACGACTGCAGTTTCCATTACGCTCAGAGCTGGTTCCCATTGAAGTGGATTCATATTCATCCAACTAATCGTCTAAAAGACACATAGTGTTAGTAGCCATCTGTCTCTTCCAGACAGTTGTCTCAGCTCCGAGAGATTCGGAATGCGCGCTTCGAAGGCATAGCTAGCCTCGCGCGTTTTTAGACTTCAAATCTGTTTGCATTATTGACTTAACGTTGGCGCTATCGCGACAGCAAGTTAATGCTAGAAACCATGTGTCCGTCTGAGTTTAAACCCCTCGGATCCAGCATTCGCAGCACAAACACCGGCGTCGTCGGTGTGATAAGCAGCTGCTGGTCCACGCTAACTCCCGGAAAGCTCCTTCCAGGCGACGTTATTCTTAAGCTTCGGTCTGTTTGCGTCAGTCAGTGCCATGACGCACATCCGGCGATCAGTCAAGTTCGCAGCCTGCGGTTGCTGGTTGAGATGGTCACAATGGGATGTGCCGTTGGCGCGTTCAGCGGAAGAAAGGCTATTCTGACGGTGCTTCGAGGGACCAGGTAGGGCCATCATGGACGGTAAATACCGTCACCATCGCATCAGTCTTTTCTTCTTCTTCTTCTTTTTTTTTTTTTTTTTTTTTTTTTACATATATATAATTTCCTGCGGCACGTTCGTCCGTCATGTCTTGTGCTTGAAGAGTCGCTGAGATCCTTACCGTTTCCCTCCCTCCTGTGCAGCAAACTCGACATAGCGGTGGATATTTCGCCGTCAGCCCTACTAGAAGTCGCATCTCAAGCCATTGCGGCTGAAGCAGCGATGTCCGGTTTCCCGTCGGTCCTGAGATTCGACCGTCCGTCTCCTTCCGGTTCAGGCATTTTCCAGGGTGTGACTATAGCGGAGGGCAGCCACGAGCTGTTCGCTCCGCTCGCCAGACGAACAGAGGCCACGATTCTCCGCGCCGAGCGGGTCAAAACGCTGAGACAAGCCAGCGAGATGCCAAAGCCGCGTTCTGTGATTCGTCCAAAGCAGCAGATCCCAAAACATGCATGCCAGCAGAATCCGGGTACCAGAGGAAAGCCTAGGGCGGCACAGGTGTGGAGTCCCATGACTGGATGCTGTAACGAGTGTGATCTAGACCCACTGGGATGCTGTAGGAGATGCGACTGCTGGCCCGCTTACTGGACTGGCTCTCCGGGTGTGCTGGCTCGTAACGGACAGCCTGCTGGGAAGGAGGAGATTAGGCAGGAAGACATCACTCCTCCGGGCATCAGTCGTGACGAATTCACGGACTCGGAGCAGGTCGATGGGGCTTGTGCTGGAGGAGACTCGAATGAGCCACTGTACAGGCCGCTGTGGGTGGAGTTTGGTCACTGGAAGCAACGGCAGGTCGATGAGCTGGCAGCAGGAGGACATGGCAACGAAGATGCGTGCCAGGAAGCTGCTGTGGGGTGAGTGGAGGACGGTAGGAGCCCTGGTGGCTGGAGTGCTTGGACTGAACTGACTCAGCCGTGCAGACCCTTCAGCTTCCTACTTTCAAGCATACAAGGGTAGGTGAGTTCACTACTATTGGTTCTCCCCCCCTAACGCTTCTGACTCGCCTTCAAGCGACTGAAGACCAGCCAGGGTGCCCTGGCTGCAAACTGGCATGCAATGAAGCCTCCAAACAGGACCCTTGCAACTGGTCATCTTTGACCCAGCTAAAAGGCTCTCAGCCTCTCCTTTTGCCTTCACAAGGCAGCTGCTCATGGTAAGCCAGGCACCTGATGACGCCTGTCATTGTCATGCGTTGATATTGCTAGCTTTGTGAATGCAAAAGGAGAAGCTTATTTCAATTGTCTATTCGTTCTCCTTAGATCTTTTCTGTTCTATACTCGTTAACCCGAATTCTCAGGTCATTCACCCTCCCAATATTCCATAAGAGCAACAAAGAGAGTTTCATACAACCTGGGGTAGTAACGAACAGCATCGTACCTAAGTACATGGAACATAACCAAGCCACCCTACCATGGGGAATATCTATACCACCACAACCCTCGCCATCAATGCTATGCTGCAAGCTTTCTCTCTTGCCTCGCCCTCCAATCCTTCATGTCAAGGAAGGCCAGCACAATAACAGCGCCAGGTCCGACATTGTAATCTGATAGAAGCCTGTCAGCATTCTTCAGGGGAGAAACTTCATTCCAGGGTCGTGACAGGTCAAACGGTCGCATCCAACGGCCCTCATGCAGCAGCATCTGCTGCGAGATAGGTATGCCTGTGGACTTTTGTATAGTAGACATCACGGATGCTACAGCTTCCTTTGGGGATTCCACTTCGAGGACGTACAAGCTGCCATCAAGCGAGTTTCTTATTAGCAAATGCATGGAAGTCACGATCAAGAAGGGCTTCGCTCCTGTCAATTCAGTCTACCATCCTTACCAAGCTGTGGTTTGAATCTCGAGCTCTGGTGACTTGCTCCATAACTCCTCTCAATCGTGCAGCTTGGTCGATCTGGGCAGTAAAAGAGATAGCTTGATGGATGGGAAGGGCGTTTCGAAAGGATCGCACCGCAGGCACCTAGCTTTCGCCCTCTGCATGTTCATGAGGGCGGCAAGATGCAACGTGGATAAGCATGAATTCCTGAAAGGGTTTGAATGTGAGCCCGCATGCACAGGCTGATTTTCTGAGCACATTACACTCTGAGCCACGTGCTGGCCTCTGGTACGTACTCCACCAAGTTCACGCGACATGCGATCTGTTACAGTAACAATTTCGCCACTTTCTCGAACCCTCAACCACCCCAACCCATTTCGTCATGTCGCCCCATCTCCCCCAATTCAACCCTTCTGTCCACCCATGCCTGCTTGCAGCATATCTACGTGGAGCTGCCTAGGTTGGTCCCCTCCGAGCCTGACTTTGGCGGCATCAGCTGTCCGTAATCTTTGGCGGTTACCCCAGCCAGCCCATGATTGGTTCGGAACGGGACCACCACCACCACACCACAGAGCTGAGTTTGGTGGTTCGGTTTTACTGTAGCTGATGCTGCCTTCCAACACACCATAGGCTCGGTACACGTGGTGGTGGGGACAATGAACAGCTTGTTCCTGATTGTCCACGCTCCACGCATTTGATTGGTTCAAATTATGAACCCTAGTGTGGACTCAACACTTCTCCACACCCCGAACCGAACCAGAACAATTCAGACGAGTTCACTCGTCAGAGGTTGTCCCTTTCCGAAGTTCCCGCCCGGCACGCCAAGTCTCCGTCCAACGCTTTGCCCCTACACCCCTCGGCTGTCCCAAGAAAAGTCCACCACTATGTTCAATGTTGCAGACCTGGTACGTCACCTGAACTCTCCAGTTTCGCGCTGGTGTGTCTCAGAGCGTAGGGTGGGGAAAGGTTCTCCTAGAGCACATCACCGCAGTGCAAACCTCTGTACCGCGCGAAACGGGAAGAAGCCTGACACATGACTGTGGCCTGGCCACCTTGTAGATGTCCTTAGGGCGCGCTACATTGCGTCCGTTTTGGAGGAGCGTGGCAAAAATTTCGCTATCTGCTTTTCTAGGATTTCGATTCTGACTCAATAAGAACGATCGCCAACATCGATCTCGTATGCGACATAGGCATGTTCCAGATTTGCAACTTCTGATCTCGAGTGTCAATTTGCAGCTGGACAGCATGTCACTTCGCAGACGATTTCGTCGAAACCCAGCAACCCTCAATGGACATCACATGTGTGGCAGGAGACAGGAGGATCTGCCTTATCACATATATCGCAATGGCGATTTGGCGAGACGTTTCTGATTTCGTAGCATTTGGGGGTTGGGCGATCTGGTACTTAGTCGAGGATTTTGTTTGGTTTTGGACGTGCGACTGATTCCCGGATTCTGTTTCGAAAAGTGATCTTCCCCTTCGATCTGGTACATGACTATTTCTAGGCTACTGTAGCTGTCAGGTTACCCGTTTTCTACAATGCAAGGATCGCAAAACGACCGTCTAACCGGACGCATTGTTCTTCGCCCACAGTCCGTCTCTTTCTGATTTGGTTCGGCATTCCCCCAGGCTCGTTCTTCACTCCCTCAGACGCGCTGGGCGCGGAGGTTTTTGCTCAGAACCCTACCCAACCGTTGTATCTAACTCTCCATCCTTCCGAACCAAGAACCAACGTAAGGGAAAGCCTGGGAGAGCTTGGGATACAGAAATTGGTCGGTTCCCTTGTTTTGTGGCCTTGGTCAGACAAACCAGGAAGAACAGCCATGAGCATCATTTTTATGCATGGGGCATTCAGGCAGCATGCGTGCAACAACCCACATCCATCCAGCATGCTGTCCGAGAGTAACGGTAATAACAAGAATGTCTGTACGCCAGGCAACTCGTCATTCCGTATTCCTTTCACTTGTGGAGGAAAATACAGCACCGGCGACCTCCCAGAAACAGAGCCACCAACTTCAATCTCTGGCGAGAATCTAACTACTTGTTAGAAACCTTCAAGGCATCATTGTTGGCCCAGCCAGACCTTCGCCTTCTGTTTTTATTGCCGCACCGCTCCTCTGAGACCTCGTGCCTTCGAGTAGTTCAATCTAGACTGTACCAGTCATCTTCGTCATTATAACTGTATTGTGCCCTTCTGCGTGCCTTCTGATCTGCCCGCTTACGTCTACCTTCCATTCTAACTCGAGCATCGCTGCCGCCGTTCGTGAATTCATACTCCAGTAACTGCTAAGACTGACCAAGAGCGTCGCGCTCCGCACTGCCACCCCGTTTCTGCCTCGCCATTGGACTGTAGCTACTTATTAGCGTACGAATAACCGTGGCTCAGAACCATCCCGATTTTTGAGGCGCCTCAAAAAGCGTACGAATAACCGTGGCTCAGAACCATCCCGATTTTTGAGGCGCCTCAAAAAGCGTACGAATAACCGTGGCTCAGAACCATCCCGATTTTTGAGGCGCCTCAAAAAGCGTACGAATAACCGTGGCTCAGAACCATCCCGATTTTTGAGGCGCCTCAAAAAGCGTACGAATAACCGTGGCTCAGAACCATCCCGAGCACCGAGTCCACTTATTTCCATCGCGCCCAGTTGTAGCCTTCTTCAATTATTGATCGCAATCCTCTTCCTGTCTCTGGAATTTATACCTCTTATGGGCATAGTGTTATGAAACATCTTGGGTGAGCTTCGATTTCGCCAGTTATTTACGGCCCGGTAGCAGCCAGTAATCCGCTTTACTCTCTCGGCCACAATCAGACGCACTCTTGTGCTCTCCACCGCTCTCCATCTCTCACCTCCATCCCTCCACCTCTCTCCATTCTCTTCACTTCTACCGCGATGTCTCTGTCCAATCGTCGCGTCGACCGCCTCTACGGCGTGGGTGACGGCCGCACCGTTGTTCTCGCCGTCGACACGTGCAAGGGCTGCATATCCGCGTTCGAAGACCTCCTCAGTACAGGCTACAAGTCCACCTCGTTTCTCGGGACGCACGAGAATCCCGCCGCACGGGGGGAGTTCCGCCTATCCCCCGCGGACCGCTTAATTGTCGTCTTCCACCGCGGACATCACCTTCCGCCGCCGCTGCTGCTCCGCCGGTCGCGGAGCGACGCTGCCGCGCAGCACCAGCAGCTCCTGGCTTCGCTCCCGCCGCTCACTTCCCCGCACATTCCCGCGACCGCGCAACCTTCCCCGCACCAAGCTTCCCCGCAGAGAGGGGCCGCGGCGATGTTCTCGTTCCTCGCGAGTCCACGCACGCGGTCAAGCCAGCAGCAGCAACAGACTCAACAACAGACACAGCGCCAGTGGCCGCGCTCTCTGTCGGGTAGCCAGCAGCAGCAGCAGCAACAGACACAGCGACACGCTCAGTGGCCGCGCTCGCTGTCGGGAAGCCAGCAGCAGCAACATCATCCTCATCATCATCATCATCAGCAGCAGCAGCAGGAGCAGCAGCAGCAGCAGCAGCAGGTACAACATCTGCATGCGCCGAATCACTGGCCCAGGTCGCGTTCAGAGGCGGGGCCAGGAGCAGCAGCAACTGCAGCGGCGGACGGCAGTTTATCCCCCCCTGATTTCGGTACGTTCCTTCGTTTAGCAACTCTGAAGCAGTCCTGTGGAACTCTGTAGCCGTCCTGACATTTAGACTCGGAAGTGTTGGGTAATTTCATTTGTTGTTTCCGCGTCAGGGTTTCCTACTGACGTCCCCCTTTTTGTCTGCTCTATTACAGAGCTCCGTACGGCGGTAAGCAGCAGCCACCAGCAATCCTCGTCAGCAGAGAGCAAGGTTGACGTGGAAACCGTGGTTGTGGTCCCCGCACTTCCTGCGAAAGAAGTGACCGCCAAGCTGGCTCGATTCCACGGGCGGACGAAAGCAGCAGCGCTGAAAATGGCCGCCATGGCTCGGTCCTATAGGGTATGTGTGGGATGTGCAATGTGCATAATCAGTGTTAATGTTGTGCTTTTGACGCCTGTGCATATTAGAGGGTTCAACCATTCAGTGAGTCTTGTAGATACGAGAATCTAACGCCTTCCCTCTCCATTCTTGCAGGTGCGGTTTGAGGCTATTGACCTAGATGACCTTCAAGTATCAGCTGCTCTTGATGCCAGCATCGCATCACCACATTCCCAGCAGCCCCCACAACAAGCAGCTGGCCCAGGTGCCCGGCTACACCAACCACAACAGCATAGCTGGGAAGATGCGGCTCAGGCGATTCTTTCTTTCTGCACAAGGATGGGTGCGGATCACTTGCTGCTGCCTGCCTCACATGTGTGCGGGTTGAACCTTGGGGCTTGGGTCTCCTGCCGTGGCTTGACAACACACTGTGTGAGAAATTCTCTGTGTCCAGTCACGAGGTTGGGGAGCACCAACCGAACTACAGAGGGGTTGCGGGTTCAAGTGGCAACCAACTGATATCCACATGCTAGGCGTGGATGGAAGGCACATTTTCCTGGTACCATAGATTTCTTGCACATGGCAGGAGTTAAGTTGGGCTGCATTCGTCTTGTACACCTCGCGCACAGAATTGTCTAGGGTGGATGTTCCTCCATGTATCTTCTGCAGAATGTTGATTGGGTGCTGTTCGTTTTGTCTACAGTTATGTCGCCTTGGATCATTAGTATTTGAAACGAGGTACAGAAACTGTATAGTGTTATGAATGAACAAGCAGAGTAGTGTCAAACATTAGTATATCTAGTGTTTGTATAGACTGTATAGGGTCACCTCTTAGAGAGTACAACACTTAGATATGTATGCTTGTATCCTGGTTATCTACTCATTCATTACTCAGTTCTAAGATGGTATCAGCAGTAGGTAGGTCCCGCCGCCCGCCCATGCTTCCGCCCTAGGCCCTAGCCGCCCCCGCGCCCGTCCTAGTCGACCCCACACCCGTCCTAGCCGCGCCCGCGCGCCCGTCCTGGCTGCCCCCCGCGCCCGTCCTCACGGCCCTCGCGCCCGTCCTACCTGGCCCCGCGCCCGTCCTGCCGGCCCCCGCGCCCGTCCTAGCTGGCCCCGCGCCCGTCCTAGCTGGCCCAGCGCATGTCCTAGTGGCCCCCGCGCCCGTCCTACCGGCCCCCGCGCCCGTCCTTCCCGGCCCCGTGCCCGTCCTAGCGGCCCCCGCGCCCGCCCTACTGGCCCCCGCGCCTGTCTTAGCCGGCCCCGCGCCCGTCCTAGCGGCCCCCGCGCCCGTCCTACCGGCCCCAGCGCCCGTCCTAGCCGGTCCCGCGCCCGTCCTAACGGCCCCTGCGCCCATCCTACCGGCTCCTGCGCCCGTCCTAGCCGGCCCCCGCGCTCATCCTAGCTGGCCCCAGCGCCCGGCCTTCAGGCCCCCGCGCCCGTCCTAGCCGGCCCCGCGCCCGTCCCAGGCCCGTCCTAGCCGGCCCCGCGCCCGTCCTACCTCGCCCCCATGCCCGTCCTCGCCGGCCCGGCGCCCGCCGCTACTGGCCCACGCGCCCGTTCTGCCGACCCCTGCGCGCGCCGTGCCCATCGATCTCCGGCCCCGTGCTCACCTTCCCGCCGGACTGCCGCCGATCTGCGTGCGGCCCGCTCTTCGTGCATGCGCCTGCACTGCACCCTCCCTAGTACGGTTCTCCATCACCTTGCACTGCACTGCATCCCCCTGCACCGCACGGCACCGCGTTGCACCGCACTGTACCGCCCTGCACTGCACTGTACCGCCCTGCACTGCCTCACCTGGCCCTGCCCTGCACTGTTCCTGATGGCGGCGGAGCTTCGCTTCGACGCTGAAGGCCAGCCTCTGGAGTTCGAGGCCTAGCTAGCCGACCTCCGCCGCCACCTCACTGGTCAGCGGCAGGATGGCCACCCGCTCTCGGCACACCTTGACGGTACGCTTCCCTGCCCAGACCCCCCTGCCGTGTTGCCCGCTGACCCCACACCTGCTGAGCATGGGTCTACTGCGGCCGCTGCCCTCGCTCGCTCTGTCTGGCTTTCCCGTGACGCTGTCGCCCAGCTTGCCATTAGCAATGCCCTCCCCTCGTTTGAGCGTCCTCGCTTTAGGTCTATCACCACCGCCCAGGCTTTCTTAGATGCTGTTATCCGGCGCTATTCTGCCCCGCCTGCTGCCTCCGTATGTCGCCTCATCCTAGCGATGCCGTTTCCTGACCTTCCGTCTTTCCCCACTATCGCTGACCTGGCTGCCCACCTGCGCACGATAGATGAGACCTAGCGCGCTGCCTGCACTGACGCACAGCTTAGAGCCCACCAGCCGCCCCTTACCTCCACCCTCTACCTGCTTGCCACCCGCCTCCCTGACCGCCTTGCCGCTGCTCGTGACCGCTTCCTCAGCATTCACCCCGGTGACCTCACCCTCACAGACTTTGTAGACACCCTGACTGTTATTGAGACCCGCCATCGCTCTATCGCCCAGGCGAGCGGTACTATGCCGGTCCCTATCTTTTAGGGTTGTGCCCCCGCTCAGTGCACCTTCTCCGATGGTTCTGCAGCTGTGGCTGAGACCGCCGCTGCAGCGCAGTTCCGTCCGGGGAAGGGCCACCGCCCCAAGGCTAGGCGCGGCGGAGGAGGTGGGGGTGCCATTGGAGGTGGTGGTGGATTCGGGTCGTCTGGTGGTGGAGCGGACGAGGGGACCCTGCCTGGTTAAGCTGAGCAGCTGCACCAGCAGCCGCAGCAACAGCAGCAGCTGCAGCAGCCGCATCAGCCGCAGCAGCCGCCGCAGCTGCCGCAGACGAGGCAGGCGAGTGCCCTCCCGCTCGGGTGGCCTGACGCTGGTGGTGGTCGTGCGCGTGGTGGTGTGCCGGGTGGCGGTTCGGGAATCGTGCGCTGTCAGTACCAGATCCAGACCGGTCCTCGCCGCGGCTTCCTTTGCGGTAAGATCGGTCACTCCACTGCCCGCTGTTTTCGTCGCCTGGACGACCTGTTTCGTCAGCGCTTCAGCCCGTCCCCCGACCTCCCGGACTGGCACAGGTTACTTAGTCGTAGAGTTCAGATTTTTGACATGGACATGGATGCCATTGTTTCTGCCCTGCATGTGATGTATGCTGATGACTCTAGTGTGCTCCCCTCTTATTATTTCTTGTCGCCTAGTGTAGGTGTGCCTAGCTTAGCCTCCCCTGCTGCGTCAGGCATAGGAGCTCCTGCTTTGTTTAGCCTTGGTGCTTCCGCCGTCGCCCCGTCGCCAGACGCCACTGCTTCGCTGTCCTTCACCTTGGACTCTGGCGCTTCCCGGTGTTTCTTCTGCGACTCTACTACGCTGACGCCGCTTCCTGTTCCTGCTGCAGCTTCCCTTGCTGACCCCTCCGGCGGTCCGGTCGTCGCTCGCAGTTCCACCACCCTTCCCTGTCCGGCGGTTCCTTCGGGCTCTCTCACAGGTCTGCATATCCCCTCGTTCTCCAGGAACCTATTTGGTGTCGGCTGCCTCCAGGACCTTGGCGTCACCACTACGTTCCCTGGTCACGAGCGGTATGCTGTCTGTACCGAGGCTGCCACTGGTGCCCCCCTGTCCACGTTCCCCCGGGACCCGGTGTCCTGCCTGTTCACCCTGGGCACCGTGACCCCCCCGGCTGGGGCGCCCCTTCAGGTGGCTGCGTCTACCCAGGTTGCTGCTGCCTGCTCCTATCGGTCTCTCACGCACCCGACTCTCCTTTGGCACCACCGCCTAGGTCACCCTGCGCTCCCGCGTCTGCGTCACATGTCCCAGCACGGTCTCGTCCTTGGTCTTCCTCGTTTGTTCCCCGCTTTTCCCTCCTCCCCCGCCCCGCCTTGCACGCCTTGTGTCGAGGGTCGGCTTCGCCGTGCTCCTCACTCCTCCTCGTTTCCCCGTACCGCCGCGCCGCTGCAGACCCTGCACATGGACGTCTGGGCCCCCCCCCCCATCCATGGGCCGTGTCGAGAGCGCTACTTCCTAGTGCTTATCGACGACTTCACACGCTACACCACAGTCTTTCCCCTGGAGCGGAAGGCCGACGTGCCTGAAGCTCTCATCCCCTGGCTTGTCTTTGCACGTGTCCACCGAGGTCTCCTTGTCTTGCGTCTTCACACCGACCGTGGTGGCGAGTTTGCCTCAGGTGTCCTTGGTCGTTTTTGTCGTGCGGAGGGCATCACCCAGACGTTCACCCTGCCGGGCTCCCCGCAGCAGAATGGGGTCGCTGAGCGACGCATCGGTTTGGTCATGGAGGTGGCTCGCACCTCCATGATCCATGCCGGTGCACCCCATTTTCTGTGGCCATTCGCCGTGCGCTACACTGCTCACCAGCTTAACCTGTGGCCACGCTCCCAGCGGCCGCAGGTTTCGCCGACCCTTCTTTGGACCGGGTCTCCTGGTGACGCGTCTGCGTTCCACGTCTGGGGCTGCCTTGCTCACGTCCGTGCCTCTGGTACGGACAAGCTCACTGCCCGCACCCTTCCTTGTGTCTTCATCGGTTTCCCCCTTCACGCGTCCGACTGGCACTTCTACCACCCGCCGTCTCACCGGTTCTTTCACTCTCGCGACGTCACCTTTGACGAGTCCGTCTCCTTCTAGCATCGCTTCCCCCATCGCGGTCCCCCTGTTACTCCCCCCCCTGTTCCTGGTCACTCCTTCCCCAGTGGTCCCTGCCCCCCCCCCTCCCCCTCCCCGCCCTGCCCCCTCTGGTGTGTCCCACGTCACCGCTCTCCCGTCGGTTGTCTCGGTTCAGGAGTCTTCTGACTCTGGTGGTCCTGCGGCGCAGTCCTCGCCATGTGCCCCCCCCCCAGGTGTTTCCTCCTCCACAGCCTCTGCAGCCGCCGTCGCCTCTGCTGTCGCAGCCGTCGTCTCCGCCGTCGCCGCCGCCGCACCCGTCGTTCCCGCCGCCGCCGCCGTCGCAGCAGCAGTTCGTCGACTCTGGGGGTGCTCACGTTGGGGTGGGTGCTCGTCCTGGGGTGCCTGTCGTGGCGTGTCCCGGTGGCCTTGGGAGGGGTACCGGTGCTCGCGGGGTTTCGGGCTCTGGGGGTGTTCTTTTGGGGGGTGCAGGCGTGGAGTGTCCCGGAGGTAGCCGAGGAGCAGCTTGCGGTCCCGGTGTCGGTGTTGAGCCGCCGCAGCAGCAGTCCCCACCGGTGTCAACCCTTCGCCTGCTCGGCCTTCCGTCCCCTGACCCTCCGTCTGTTCCTCTCCTGCCGTCTCCTCCTCTTCCTGTCTATGGCCCTGTGATCCCTCCGCCGAACTTGTCCCCGGCTCGTCTTCCCCCTTGCTCCCCCCCTGTGTCCCCTCCTCTGTCTCCTGACCCGACGCCTCCGTCTCACGTCTGGTCTCACCGTCCCTCCCGTGCTCGCCCTATCTCCCCTGTCACGCGCTCTCACCCTATGTTGCTCCGTTCCCGCGCGTCTCGTCCTCCCCTTCTACCGTCGCCTCCTCCGTCCTCTCTTATCGTTGCGCCTCCTCCTCTGTCTGACTACCTTCGTGCCGCTCGTCCTCTTGTTCCTCGGGTCCTCGCCTTTTTCGTTACCGACCCGTCCGTTCCGGTCTCGTGTCTTGACGCTCTTGTCGCTGCGATTGCTGACTTTGCCTCTACCCGCCGCCTTGACTACGCCACCGCTCTGGTCTCCGACCCTGCCTGTCCTCCGTCTGTCGGGGGTGCTCCTGCCCTCGGCAGTGACGTCATGGAGGACCGCCAGGTCGAGCTCGCTTTCCTGTCCGAGGCTGCTCCCCATCTCTGTTCCATGTTGACAGAGTCGGAGAAGCCGAGGCGAATCTGCCAGAAAGGTCTGGACCAGCCCCGAGGCTTCGGGTGTGTTCGAGCGTACGCGATAGCAGAACCGTTTGGTAAGGAATGGAAAATTCCTTACACCACCCCCCCCTTAGCGAAGGTGATCTATATCAGCCACGTGCTTGCGGTCCAAATAATTCGCAAGTATCGAAGGTGACTGTATCTGGTCCGAGGGCACCCAGGTGTCGTCCTCACTGGTACGATTGGTCCATCGTATCAGAAAGTCAACGTGTCGTCCTTGACCGTCGATACGAATCCGATGGCTCAAAATCTTTGAAGGCTCGATGGTCGTCTCGGCTGGTGACCGTACATCTGGTACCAATCACTGTCGAGCGATGTCCGACGTGTCAGGAACGAAGGGTCGCAATAGGCTTACGCCGAACTTGTTGTGAATACGCCAGTCATCAGGTAGGCGCAACTGGGCGGTCACCGGCGTCACCATCTTCATTATCTTGAATGGGCCACAGAAACGTGGTCGTAATTTCGTGGGTAGTGGCAGTCGTAAATTCTTGGTGTCCAAAAGGACTAGTTGCCATGCTGCCAGGGTAATATCCCGTCGATGTAAATCCGCATACCATCGGGCAGTTGCGTTCGCCTTGCGGATAAGTTCGACAGCTTTGTCTCGGGCAGTCTGTAATTCTTCGACAAACTGCTGCGATCGTGGTACTTGACTCTCAACGTTGGTGGAGACGGGTACGGTGGGGTCCTTCCCGTAATTAAGATAAAACGGGGAGTGATTAGTCCTAGATGAGGGCGCGTTGTTGTAGGAAAATTCCAACATAGGTAGCACGTCCTCCCATTTTTTTCGGTCGGGGCAGTTTGTCCGAATCAGCTGCTCCATTGTTTGATTTGTCCTTTCAGTCTGGCTGTCCGTTTGGGGATGATACGCGGATGAAAACTGCAGACGCGTGCCGTACTGAGCCCACGTGTCCTGCTAGAATTTTGACGTGAACTTCGGGTCTCGATCGCTAATGATTGCTGCTGGTATCCCGTGTAGACGAACAACGGTCGAGATGAAGAGGCGCGCGGTTTCTTCGGCTGTGATGGTTGTACGACATGGTGCGAAATGCGCAATTTTCGTCAATCGGTCGACGACAACCAAAACTGCGCCGTTTCCGCTGGGTCCGGCCGGTAGCCCCGTAACGAAATCCATCGTTACGTGTTGCCATGGGCGTTGAGGTGGCTCGAGGGGCTGCAACAGTCCTGTAGGTCACTGGTGTGATGACTTCATTCGCTGGCAGATCGGACACGCGGCCACGTACCGCTGCACGTCCGTCACCATATCTGGCCAGTAATAAAACCGCTGCAACGCCTTAAGAGTTTTATCAATCCCGAAATGTCCCGATAAATTCGAATCGTGGACTTCTTGAATTAGTAATTCGCGAAGTAGACGATAACTTGGGACCCAAATTCGATTAGTTCCGCTTCGTACGTAATAGACGCCTTTCCGTGTAGTGACTGGGAGATGGCCGTCGTTTACGAAGAAGGGGTCTATCGAATACCTGTGGGTAAATAGTCCACTCAGTAGCGGGTTGCTCTGGGCGACTAGTACTGCTGCGAGTTGGGCAGATGGTATGGAGAGGGCGTCGGCAATATTGTTGGCGCCCTTTTTGTACGTGAAGTTGGACTCCAGATAGTCCAACTAGCGTATCTGCCGCGAGTTGAGATTCGGCTGCGCTCTCAGGTATTGTAGAGATTTGTGATCGGTTCGCACCGTCACGTCTGCTCCAGCCAGGTAGCACCTCCAGATTTTGAACGCGTGGACGATCGCCAGCATCTCCTTGTCGTGTACCGGGTAGTTGCGCTCAACAGATTGCATTTTCCGAGACTCGTGCGCAATTGGTTGAAGACCATTGCCGAAATCTTGCATGAGCACTGCTCCGATGGCGATGTCACTTGCGTCGGTGATGACTTCGAAGGGCCGTTCTGGGTCAGCGATGCGAAGTACCGGTGGCGACATTAAAAGAATTTCTAATGCCTCGAACGCAGCTTGCTGCTTCTCTCCCTACTCGTAAAAAGTCCCCTTCTACAGTAGGTCGGTTAGAGGTCCAGTTAACCCCGCCATGTTGGGTATAAACTGCCGCACGTAGTTTACAAAACCCAGAAATGATTGCAGCCGCTGCAGATTTGTTGGCGGTTTCCATTCCTGAATTGCCCGGAGTTTTTTCGGGTCTATCCGAATCCCCTTCGTGGAGATCACATGCCCTAGGAACTCCAGTTCTTGTTTTAAAAACTCGCACTTGGAGCCCTTGGTGATGAGACGATGCTGCTGTAACCGTTGAAAAACCGCTTCCAAATCTTTTAAATGTTGCTCCCGGGTCTTGCTGTAGATCAAGATGTCGTCCAGGTAAATTATCACGCATTTGTCGAGAAGATCGCGTAACACCCCGTTCATGGTGAGTTGGAACATCGAGGGGGCGTTCGTTAATCCAAACGGCATCACCGTGTATTCGTAACTCCCGTAGCGAGTATGAAACGCGGTCTTGTGGCAGTCGTCAGCTAACACCCGAATTTGATGATAACCGCCGCGCAGGTCGATCTTCGAAAAATAGCGAGCTCCGCGAAGGTTGTCAATCAGTTCGTCCGTACGTGGGATTGGGTAGCGCGATTTGATCGTTACCCGATTAAGGGCACGATAGTCCGTACACATGCGAAGTCCGCTGTCCTTTTTTGGTGTGAACAGGATCGGTGCTGCGAACGGTGACGTGCTCGGCCGAATGAACCCTTTCGCCAGCAGGTAGTCCAGCTGGTTCCGTAATTCCTGTGGCTCCGGTTGAGTCAGACGCCATTGCGTGCGTATAGTAGGTTGCGCGCCGGGCTCCAGCTCGATTTTGTGGTCCTTGGGTCGTCCGGGTGGCAATCCACTTGGCAAGTCTTCCGGGAAAATCTCAGGATATTCCCGAATGATTTTCGCCAAGTCGTCCGGGACCGAAGCGTAGAGTTTGTTGATGTTGGTCGCCTCGTTTTGCGCCGTCGATTCGGTTAGATGGACGGCGTATAAATCTGCTCCATTCTTGACCGCTCGATTGAGGCACACCGCGTTGACTCGCGTCGATGTTGTCTCTGCTTCCGGCCCCGTGGGTAATTTTCGCCAACCTTTGTCGCACTTCACTGTGCACTCGCCTGTCGTCCAATCGATCTGCGGGTTGAACTTTCGCAGCCAATCGCGTCCCAATAGCACGTCGTAGCCGTCGAGCGTTGTCGCCAACATCGGCGCGCTGAAACCAAAATCGTCGCCACACTTCATTCGAACGATGGGTACTTTGTCGCGTATCGCCAGCGGGGTGCCGTCCACCAATCGCGCGTTGATTTCGAGCAGACACCTCTCCAGCGTCAGGTGTAGTCGTCGTGTTGTCTCTCGATTTATCAGACTGTGACTCGCGCCTCCGTCGATGAATATTTTATTTTTCTTTTGTTGAGTCGTCCCTCCGCCACTACAGGGTGGTCCACTGGGTCATCCCCCTTATTCAGCCCGGAGCGGTTGATAGCATGTATCGGAACCACTAGTCGGTGGGGATGGTGTTTTTCGGGCGAGGAGACAGGGTCAGTAGGGGGCCCGACCGCTACTGACGCTTGGCGTTTCCCGACCAGCCTTCGTCGCTCTTCTTTATCTGCTTCTTTCGGGGGCAATCATGAGATTGGTGACCCGGCTGGTGGCAGTTGAAACATTGTCCCTTGCGAAAGTCTTCCATGTACTCCTTCACCACTACGCCGTGAATCGTGGGCCGTGGATCCTGGCCACGAAAACGATTTCCCTCCCGGGAACCCGCTCTCGCATACTTCCAATGTGCGTCGAAATTGTCTGCGATCCGAACGGCTTCGTGAAACGTTGCTGGTAGTCGCAGCCGGACCTCACATTTAATGTACTGCTTCAAACCCGAAATGAATCGAGCTTTCTTCTTGGAGTCATGCATGTCGGTGATTTGATCGCATAACGCCATGAAGACCGACGCGTAATCCTGGACAGAACTCCACTGGCGCCAGTTGTCCAGCTTCGTGCGTGCGTTGTTCGAGGCGGATATTGGCTCGAACCGTTCACGCAGAGCTGTACCCCACGCCTTCCACGTGCGAATCTTGGTTGATCCGAAAATCGCGGTTGACCCTTGGGCAGCAGACCTAAAGTTTCCGAAAAACCCATGTGTGTCGCCTGCCGAAAACTCCCCCTTCTGTAGTGTGTATCGCCACCAATCTAGCGCATGTCCCCGTAGTAGTGATACAGCCAGCCGAATTTTTAAATCGTCAGCCGTGATCCCAGCGGCATTAAAATAAGTTCCGCCGAAAATAACCAGCCCGTAACAGTAGTATTCTTATCTGTGGGGTTGAACGGGGGTGGCATTGTCGGTTTGATCGTCACTGTAGTCACGATCGGCATAAACGCCGGTGCGGCTACAGTAGCGGCTGCTGCTGTCGCTGCTGCTGCTGCTTCGGCTGCTGCTCGTGCTGCCACGTCAGCTGCTGTGGCGCTTCAATGTCCTTGCGCTCCTGTGACACCTGACGTGCGATTTCGTCCAAGACAGTTTTGTCACGTCCGGTGCTGGCGACCTCTTCTTGGGCGGCAGATTTCTGACGCGAATCCTCTCGCGCCTGGCGTAACTCAGCAACTTCTGCACGAAGTCGCTCGTTGTCCTCCAGCACTGTAGCCATGCGTGTGTTCATGGCGTTGAACTGCTCCTGAAGCTCGTTGAACTGAGCTTGGTCCATTTGGCGAATGCTCCGCCGGGGGAGGGGGAAATCCGTAATGTGCCTGTACTTAGGTAAGCGCAAACGCTATCGTAGTTGGGCGAATTAATCAGTCTAATTCGCGAGCAACCGCTTTGCAGCTTACGTGAGAGACTTACCAAAAAAAAAAAAAAAAAAAAAAAAAAAAATCAACTCAGGAAAACGGGTGAGCGAGGAAAGTGGCTCTGAATAGCAGGTGTTATGAATGAACAAGCAGAGTAGCGCGGAAATGAATAACGAAATGTTCAATCACTGAATGACAAGCACAAGGAATGGGAAGCCTAGATATAGGAACACCAGAGCTAGTCTAACCATGCGATGGGAAGGTTCGGGAAAGAGATCGAAGGGCCGCGAAGTGACGAAGCGAGGCCCGGAGAACTCCCGAAGGTCGAACTAGAAGGTCTGGAGAAGCCGAGGCGGTTCTGTCAGAAAGGTCTGGACCAGTCCCGAGGCTTCGGGTGTGTTCGAGCGTACGCGATAGCAGTACCGCTCGGTAAGGAATGGAAAATTCCTTACATATACCATAATTGTAACTCTACAGACGGTGGACAGACGACATTGACGGCAACGCGGATGGCTCGACAAATCCAAAGCGGCCTGACGCGCAAATTAGCGGAATCAGGTGGTGGTTACTCTATGCTAAAATATTATTGGAGGCGAGCTCAAGGACCTGACGACAAGCATCAGTAAACTGCCTCGGGAGTCGGGAGTGACCACTGCTGTGGAGTGGCGAGGCGAGGCGATGAAAAGAAACCGGCGAGCTTGACGGTTGTGTGCAGAAGGTGCGACAAAACCGAACCTGCAACCTGACGGTTTGGCGTACAAGGCAATGAGCAGCACAGAACACGAACGACGCCATCGGGGATCTCCCAACGGCTGGGAGGGGGAGGCGAAGAGATGGACGGACGGATGGATCCCATCGGGATTATACTCATCGGGCAGAACCAGCATCATCCCATCCCACCCGTTCTCACCGTTACCAAGAGGCTGGAAACGCAGTGGGTGTGGCTGGGGGGAGTGGTACGCGTTCTGGTCTGGGTCTGGTCTGGTCTGGGTGCGGTGCTGTGGGAAAAAGGCAGCACCAGTGGGTACAGCCAGCGTGGTTGGTGAAGGGTGGAGGAATCGAGGTTCCCTAGGAGGCCTATGGAGACAAGCCTGGTAGTTATGGAGAATTGTAAGTGCAGTTCCTGATAGCTTTGCTTACCGCCTTGGTCAGGAGAAGTCTGACAGGGTAGAAAACTGGCCTAGGCATAGAATAGCTCGTGAGGGTGCGTTTGGTGGTGGTGATTTCTGTTGTCCCCAGATCTGACGGCTCGGTTTCCTGTCCTGTGTTCCTACGTTATTGCGGAAAGTAAACTAAGGGACAGTTGAACACTCGGTCAGGTCCGGCCATCAGCATAGCTGACTACCCAGCAGCGGCTTCTGGTACTTCCCGCTTTCGAAGCTCGCTTGCCTTTCCGTCGTCGAGCCTCCGTAACCAGACGTTAAGCAGTCATGAGGCGACGACACGAGTCCACGTGGGAGAAGCTGTTCCACTACCGGGGCGTCATTGTCGTCGTTTCCGTCCCTATCTTCCTTATTATCTTCATTATTCTATTTATGCCTCACGGGGAGCCAATCACGGACGACCACGTCATCCATCACAGCGCGGCAGATGAGGTCAACAAGGCGGTTGCTAAGATGCAAGCCGCAGAGGACAAGTATGCCGTCATTATCGACGCCGGAAGCACCGGGAGTCGCGTCCACGTGTACCGGTTCAACTCGAAGCTCGAACTGATGGAAATCGGCGACAACCTCGAGTTGTTTGAGCAGGTACGTCTCCTAACCAGAAGCCTGACTGAATGACAATCTCGCGTGCACGTGCACCGGGAGTCGCGTCCACGTGTACCGGTTCAATGCTAAGCTCGAGCTGATGGAGATCGGCGACAATCTTGAGTTGTTTGAGCAGGTACGCCTCCTTCCTAACCTGAAGCTTGAATGATTGATAATTCCGCTTTCAGGGAATGACTAGCATTCGCAGGTTCAGTTGTCAGGCATGCTTCGCGTCCTTCTTTTTCGTGTCCAATGCAACGTCAAGTAGCTCCGCTTTTGCCGGTTCCGGGTTCAGATCTCGGCCTCGAATGTCGCTTCCTGATCTTGACCATATCTGTCCTATCGATTATTATTCGTTCTCTCACCAACCTAACCTTTTTTAATTCTTAAAAAAGACGCCTGTTGAGACGCCAGTTCCCAAATCCTGTCGTCGTCACCTCCGTCGCAGATCTAGCCAGATCTGAGCTCATTCCGCGAGAACGTCAAGCGAGCGGCGGACTCGCCTCGCCAGCTCATCGACAATGCGCTCACCGTCGATGCTCTCATGTTTCCTCTCCCCGTCACCCTGCGCGCAGCTCAAGCCTGGTCTCAGCTCGTTCCGCGAGAACGCCAAGGGAGCGGCGGACTCGCTCCGTCCGCTCATCGACAAGGCGCTCACCGTCGTGCCGGAGGAAGTCCGCCCCACCACGCCCATCCGCGTTGGAGTGAGTCCCGTTATCTGATTCCATGCATGGTGGAAATTCGTCATTTGAACGTCAGGTCCTTCGAGGCATACTCCTGATTCGGCGTTCGTTCGTTCGCCTTTCCTGCTGGCTTGCTGCGACCTACACTACACGGCTAATGTATATCCCGTTTCTCTCTCCGCGTCCGTTTCTCCCTGCAGGCTACAGCAGGCCTCCGTCTGCTTCCGGGCGACCTCGCTGACAACATTCTCGAAGCCGTAAGCCCTTCTTTCATCATGCTCTTTCTACCGCACTCCCTACCGCATTCCCTGCCGCGCTCCCTACCGCGCTCTCTTACGGCCGTCTTATCCCTTGACCGTTCTACGAGCCGTTAAGCAGCATCCACCATTCGTTAAGCAGCATCCACCATTCGTTCAGCGATTCCTTCGCCTTGCAATACATTTTCTTCATGAACCTGACTCCGCCTCTCTGCTCCCCAGGTCCGCGTGATGCTCAAGGAGTACCCCTTCGCCTTCGAGGCCGATTCTGTCAAGATTCTCGACGGCGCTGACGAAGGCTCTTTTGCATGGGTGAGTGCCAGACGTTTTTTTTTCCTTGAGATCTCTTTTTGGAAGAAGACTTTCGAAGGCAGGGGACCTGATATCTGTTGGTTTTGTCTGACATAAGGGTTTCGTTTTCGTTCCGCTGACCGAATTATGAGAGAAGTTGTGTGACACTGCAATGAGGTGACTGTTGAGTCAAGGTGATTTTAGAGTCGACTCAAACAGTTACCTCGACTTTCTGTCTGTTGGTTATGCCTGGCATGAGGGGTTCGTTTTCGCTCCGCTGACCGAATCATGAGAGGAGTGTGCTCGACAAGCAATGCCTGCCAGGACCAGCTAAAACCCCTTGTCTGCCAGGACCAGCTAAAACCCCTTGTCTGCCAGGACCAGCTAAAACCCTCAATGTTTCCCGTTTCCCCTCAACGTTTTCTTTCGTTATTCCTTCGATCACTACCAAGCGTCATTGGTCTCGCAATAAGTCGCACAGGTGACGGTGGACCATCACCGTCAAGGACATCCACCATGCGCGAGAGTGGTGGATTTGGTAACTCTGGTCAACACAAAGGTGTTTGTGAACCCACCTTGTCTGCAGGTGACGGTGAACTACCTGCTTGGTTATTTGGGCAAGGACATTGGCCACACGGTGGGGGTGGTGGATCTGGGCGGCGGGTCCGTGCAGATGACGTACGCGGTGCCTGATGACGTGGCACGGAAGGCGCCGGAGGGCTACGTGAGGAAGCTGAGCGGCATGGGCAAGACGTACAGCGTCTACGTGCACAGGTGAGGGGGGAGAGACCATGTCTATATCGCGGACGGACGAGAATGGGGCTGGGGAGGATCCGAGGGCTTCGTGAGGAAGCTGAGCGGCATGGGCAAGACGTACAGCGTCTACGTGCACAGGTGAGAGGGGAGAGAAAATGGCTGTATCGCGGACGTCATGGCTGGCAGTGGGGCTGAGGAGGATCAAAGGGAGTCTGAGGAAGCTGAGCGGCATGGACAAGACGTGCAGCGTCTACGTGCACAGGTGAGGGGGGAGAGATAGGCTCTGAGGATGATCGACGCTCTGCCTGACAACATCGAACTAAACGGTCCAACAATGTGTTTGTGCACAGGTGGGGGCAGAATCGGTCACTGGCATGACCGACCGAGGATGTGCCTGACGATTCGGGTGGAAATGGTGCATGCGTCGGGGAAATAGTAAACAAGAAACTTCCACAGCTGGTCCATCATCATGGAAACCGAAAATTCGCTTTTCAAGCTCCCTCGCTGCACGCACGCATTTCGCCCCCTTGTCCACCTGCAACCGTTCCCGCCCTGCTGGAGCCATTCTATTGTAGCCTTTGTCCTTCCTTTCCTCCCCTCCACCCGTTTCCACCCATTCTCACCCATTCTCACCCATTCTCGCCCATTCTCGCCCGCACTCAACCTCCCAACTCACCTCGGCTTGGCCCTGATGGCAGCTGCAGCTCGAGTGCAGATGGTGATGGGCAACGCTTGGCCTAGCTTTGAGTAGAATTGTATCTTCTTTCCGTCTCTCCCAACCTCTCCTTCCAACCTCTCCCAACCTCTCCCAACCTCTCCCAACCTCTCCCAACCTCTCCCAACCTTTCCTTTCCTCCCATCTGCCCAATCTTCCCCCACTTATCTCCCATCCGCCCAACCTTTCTCCACCCGTCTGTGCTGCCAGCTACCTGAACTTCGGTCTCATGGCAACTCGAGGGCAGGTGCTCAGCGCGAAGCCAGCAGAACGTACACCTTCAGGTCGAGCCAGAACTTGCCTCTCTCCACCCCCGCCGCCCTCCCCGCACATCCCTCGGTCCCTCCAGGCTCCAGCTGCCTGGGATTTGGTCTCATGGCAGCTCGAGCGCAGGGGCTCAAGGCGAAGCCAGCAGAACGTACACCTTCAGGTCAAGCCAGAACTTGTCTTTCTCACGCTCCGCTCCCCCCCTCACTCCCCCCCTCACTCCCCCCCCCCCCCCTCTTCCCACCCCCCCTCCCCCCCTACCTCCCTCCCCTTCCCCCTTTCCAGCTACCTAAGCTTTGGTCTGTTGGCAGCTCGAGCGCAGGTGCTGCCCAGCAGACAGTACGTCTTCAACTCACGCCAGAGCTTGTGCCCCCCCCTTCCCCCTCCCAACCCCCACCTTCCCCCCCCTCCCTGCCTCCCTCCCCTTCTCTGCCGCCAGCTACCTGGGCTTCGGTCTGATGGCAGCTCGAGCGCAGGTGCTCAAGGCCAAGCCCGCTGAGAGCGAGGGGCATGCGTGTCTGCCCAAGGGCACTGATGGTGAGTGGTGGGGCAGAGGGAGAGCATACCAATGGAGTGGTAGAGAGATGCACAGGTGCCAGAGTTGTGCAAGGTCGATGATGGGCGTGCTCGCTTGCAAAGGCACTGATGATGAGCGGTGGGGAAGAGAGAGAATATACCAATGGAGAGCTCAAGGCATGTAAGGGAGGGAGGTCACGGGAGTGGGGCAGTGAGGGGCATGCTGCGAGGGGCGCTGATTGTGTGTGGTGCGGCTGCAGTGGGGGGAGAGGGAGGAGAGGAAGAGGGGAGCATTTTTTGCAAGCTTAACAAAGGTGGTAAAACCCAAGAGAGGCGCAGTGAGCCCCACAGGGGGGAAGGGGGGGGGGGGGGGGGTCACGTACAAGCACTGCCATTGAGTCGACTCAAAAGCAGCTTAACAAAGGTGGTAAAACCCAAGAGAGGCGTAGTGAGCTCCACAGGGGGGGTGTCACGCACAAGCACTGCCATCAGGTGTTGGTGCCAGACAGTGTGCATGATTTCTGATGTGATGTGTATGCCCTCCGCCATACCTACCCTCATCCGTCTCACCTCACCCAGCAGGCAAAGTACGTGTACGGCACAGAGCAGGTCAGGGCGACCAGCGCTGGTAGCTGGAGCCTGGAGGGTGTGCCTGGCAGTGCGTGCCACTTAATGATGCATTCCTCACCACCTTCGCGCTTCCCCCTCCCATGGCACAGGGAAAGTCAAGGCACAGGCCCTGCAGGCACACAGGAGGGTTTTTTAGAATTCTAGAAATCTCTCACAGGGGAAGTCAAGACACAGGCCCTGCACATACGCAGGAGGGTTTCTCAGATTTCTAATAAATCTCTCACAGGGAGAGTCAAGACACAGGCCCTGCACGCACGCAGGAGGGTTTGCCAACAAATCATTTTTCTCCCACCAGCTCTCTACCCTCCCTATGAACCGCCGTGTTATGAGTCTACTTGTGAGTTGACTAAATAATAGACTCACAATGCACGCTGGAGGGTTTGCCAACAAATCATGTCTCTCCCACCAGCTCTACTCTTCCTATTAACCCACTCACCAGACAAGTACGTGTCAAGGCACTGGCGCTGGCAACAGGAGGGAGTGCCAAGGAGCACGCTTGGATTTTCACCATGCCTCTCCCACCACCTTCACCCTCCCTCCCTATCAACCTACCCACCAGACAAGTACGTATAAGTCACAGAGGAGGTCAAGGCCGGGAGCGCGCTTTGATTCTAATCATGTCTCCCCCACCACCTTCACCCGCCCTCCCATCATCCCACCAACCACACAAGTACGTCTATGGCACAGAGGAGGTCAAGGTGTTTGCGCTGGTAGCAGGAAGGAGTGGAATGGTAACCAATTCGATCATTCCCTTACATTCTCATCCCACCCGCCAGACAAGTATGTGTACAGCAACAGAGGAGGTCCAGGCACTGGCGCTGGCCACAACATGGAGTGCCAAGAAGCGTGGTTAGGTGCTAACCATGTTTCTCCCACCACCTTCACCCTCCCTATCCACCGACCCATGACCCGCCCACCAGACAAGTATGTGTACGGCACAGAGGAAGTCAAGGCACTGGCGCTAGCCACAGGAGGGAGTGCCAAGGAGTGCGCGCAGCTGGCAGCACGGGCCTTGGAGCTGGGGGGTGCTGTTGCTGGCGACGCTGCTCCCGCCTGCTCCTTTGAGGAGTGCACGTTTGGGGGCGTGTGGAGCGGGGGCCGGGGCGAGGGCGCTTCCAAGCTCTTTATTGCCTCCTACTTTTTCGACCGGGCTGGCCAGGTGAGGGGATATGAGTGGGATGCATAATAGCAGCTGGTGACGCTGCTCCCGCCTGCTCCTATGAGAAGTGCACGTTTGGGGGCGTGTGGAGTGGGGGCTGGGGCGAGGGTGCTTCCAAGCTCTTTATTGCCTCCTACTTCTTTGACCGGGCTGGCCAGGTGAGAGGATGTGGGTGGGATGTGTAATAACAGCTGCCAACGTGTGAGCTTGACTCCAAGCACTTCGCCTCCAAGCACTTCATGGCCCCCTACTACTTGGTCCAGGCTGGCCTGTTGGTGAGGGAATTCGAGATGCACTGGATGGGCATCGCTGCAGCGTGCACCTTTCATATCTTGTGTGTAGCCCCCTCGTCTCGCTCTCTGGTGTCTTCCTAGCTCGGAGAACCTGCTACGTCTCCTCCCTTCTCGTACTGCATAAGCTGACTCGCATTGATCTGATTGGCATTGATCTGACGTGAACTGACCTGGTTGCTCCTTCTGTACCTATCATCAGCACACCCAAAGCCGAAATAATGCCACGTATCCACCTAGGAAGTGCTTCACCTGCTCCTGCTTTTAAGTTCCCTTTGCCTTATGTTGCCATTTTCTTAACTCCAACAGTGATATCTGGCCCCAAGCTTTGTTCAGCGACTGTTGGCATGACTTTCTGTCTTCCTTCCCCTGCCAACCCATACAGCTTGGCGTTATTCCTGACGCCAAGGCGTCATCAGCTCCCGTCAAGGCAAAGGACTTTGCAGCGGCAGCTGAGGCGGCTTGTGCCACACCTCTGGAAGAAGTCACGAAAAAGTTTCCTCAGGTGGACCAGAAGGACGCGCCCTACATGTGCTTGGACGTGGTGTACCAGCACAAGCTGCTCACTCATGGCTTCAGTAAGTAATGATACACTGAGTTTGTACGCAGCCATTATATGTTCTATCACGTGCTTATAAGGCCTTCAGCATCCGACATGGGATTTGGTGCTTGAGACATGCGTTTATTTTCTGAGTCGCTTGCTCTCCTTGCCCTTCATCTGTGTTCTCAGAGATCGATGATGCGGCAGAACTCACACTGGTGAAGCAGGTGGCTTACAAGGGCAAGGACGTCGAAGCAGCTTGGCCACTGGGTGCTGCAATTGATGCGATATCGTCTTGAGAGGTCTTGCATCTATGTTTTGTTAGATGTTATGCTATTGATGGAAGTAGTCAATTGTGAATCTAGAAAATCTTTTGTCGTACGGTATGAAATGAATCTGATTATTGAATGGAAAACCGTGCTGACTTTGTTCATGTGACTAAGGCCGTGTCCTGCAGGCACATGGGAATAGAAAGGAGACGGAAACGGGGGAAGGATCGAATGCACATTCGTACAAGGTGGTAACCATCCGAGCCTCCAGCTATCGGAACTGAAGTTTCGGCCCGGAGGAGGCGAAGCAACGCGCCTGAATAGCGAAACCCCGACCCCTCGTTGAAGGCACTCGAGACCCCAGATTCAGAGCTGCCCGACTCGAAGGAAAAACAATTGGGTAAAAACCGAACAAAACGATTTAGGGTATCACGTCTGCTGGCGAACACTTCAGCTGAGGGCGCATTCTGCGCTCTTGTCATCCCAACCTACGGTCATCGTCTGCCAGAGTTTAGGAACTTCGAGTCTTCCGGAACGGGGCGAAGGATGACCGGAAGCCTTGCTGACATGATCCCAGAATACGCCCTTGCGTGTGAAGTTGTATGCAATCCGTGAGGCGAGAGCCCGGAAGATGCGTGGTGCTAGATGCTTCTGGAACTGCTATTTCGAGGGCGTTTTCCCGATTTGCCCAGCAAACTGGAATCTGAGGTCTCTCCCCTGCGCTTTTCCCAAGAAGGTGGTGCCGAGATGGGGGAAGGTGGCACCCTGTGCTTCTCGAAGGCTCGATTCCATCTGCTTCATGCTGCGTTCTGCAGGCATCACGATTCCACCTGGTTCGGACAAAGTCTGTGCTGGTTTGGACAAATTTTGGGGCTGACCTGGGCTCCGAGCCGAGAATTCATACTCTCGAAGCTTATTTCCGATACTTCCCAGGAGAGAACCGTGTGCCTGCAGGGCAGGGCCTAAGTGATATCCTATAGTAGTTCCTTACATGATGTGTTTGGACGACCCATCGCACCGAAACCGTTAGAAGTGCACCAATTGGAATATGTAGATTTTGAGGCCTTCATTGGCTGTGTCAGAGGTCGCAGTCTTGGACCACAAAATGATGAGGTCATCTTTGAAGCTGCCATCTGCTCATCCTTGAGCCAGCTCTCCAACGCATAAGTTCAAAAGTCACTCCGCACTTTGTCATCAACCACGTGGAATCGCCCAATCTTTTCAAACCCCACATGGAAAGTGTCGGCCGTGTGGTGTAATATTTGCCGTGCTGTCGGGAGATTTCGAGATTTGCCTCCTCACCAGTGCCCCAACCAGTGGGGCGGTCTGCATACGTGGGCTCTCTTGACACCCGTCGCAGTTTCAGAGGCTTCTCTAATGTCCACAAATTTTGAACCAGCCCCCATGGATAACGTAAATTCCGGGTCAGACTGGATAGAACGCGTTCATTGCTTGTGTGGTTCGGAGATGATCGCTTGTCGGCCTGCATTGTCGTGCAATCTGCTGCGATTCCTACTGTAGCTGGAGAAAACTTAGCCCCATGTTGTTGCGACCTTTTTGGAGCGCTGGTGCGACGTCTAGCTGGACCCATCGTGTGATTGCGCGCTGCTTGCGCCAGAATACACATGGAACTTGCTCATTCGTCCACTTTTACTCGGAAGGAGGGCGACGACATGAGTGCCATACTGAGATGTCCTTTTCCACCGAAGGGATGTTAAGTTCGTCCTGCGCGCTGAGGGGGGTTGCTTGGAGGAAGTGGGCGCAGTTGTGAGTGATGGGAAGCTTTGGCGCAAACCAATGCTGGTCAAGGCTGTCTGCTTCAGCATAGACACTCTGTGCAGCCGTTGTTTCGTGAGTACAGTAGCTCTCAGTATTACGGAAACGGCCTTCGTATGTCCGACACCTTGTTGGAATCAGGGTATAGGGAGGAAAGAATCCAGGAGTTCGTGCTTGCTTCACTTCTTCCCGCAGCTGGTTTAGTCCCAGTATCGTGCTTTAAGCATTCGTTTTTCTCTGGAAGCCTTCAAAAAGTAACCTATTTGGAGAGATTTTATGAGAGTATAACCGAGACGGTCTAAGGGAAATCCGAAGTCCAGGATGAAAACGCAACTTGCAGGGCGCAACATAACGCGCGTATGGGGAAGCAGAGGCGGAACCCATCAGGAATGACTGTTCTTCGCAAACCCATCCACGCAGCCCTCAACGCTTTCCACGAACCGCCCTCGCGTGTGCCGTGTTGCCGTGCTATTGGTCCACAGGCGTTTGCGACTGCGGCCCGAAATACTTCCTCTTGTGGCATCAGCCCCTCCCCTTGCCTGCTTCCATTTTTCTAGGTAGTTGTTTTCGAGGTACAAAACGGTTGGTAAAAAAATTAAACTGGTTTCGTAGGGTTTCGAAGGAGTGCAAAGTCTTATAGTCCGTTGAAGAAGGAAACCCCTGTGCTCGCATTGCTTACGTAGGTACACGTAGCCTAGTGAACCTCCTCCTCCCTTTCGTCGTAAGCGTTTTAGCTCCTAATCTTGAAGGGTAGTAGTCGGTCAGAGGCAGTGACGCAGTGTCCCCCCGTCCGCTGCTTTCCAATAGGTCTGGCTCCCATTCACGGGTTTTGGCACATCACTCCAAAAGGGGCACCTGAAGCACTTTTACGCCATCCTCCAGTCGTTTCCGAGCAGCATTCGTTTCTCGGTTGCTTTTTCTCATCAGCATATATCCCTTCCCACAGCTCTTTATCCAGCAGTGCCTGAAATATCTGCTGCGCCTGTAAACTCCGGGCCTGTCCGACCTTTTGATTCATCTTGCCGCCACTACATTCGAAAAGGAGTTTACTCTCCTATCTTTCCGATTAACGCTCCAAACTATTCGTGATGGAGACACCACTGCCAGTGGCAGTTAATAAATGCAACCAAGCCTCCGCTTCTAGCGACGGTAGTACCGGCGGTTCCGTCGGAATTCGACGGACCTGCGACGTGCTGGAGCCCTCCACTCCGACGAACGGCGGCCGAGCCGCTAAGCGCTTACGACACTCCCACACGCAGACTTCAACGCCGGAGGCAAGGCCGAATCTCCCCGCCGATTCTTCAGAACCAACGCGGGAAGTTCGTCACAGCAGCGCAACGGCAGAAACGTCTTCCCTGGAGGAGATCAATCCGATTTATCCTACAGTTCCTCCTGTCTTCCCTGAGCTTGTCGGGCGACTCGAGGAGACATTTGACCTGGATTGCGACATTCTCGGCGTCGGGCAATTCGGCACAGTTCGACGGTGCGTTTGCCGCGCGACGGGTCAAGCTTTCGCGTGCAAGACGATTCCCACGTCTCGGCTTGTCGACCAATTCGTGAGAGAAGAGGTGAAAATGGAGGTGCTACTTCTGCAGCATCGGTTGAATGTCGGTCAATCTTCTCCCGAAGCACGATTATCAGCAGTCAACGCAAGCAGCGGTGAAGGTTTGGCGACCACGCGATCAACAACGGAAGTCGCCGAGTCGCCGGTTCGCGTGACAAAATCGTCGCACGGTGCTGCAGCGATCGGAGCAGCGACCGGAGCGGCATGGCAACCGGCGATAGTGCAGCTCCACGCTGTTTTCGAGGACGACAAGGCGGTTCACCTCGTCATGGACCTGTGCGACTCTGGCGACTTGTACGACGAAGTCGTGCGACGGGGGAGGCTACCCGAGAAGGAGTCGGCGCTGTTGTTCCGACAGATAGCGTCGGCTCTCGCGTTTTGTCACGCGCGAGGCGTGATGCACCGTGACATGAAACCGGAGAATGTTCTGCTCCATAAGCAAGGAGATGCTTCTAACCGGCTAACCGTTAAGCTCGCCGATTTTGGACTCGCGATTCCGCTTTCAGCCGGCGAAACTACTCGAGGAGTTTCAGGCTCAACGTTTTACATGGCGCCTGAGGTGCTCTCAGGGGAGTACTGCCATTCTGCGGATGTTTGGTCGCTTGGAGTTATCTTGTACACAATGCTAAGTGGTACCGTACCTTTTTTCGGAGCTGACCATAGCGAGTCAACGGATGCTGTCCTGAATGGGCGGTTAGATTTCTCCGGACCAGAATGGGCGACGATTTCAGTCGAGGCGAAAGGGTTGATTCGTTGCATGTTACACCGAGATCCCCGGAGACGGCCAACCGCTGCGAAAGTCTTATCGCATCCGTGGGTGCTGCTGAACGTCTTTGGCGGGAGAATTGTGCGGAGAGCAGTGGCTCGTCCCCTTGAGATTGCCGCGATGGCTGATCAGAGCAAGGCCAATGTCGAGGCACAAGTTTCGGTGCAACAACAATCTGGGGAACTCCTGCGGGGAAAACATTCTCCTGAAGAAACTCATGGGCATGTAGCTGTGTCCTTAGCTGCTGAGCGGGTGAGACAACAACCGGAGCCACTACCTGGAAATGGCTTCTGTCCGGAGCAAGGACAGACTTGCCAAAAGCATCTACACAGGCTAATGGCAGTCCAACCCAGCGGTTTTGTGCAAACGTCTGCCTAAGGTGTTATCATGTATGCATAATGTAACTGTACAGAAAGAAGTTTAAACCCAGCGGTTTTGTGCAAACAGTTGCCTAAGGTGTTATCATGTATGCACGATGTACCTGTACAGGAAGAAGTTTCAACCCAGCAGTTTTGTGCAAACGTCTGCCAAAGCTGTTATCTTGTTCTAACCAATCTGCCCCTAGTGAAGAGGACATTGATGTTGCTTGGAGGCAGGGCATCTTCATGGAAGTTGTGTGCCAAGAGCATTGTCGCACTAGAAGAAGACAACGAGGCAATGTATGCTACCTGTGGCAGTAATGAGGCAACCTTCTGAAAGGTTCTTTCTTTTTATTTGTATGGATAGTTAAGTTGATTTGTGAAAGCATGTAGTGAAGGGCTGTACTGGTTGATTGTATGTAAATCGCTGTTGCACCTAGGGCCCTAGAAAAATCAGGCCCTCGCTGGAGATCTCTCGACTTAGTGCCACGTGAGCAGAACCGTCACACGTGTCACCTTGAGACGAAAAGTGCATCACTGGTTCCAGCATCGCTGGAGCGTGTGACCGCTGATTAGCTGGCTTGGTCGCGGATTGCTTTCCGCCGTCCCTTGTTTCGGAATCCCGCGTTATTTCTGCTGCCCGACGCGCTGCAACCTCGATTTGTGACGGTCACTAGAGGGGCAATTGATGCGGAAATGGTGGAAGATCCTTGGCGGTTACGTGCTATCATTGCGAATGCACCAATAGCGCAGGAGATCTATGCGCTGGCATTTGGGAAGCAGAGAAGGTGATTACATCGAAGGAATGGAAGCCCAAAACGGACCACTGCCACACAAGAAGCTCATGCCACCTGTAGGAAAGAAGCAAGCTCACCAAGTGGAGCATAATAAATCTGGCGGGTTGGGTGGCGGCGGAGCGGAGCCGACCGTGGCTTCCCCTTCCGTCCTTCTTCGGTGCTTCTTGAGCCTCTAAGCGAATCCCCACCGTCGAATTGGATCTTTTTGTACTTCTGCAGCCCCTCGTTGTCAGCTATTTCTGCTCCCCATTCCCCTTGCGCTCCACCATTCGAATGTTCGGTCTTCACTGCGCCCCTCAACACCTCGTTGTCATCAAGTTTTCCCCCTTTTCCCCCCTCTACGCACTGCCCCGCTCGCTTTCCGCTCTCCGTTCTGCGCTCACCGCGCGCTTTCCACCGTCCGTTGTGTTGCGCTGGCGATTGAGGGCATCCCCCCATGCGCCCGCCATGCCCCGCTTCGATTAGCGTTCCCGCCATGCCCCTCCCTTCCCCCCTAGGTAGGACACCCCCGCCATGCCATGCCCCCCAGTCTAAGAGCCCATTGGCCCTTCATGGTCCTGAAGGATTATATCTCAGCCGTTCATCGCAGTGCCTTGAGGTCCTCGAATAATCCTCGCGCCTGGTACTTCTTACCGTGTGCTTCTGATTTCCTAATTATTATTGTGACAGCTTCATGCGTGGTCTAGTTTCTTCAGCAGTCCACTGCTTCACTAGCTTTCCGTTCTAGCGACTTGAGAAAAACAAGTTCTGAAGCTCTCTCTCATTACCTATACAACCGCGGCTTTGTCGAGCGTCACCATGTCCAAGTCAGTTGCCGTCGGTAGCCTCCGGGCTGCCAGTCGCGACGGCTTATCTTCAACGTCATTCCTAACTCACTTAAAGCTCCGGCCTTCAACGTACCGCGGCTCCACTTCCACTTCTCTCCGCGTTGGTCCCTCAATCCGCGCGGTTCTGGACAAACCCTCGAGCAACACCAGCGGCGGAAGCAGCAGCAGCAGCAGCAGCAGCAGCAGCGGCGGCGGCGGCAATGTCAGCGGAAGCCGGTTCAGCCGGAGCAACGCCGGCCATGATTCCCTGGACGTCGCTCGGGCTGCACTGGAGCGGCTATTCTCGCAGAACTACCGACAAGACCTGAAGCCTGAGGTCGACTCCACGAAGTTTCTTGAAGACGCAATTGCTCAGCTCGAAATGGACCTGTCGACGGTGTTCGAAGCCATGCGGGAGAAAGAAGAGGAGCTCGCTGAAGCGGAGCAACGGCTCCTGTTTGACCGGTCGAATTTGGACTCAGCGCGTGAATTGATTCAGGAACGAGAGGCTCGCCTTGTCAAGAGTCAGGCGGCTCAGGTGACTTTGAGGGAAGACGCTGAGAAGATTCGGGCTACGCTGGCGGAACAGACGGAGGAGCTGGCATCGGCTCGAAAGGATCTTGAATTGAGGAATAAGGAGATCCGCGACGCTAAGGACGGGTTGGCTAAGAAGGAAGAGGAGATTACCCGAGCCCACGCGGCGATTCGAGCACGGAATGAGAAGCTGGGGCTTGCCGAAACTGAGCTCAAGGCTCGGGAGGGCCAGCTTTTAGCTTCGACTGCGGAGGTCCGGCAACTGCGGTTGGATCTGAGATCTGCGGTTGCCGACAAGAAGCGGCTGCAGGAGGAGCTGGAAGATTCGCGGAAGGAGCTGCTCCGTCAGGAGGGCAAGCTTGTCGCCATGGAGGCAGATTTGGAGAAAAGAGCCGGCATTGTGACGGCGGCTCAAAAGGAGATTAAGATCCTCCAGAAGCATCTGAAGAACTCCGCAACAACTGGAGAGGCCGCGAGTCGCGAGCTGGCGCAAGCGAAGAAGATGATCGGCGCGGTTAAAGTGGAGCTTAAGGTCTCCAACGAGTCGCTAAACAAATTCCGGTCCGAGGTCCACGAGCTTAAAGCCGCCGTCGTGAAGCAGGACCGCGAAGCGTCGAACGCGGCGATGCTGCTGAAGAAGCGGGAGAGGGAGCTCGAGCGAGCGAACTCGGATCTTGCCAAGGAGAAGGAGACCCTGCAGATGGCTCGCGCCGCGGTCCTGGATGTGGAGATTAAGTTGAAGCACGAGATGGACGCGTGCGAGACGCTCGCGATGGAGGTCCGCGACGCGCGGACGAAGCTTCGCGCAGCCACGGCCGAAGCTGCGGAGCTCCGTAAAGACGTCCGGCAGGCCGAGTCCCAACTCATGGACGCGAAGCTGTCCCTTCAACTTAAAGAGGCCGAACTCGTGGGACTTCGCCTGGACCTACAAGAGACGCAATCGGATCTGTCTTTATCGAAGCAGGACCTCAGATCCCGGACGGAGGAGCTCGAGTCCGCGGTAAGCGCGCTGGAGGGGCTCCGGCGTGAGCTGGCAGCGGTGAAGCTGGAGCTGCAGGTTAAGGAGGAGCGCATGGAGGCGTCTGATAGGGCCCTGGAATTGCGGGAGGAGTCGATTGGGGTGATGGAGGTGAAGCTGGAGGGCAGCAACGCGCGATTGGCGGCGGCGGAAACGGCGGTCGAGCAGATCGCGGCGCTCTCGCGGAAGCTCGCGGATTCCGCGCTGGCCGCGGGGGGGTTCGACATGGGGGTGCTGCCGTCCGAGAGAGCAGTCCAGAGCGGTGGTGCGGGGTTGGGGAGGGTGCGAAGCGGGAAGATGCTGGTGGGGGAGAGTGTTCTGCTGGCGGAGACGAATCGGGAGCTGTTTGCTGCCAGCCGCGCGCTGCTGGAGAAGGAGCACGTGATGCTGTTGCTGCAGGTAGGCCCGTGATGCTGCTGCTGCAGGTAGGCCCGCGATGCTGCCGCTGCAGGTAGGCCCGTGATGCTGCTGCTGCAGGTAGGCCCGCAATGCTGCTGCAGCTGCTGGTAGGCTTTTGTGACTTTTTAAGTCGACTCAGAAGTCAAGTCACCGCTGCTGGAGAAGTAGCGCGTGATGCTGCTGCTGCAGGTAGGCCCATGTCAGCTAGCTCTTAGTCTCTCCCTTGCAGTTCCCCCTACCAATCCGCTTCTTTCCTCCCCCTCCCCCCCCCCCCACCGCCTACCCTCAACCCTATCCACTCTCTCCCTCCACGAGCCATTCGCCTAACCTGTGTCCATCTTCCCTTATCGACCCCCTTCCCCCGAGCAGGAGCAGGAGCAAGAGCAGAGGGCGCAGAACGAGCGCCTACTGGAGCAGCTGCGAGCAGCAAGGGCGGCCCTCGGGGCGAAGCAGACGGAGCTGGACTCGGTGAAGTCGCTCTTGGCGGAGCGGGAGGAGGAGATCCGGCAGCTCAGCGCGCGGTGGGAGGAGCGGGAAGGCGCGCTGGCGACCATGCGCGCGGAGGTGATTGCGGGCGCGCGGGAGATCGCGCAGCTAAGAGACGTGATCAAATCCGCCTCGGCTGTCAAGTCAGGGCAGGCGGCAGGGCAGGCAGGGGAGGGGCAGGAAGCAGTGGAGATTTCTCAGGCGGATTTGGTGGCGCATGAAGTGGTCAAGCTGGAGCTCGAGGTGAGCTGCTCTCTCTGCTCCTAGTGATTCCGCGGCTGGTCGAACTGCCATGTCAGCCCTGCACGGCCTGGCACACCCCTGTTTGCTGTCCGTAGAGTGTAAGCCTGGCGAAGGTGTGTGGGATGCCCGTTGCCTCTGGTCTAACTCCATATCCCCCTTCTCCTTCCCCTTTCCCCTTATTGTGTTCCACAGGTGGCGAAGGTGGAGGTGGAAACGGCCATGTCAGCCCTGCAAGGCCTGGCGGATCTGAGCGCGCAGCTCAAGGCAGGGGTCTGTGAGGAGCGCATGCTGCCTGAATCCTCATCACCAGCATCAGCATCCCACTCAGCTGCTTCCGCCTGTCAACTATTCGACACCAAATCTGTGCTGGCCTCTGCCACTACTCCGGCCAGCAGAGGAAGCCAGCAGGACGGAGAGGAGCAGAAGCAGCAGCAGCAGCAGCGGATGCAGCAGCAGCAGGAGCAGGAGGAGCGGAGGCAGAGGGAGGAGGAGGCGCGGATGCAGCAGCAGCTGAAGGAGCGGGACAATGCGCTGCACATGGCAGTCAGGGCCATGGCCAATCTTACCAGGCTCACCCAGAAACTCGCTGCTGATGCGGAGGCAGAGCTGGGGGGAACGCAGCCGATGCTGCAGATGTAGGCAGGAGGAGTGGAGACAGTGGGAGGAGGCACGCGTGCAGCAGCAGCTGAGGGAACAGGACAACACACTGCGCATGGCAGTCAGAGCCATGGCTAACCTCACCTGGCTCACCCAGAAGCTGCCAGCTGATGCCGAAGCTGACCTCGGGGGGACGCAACCGGTGCTGCAGATGTGTAGATGTGGTTGGGTGCTGGTGGCTGTGCTGAGTGTGGCTGTGCTGCTGGTGGTGGTGCTGCTGGTGGCTCACCAGCCTAACCCAGAAGCTGCCAGCTGATGCCAATGCAGAACTTGGGGTCGCAATTTGAGATTCGCAACCTGTGCTTCTGATGTGGACGTGGGTGGGTGCTGGTGGCTGGCTGAACGTGGCTGTCAGGCCGGGGGGTGCTCCAAGGGGCGGGCTGGGTGTTGCTTATGTTGGGTGCTACCAGGTGCATACCGTTGGAAAGAAGGAATGGAGCTGGCATGCTTGCTGTTGGGACCATGGTACGGTATGCTTTATGGTATACTGTCTTGCTTATGGAGAGCTAACAGGTGTAGGCTTCGTCCACTCAAGACTTGCATGCATCAGTGTGAACGCGTTGGTAGTGATTGGGTATTTTGCTCTCCATATTGTACTGTACATGATGCTTCGGCTTGTTGCCGTTACGGTGGTCTAAATGCCATAAAGTCGCCAGTCCTAACCACTGGGACAAGAAGTGATCTCATCAGGAGGGTTAGGCTCCATATATCCACCTTCCCCGAGGAAAACCTCCCCAGTATCCTCCCTAGAGATGGAGGATCGACAGGGTTATGTTATATTATATCAGTTAGTCTTTTAGTGTAGGCTTGGTAGATGTTATTGAATATTAGTGTAGAGGGTACATTATCCCTCTCTCTTCTTTCCTAGTTCTCTTTTCTCTCGTCAAACTTCCCGCCTATCTCCTAGATCTAGAACTCATGCCATATTCATGGCTTCACCTATTCCTCCCTAGCCTAACTGCACGACATGGTATTAGAGCAGGACGCCCTTCCCGGGCCTGCTCTCCACGCTTCCGCTGTGTACTCGTCCTTCCGCTGCCGCCGTCGCGGCCTTCTGTCCGTTTGCCGCCGTCGCGGCCTTATGCCTGTTCGCCGCCGTTGCGGCCTTATGCCTGTTCGCCGCCGTTGCGGCCTTCGTACTGCCTGCCGCCGTGGCACCGTTTCCAAGATGCCGCGGCGGCCCATGCGTGCTGTCGGCCCAGCGTCGACGAGCAGCTGCGGCGACGACGCCACGCTGTGGTGGCGCCGTCTTGGTGCCGTGGCTACGGCGTCGGCCTGTTGCCGTCGCGCACGACCTGCGCCGCTGCTGGAAATGCAGCCTGCTCGCTCGCCTGTAAGCGCCGCGCCAGCAATGGCGCCGCGCTGAAGATCCGAAGCCCCGCCCCTTCCCCCTTTCCTCTGTCCCCTCCTCTTCGCCACAGCCGCCGTCAGACTCTCGCCAGTCGTTCCCCTGATGCGGAGTTTGGACACACCGCCGGAAGAGCGGGGGCCGCTGCCGTCACCGCCGTCGTAAGCCGAAGCCGTCGCCGTCGCCGCTGTCGTCGCCGCAGGGACTGCCGCCGTCGCCATCTCCAAGGCCTTGGGGTTGGCCCTGTTGGAGTCGTCGTGGCTGATGGGAATAGGGGTGCTAGGTTAGGGGGTGTGGGGGTGTGTGGGTCCTTCTACTACCAAACCTAGGGGGTGTGTTAAATTATATAAGTTATTATATAAATATAGGCTTGGTAGATGTTACTTAACATTACTGTAGAGGGTACAACACCCCTCCTTGTATCCCTCTCTCTTCTTTCCTTGTTCTCTTTTCTCTCGTCAAACGTCACGCCTACCTCTTAGATCTAGATCTCACGCCATATTCATGGCTTCACCTATTCCTACCTAGCCTAACTTCACGACAAGTTATCCCAGTGCCACGACACTAAATACGCTGCTATTCCTACACCTGCAACACCAACTGTGTTATGATATAGGAAGTGCCAATAAACTATAACGTGAGAATACAAGGTCGCTATTGCAATGAAAGACACGAGGTTATATAGAGGTTGGCGTACTAGGTCGATAACCTCGGAACGTGGGTAGGTTCGGCAATGTGGCGACAGTGCCGGACGCGACGCGGGAAAGGGTTGGGCTGATAAACGAGGCCGAACGTGACGAGTCGAGGAGTTCGGGTGTACGCGCTAGCGTACGACTCAGTAAGGAATGGAAATTCCTTACACTACCCCCCCTAAACGAGACCGCGGGCATCGGAAACATTCCGACGCTGATAATACGCTGTAAGAATCGGGTGTGATTCTAGCTCATCGAGGAGCACCCAGCTGTCATCTTGGGGCGTGCGATCGCGCCATCTGACACGGAAATCCACCATCCGACGGTTCAGCTGCGGTGTGACTCGATGGCCGAGAATTTTCAAGGGCTCGGTCGTAGGTTCTTGTAGGGGTGTCAGCTGCGGTGCACTGCGGTGGCGTGCCAACTCCGACGAACTGGGGACGTAGGGCCGTAGGAGGCTGACGTGGAAAGTCGGGTGGTGACACCAGTCAGCCTGGAGTCGGAGGTGAGCAGTGACAGGTGTCACCATGTTGGTCACTTGAAAAGGGCCACAGAATCTGGGGCGGAGCTTGCTCGGAATCGGCACACGCAAATTGCGAGTGTCGAGTAGTACGAGATCTCCCACTTTGTAAGTGACGTCACGTCGATGACGATCGGCTTGTCGGCTTGCGACCAGGTTGGCTTTCTTGATTGCCTCAGCTGCTTTTTCTCGGGCGCCGAGGATGTCTTCGGCAAATTTCTCGGATCGGAGCACGAGTGTCTCGATGTTCAGGGTAGAGGGTACCACGGGGTCCTGTCTGTGATTGAGAAAAAAATGGGGATTGATGGGTTGTGGCGGAGGGCGCGTTATTGTATGCGAATTCCAACAGCGGAAGGGATTTCTCCCATGTCTGTGGGTCAGTGCAGGTAGTCCGAATGAGTTGCTCCATAGTTTGGTTGACTCGTTCAGTCTGCCCGTCGGTTTGTGGGTGGTAGGCGGAGGAAAACTGTAGTTTGGTGCCGAATTGGTCCCACTGGTGGCACCAGAAGTTCGATGTGAATTTCGGGTCTCGGTCTGAAATAATGGCGGTGGGCAGTCCGTGCAGTCGGATGACGTTGGCGATGAACAGTTGGGCAGTTTGGTCAGCCGTAATTGTCTGTTGGCAAGCGATGAAGTGCGCCATTTTCGTGAGTCGGTCAACGACCACGAGGATGGCGTCATTTCCGCTGGGACCGGCCGGCAGTCCTGTCACGTAGTCCATCGTTGGGGGATCGGGCGGGCGGATCCAACGGCTGTAGTAGTTCGGCTGCTCGTTGGTGGGATGATTTCATGATCTGGCAGGCTGTGCAGGTCGTCGACCATGTTTGACCAATAGTAATTGCGCTGCAACGTCTTCATAGTTTTGTCGACTGCGAAATGCCCGGAGGTAGGGTTGTCGTGGGATTCCTGGATTAGAAGGGTACGAAGTAAATCGTAGCCGGGCACCCAGATGCGGGAAGTGTCGAGCTTATTAAAATAGTGTCCGGTGGGGGTGGTATGCTATTGATGAATAGCAGAGCGGAAGAAGGGGTCGATTTTGTAGCAGTGGGTAAATAGTCCGGTAAGCAGTGGGCTGGTCTAGGCGACTAGTATGGCGGTTGTATGGGCACTGGGTCGGGTCAGGGCATCGGCAATATTGTTGGCGCCCCGTTTGTAGGTGATGGTGTAGTGGAAATTCGACTCGAGGAAATCGAGCCATTGGATTTGTCTCGGGTTGAGATTCGGTTGGGTTCGCTGGTATTGGAGAGATTTGTGGTCGGTCCGCACAGTGACGTCAGCGCCTGTTAGGTAGCATCGCCAGGTCTTGAACGTGTGGACGATTGCCAGCATTTCCTTGCTGTGTATCGTGTAGTTTTTTTCCGTGCCCTGCAGCTTCCGTGATTTGTAGGCGACCGGCTGTAATCCGTCGCCGAAATCATGTAGGAGAACTGCACCGATGGTGATGTCGCTGGCGTCAGTGATGACTTTGTATGGACGGTCCGAATCGAAGATGCGAAGGATGGGTGGCGATGTGAGGGCGATCTTTAGTTGGTCGAATGCAGCTTGCTGCTTGTCTCCCCACCAAAAACAATCGTGGTCCTTGAGTGGGTCAGTCAGCGAGGTAGATAACCCAGCCATATTTGGGATGAACGGGCGGACGTAGTTGACGAAACCCAAAAAACTTTGCAGCTCCTTTATGTTGCTTGGCGGCTTCCACTCCTGTATGGTCTTGATTTTCTTGGGGTCGAATTTCACTCCTTCGGTAGCGACGATGTGGCCCAAAAACTCCAACTCCTGCTTAAGAAAGTCGCACTTAGACCCTTTCATGATGAGGTGATTCTTGTGCAGCAGCGTGAAGACTGCATCAAGATCCTGTAAGTGCTGCTCCCTGCTGCGGCTGTAGATTAGGATATCGTCGAGGTAGATAATGACGCATTTGTCCAGGAGTTCCTTGAAAATTCCGTTCATGGTCATCTGGAAGGTCGAGCGCGAGTTCGTGAGGCCAAAAGGCATCACCAGGCATTCGTAGCTGCCGTAGCGGGTTCGAAATGCCGTCTTGTGACAATCCTCGGCGGCGACGCGAATCTGATGGTAACCCCCTCGCAAATCCATTTTCGAGAAGAACTTGGCTCCGCGAAGTTGGTCGAGTAGTTCGTCGGCTCGCGGGATCGGGTAACGCGACTTGATGGTGATCCTGTTGAGCGCGCGGTAGTCGATGCACATTCTGAATCCTCCATCCTTCTTCGGCGTGAACAGTATCGGGGCGGCGTACGGGGACGTACTGGGCCGGATAAATCACTTCGTCAGAAGGTAATCTAGCTGTTGCTGCAATTCTTCCAATTCTGGTTGGCTGAGCCGAAATCGTCGCGGTACCGTCGGTTGGGCGCCTGGTTCCAGCTCGATGCGATGGTCTTCTGGTCGGCTCAGCGGAAGTCCAACGGGCAGGTCATCCGGGAAAATCTCGGGGTATTTTCGAATCAGGTTCGCTAAATCCGGAGGAACGGCTTCGCACAGCTTTGCGATATCTTCGGCTGTTGTCGTCGACGTCACCTCGCGAAGATAAACGGCGTACGCTGCAGCTCCCGCTTTTATCGCGCGTTTGAAAGTTATCGCATGGACTTGGGTGCTTCGCATGCAAGGCTCTGTCCATTTTGGTAGCTCGTGCGAGATCCCATCGAGCTTTATACTGCAGCCGCCCGTCGTCCAATCGATCTTCGGGTTGTACCATCGCAACCAATCACGTCCCAGCGGCACATCACACCCGTCGAGTGTAGTTGCCAGCAGCCCCATCCGAAATTTTACATGCTCCCCGCAAATAAAACCGACGTTCTCCACTCGTTCCCGTACTGCCAACGGTGTTCCGTCCACTAGTCGGGCGTCGATTTCGGGTAGACACTTTAGTAAGGGTTTCCCCAATTTCTTAGCCCTTTCCAACTGCATGAGACTGTGACTCGTGCCTCCATCCACGAAAATCTTCAATAACACTTCGTTGACTTTACCCTCCACCAACACAGGGTGATCAGCAGTTTCGTCCCCCTTATTCGTCCGTGTCTGGTCGATTGCAGCAATCGGGATCACGACCCGGTGGGGACTGTGTGGCTCGGGCAAAGAAGCCTGCCTGTCAGTCAGGGGCCCGGTACTTACTGACGCGACCCATTTCCCGGTCGCTCCTCCGGTCTCTTCCCCATAGAATTCTGGAGGGCTATGAATTCTTGGCAGTTGCGTCGGATGTGACCCGGTCGGCCACAGTGGTCTCATAGCCCCGTATTTCGCGGATCAACTGTGTAAACATCCACTGCGTCCACCCCTTTTATCGTGGCGCGCTGGTACTGTTCTCGAGGGCGACCTCCGTCGTAGAATTTCGTCCTCGGCTTCGTGAGCAAATCAGCGGCTTCGGCGAGTTGGATGTAGTCTTGTAACCGCTTCGCAGGGCGTTGCAGTTTTATCTGGTAGTGTATTTTAGGCTTCAGACCGCCCATGTACGTGTCAACCTTCTCCAACTCGTGCATGTAGTCACATCTGTCCACCAACGTCAAGAATGACGCGGTGTACTCGGACACTGTTCCCACCTACTTCCACATGCGTAGAGTCTCGCGCACTGTGTCTGAGTCAGGAGCATGCTCAAACCGCTTGCGAAGCTCTACGCACCACGTTGCCCACGTGCGAATGTGGGTCGCACCGAACAACAAGTCTGTCTCGTCTTCGTCGCCGAATTCTTCGGGCCACTCGTGCTGTCCTTCTGTGCCGCAGAGTCGACGATGACCTTCCACCATTGTAGGGTGGCCCCTTGCAACAGTGTTAACGCGTGGCTGATCCGCTTCTGATCTTCTCGGATGCCCGCCGCGTTAAAATAGATATTCACGGTGAATATCCACTGCCGCACCGTCACGCCTTTATTAGCTGGGTCGAAAGGAGCGGGTTGCTGATATCTTACGCCGCCACGTGTCGAGCGTGGGGCTGTTGCCGCTAGTCGTGCCAGCTCCACTGGCGACAGTTGCTGCTCATCCGCCTCACTTCGTGCATCGTCGCCCGGCTCCTCCGAACGCCACTCCTGCGCCTGGTGAAGTCGTTGGTTCTCGTCGCGGAGGTTATTGACAACGCTTGTCAACATATTCAACTGCTCCATTAATGCTTGCAGGTCCACAGTTTCCCGGGCAGGGTTCGCAGCAATCGAGGTGGAGTGTATCAAACCTAGAATTGAATAATGAGAGAGAGAGAGAGTACACAAACATATACCTAAATGTTGTACTCTCTAGAAGGTGACCCTATACAGTCTATACAAACATGATAACTACACATGTTTGACACACCCCCTGGATTGCATAGGGGAATGTTCTAGACAAGTAGCTCAGGGTGGCACTACTAGTCCAGCCTCTGAGACAAGGGTCTAAAAGACCAGTCAGAAGGAGTACAGACAAGGCAAGAACGAGTACAGGGCGGCACTACTAGTCCAACCACTGTGAGAGGACACAAGTCCAGTCTGAGTGTATACATATATATATATACGACAGTACAAAGTCAAGGCCCGAGTAAGTGAGAGACTACAGGAACCAGACCAAGCTGTAAACAGTGCCGCTGATGATCTTTAGGCGCAAGCGCCTTCGTAAAGATATCAGCTGTGTTGGCACCGGAGGCCAAGTGTACTACGCGAGCCTGGCGCCGCTGCTGTAGCTCGCGCAGGAGGAAGTACCGCAGCTGGATGTGCTTCGCTCTGCCCTCGAGTCGAGGCTCCTGACACAGGAGAATCATGGCCCTATTGTCAGCGTACAGGACCGGGGCAGAGCTAGGCCGCTCACCTAAGTCAGTGAGCAAGTAGGTCAGCCAGCGGAGCTCCTGTGCCGCCATGGCACCGGCGTAGATCTCAGCCTCACAGCTGGACTGGGCAACCGACGAGGAGCGGGTAGCTCTCCACGAGACAGCACCTGAGCCAAGGCTAAAGCAGTAGCCCTGGGAAGACCTGAGCGTCTCGGCGTCGTCTGCCCAAGAAGCGTCTGTGTGTCCAGTAAGGACCACTGGCCTGCGTCCGCCTAGCACTAACCCCATGCCCGATGTACTTGCAAGATAACGCAAAACCCTCTTAGCGGCAGACCAGTGCTGAGGTCGGTGTCTGCCTGTGGCCACAAAACGAGCCAGGATGCTGAGAGGGTATGCGAGATCTGGGCGAGTGCAAGTCATCAGGTACATGAGGCAACCCACTAGCTCAGCGTAAGGACCACTGGGATCTACCGACTCCTCAGGAACTGGAGCGGAGAGTCTGTGGTCCAGAGGAAGAGGGGTGGGCTGTGCGGAGGAGAACTGAAGGCCGAACCTCTGAAGGACCTGGCGCACCAAGTGTGACTGAGTCAGGGTGATGGTGCGCGCGGCTCTGTCCCTGGAGATCTGCAAGCCAAGGTAACGGCGCAGCTCTCCAAGGTCAGTGCAGGTGTGTCTCTTCAGCAGCTCTGCCTTCACGGAGGCCAGTGCGTCCCTGTCAGCTGTGGCAAAGACCAGGTCGTCTACGTAGACGAGGATGTAGAACGGAGTCGAGCCAGCACGAACGAAGAGCGAGGGGTCTGCAGAGGACGGAAAGAACTGCAGGTCAGCAAGAGTAGCACGCAGTGTGTCGTGCCACTCACGAGGCGCCTGGCGCAGGCCGTAGACTGGGCGCCGCAAAAGCCACTGGGTCCCAGGGGGGAAGGTGCCAGTAAAGCCCTGAGGACGACGCAGGTAGACCTGCTCGTGAAGGCTGCCCTGAAGAAAGGCAGTGGAGAAGTCGAGGGAGTGAAGCTCGTAGTCACGCTGAGCCGCTACGTGTAGCAGAACCCGAAGAGTAGTCATCTTCGGGGTAGGAGCGAAAGTCTGAGAGAAGTCCACCCCCTCGCGCTGACTGAAGCCTCTAGCCACGTAACGCGCCTTGAACACAGGCGGCTCTCCAGGAGGGCGCTTCACCTTGAAAAGCCAACGGCCATCGACCACGTTCACCCCAGGTGGGGGAACTGCGTCGACGAAGGTGCCGGTGGATCTCCAAGATGCCATCTCCTGCTCCATGGCAGCTATCCACTGAGAGGCCCAAGGTCCCGAAACCGCCTCAGCGTAAGTACGAGGGGTCGGGATGTCAAAAGCGTCTGGGTCACCCTCAGGGACTAGCAGCATGGAACAGAGATGGGGAGCAGCCTCGGACAGGAAAGCAAGCTCGAACTGGCGGTCCTCCAGGACGTCACTGCCGAGGGCAGGAGCACCCCCGACAGACGGAGGACAGGCAGGGTCAGAGACCAGAGCGGAGGCGTAGTCAAGGCGGCGGGTAGAGGCGAAGTCAGCGACCGCAGCGACAAGGGCGTCAAGACTCGACACTGGAACAGACGGGTCGGTAACGAGAGAGGCAAGGACCCGAGGAACAAGAGGACGAGCGGCACGAAAGTAGTCAGACAGAGGAGGAGACGCAACGACAAGAGAGGACGGAGGAGGAGACGGGAGGAGGGGAGGACGAGACGCGTGGGAGCGGAGCAACATAGGGTGAGTGCGCGGGACGGGGGAGACAGGACGAGCACGGGAGGGGCGGCGAGACCAGACGTGAGAGGGCGGCGTCGGGTCAGGAGACAGAGGAGGGGACACGGGTGGGGAACGAGGGGGAAAACGAGCCGGGGACGAGCCCGGCGGAGGGAACACAGGGCCGTAGACGGGAAGAGGGGGAGACGGCCGGGGAGGAACAGGCGCAGGGTCAGGGGACGGAAGGCCGAGCAGACGGAGGGCGGACACCGGCGGGGACTGCTGCTGCGGCGACACAACACCAACGCCAGGGCCACAAGCTGCGCGACGGCTACCTCCCGAACCCTCCACACCGGCACCCCCAGAAGGGACACCACCAGAGCCCGAAACACCGCCAGCACCGGTACCACCCCCAGGCCCGCCGGGACAAGCCACGACAGGAGCCCCGGGACTAGTACCCACCTCAACTCCAGCACCCCCAGAGTCCACAAACAGCGGCAGCGACGACGGCGGCGGCGGCGGCGGCGGCTGCAGCGACGGCCTCGACGGCGGCGGCGGCGGAGACGACGACTGCAGCAGCTGCGGCGACGGCGGCTGCGGAGGCGGTGGAGGAGGAGACACCGGGGGAGGGACAGACGGCGAGGACTGCGCCAAAGGACTACCAGAGTCAGAAGACTCGTCGACCGGAACGACCGACGGGAGGGGGGTGACGTGAGACACACCAGAGGGGGCCGGACGGGGGGGCGGGGGGGGGGGAGGGGCAGGGGCCACCAGGGAGGGAGGAACCAGGAACAGGGGGGGAGTAACCGGGGGACCACGGTGGGGAAAGCGGCGGAAGAAGGAGACGGACTCGTCAAAGGTGACGTCGCGAGAGTGAAAGAAACGGTGAGACGGCGGGTGGTAGAAGTGCCAGTCGGACGCGTCAAGGGGGAAACCGAGGAAGACGCAGGGGAGGGTGCGGGCAGTGAGCTTGTCCGTGCCAGAGGCACGAACGTGAGCAAGGCAGCCCCAGACGTGGAACGCAGACGCGTCACCAGGGGACCCGGTCCAAAGAAGGGTCGGCGAAACCTGCGGCCGCTGGGGGTGCGGCCACAGGTTAAGCTGGTGAGCGGCGTAGCGCACGGCGAACGGCCACAGAAAATGGGGTGCACCAGCGTGGATCATGGAGGTGCGAGCCACCTCCATGACCAAACCGATGCGTCGCTCAGCGACCCCATTCTGCTGCGGGGAGTCCGGCAGGGTAAACGTCTGGGTGATGCCCTCCGCACGACAGAAGCGACCAAGGACACCTGAGGCGAACTCGCCACCCCCGGTCGGAGTGGAGGCGCAAGGCAGGGAGACCGCGGTGGAGACGAGCAGAGACAAGCCAGGGGATGAGAACGTCAGGCACGTCGGCCTTCCGCTCCAGGGGAAAGACGGTGGTGTAACGTGTGAAGTCGTCGACAAGCACTAGGAAGAAGCGCTCGCGACGCGGCCCATGGACCGGGGCTGGGCCCCAGACGTCCATGTGCAGAGTCTGCAGGGGTGCGGTGGTAGGGGGAAAAGAGGAGGAGTGAGGGGCACGGCGGAGCCGGCCCTCGACACAAGGCGTGCACGGTGGGGCGGGGGATGAGGGAAACTCAGGGAACGAACCGGGGAGACCAAGGACGAGACCGTGCTGGGACATGTGACGCAGACGCGGGAGTGCAGGGTGACCAAGGCGGTGGTGCCAAAGGAGAGTCGGATGAGTGAGGGACCGACAGGAGCACGCAGCAGCAACCTGGGTGGACGCAGCTACCTGGGGGGAAGACCCAGCCGGGGACGTCGCGGTGTCAAGTGTGAACAGGCCGGACACCGGGTCCCGGGGGAAAGTGGTAAGGGGGGCACCAGTGGCGGCCTCGGTACAGACAGCATACCGCTCGTGACCAGGGAACGTAGTGGTGACGCCAAGGTCCTGGAGGCAGCCGACACCAACTAGGTTCCTGGAGAACGAGGGGATATGCAGACCGGTGAGCGAACCTGAAGGAACCGCCGGACAGGGAAGGGAGGTGGAACTGCGGGCAAAGACGGGACCACCGGAGGGGTCAGCAAGAGTAACTGCAGCAGGAACAGGCAGCGGCGTCAGCGTCGTGGAGTCGCGGAAGAAACACCGGGAGGCGCCAGAGTCCAAGGTGAAGGAAAGCGCAGCAGTCGCGCGGGGCGACAGTGAAGCGGTGGAAGCACCGAGGCTAAGCAAAGCAGGAGATCCTACGCCTGACGCAGCAGGGGAGTCTACGCTAGGCACAGCTACACTAGGCAACACGGGGTAATAAGAGGGAAGCACACTAGAGTCATCGGCATACATCACATGCAAGGCTGCTACAATGGCATCCATGTCCAAGTCAAAAATCCAAATGCTACGCCTAAGCAAGCTGTGCCAGTCCGGGAGGTCGGGCGCCGGGCCAAAGCGCTGGCGGAACAGGTCGTCCAGACGACGAAAACAGCGAGGAGTGGAATGACCGATCTTACCGCAAACGAAGCCGCGGCGAGGACCGGTCTGGATCTGGTACTGACAGGGCCCGCCTCCAGAACCACCACCCGGTGCACCACCACGCGCACGACCACCACCAGCTCCAGGCCACCCAGGCGGGAGAGCACTCGCCGGCCTCGTCTGCGGCGGCTGCTGCGGCTGCTGCGGAGGCTGCTGCTGCTGCGGCTGCTGCAACGGTGGAGGCAGCGGGGCAGCTGGACCGGGCAGGGTCCCCACGTCCGCACCGGCACCGGACGACCCGCCTCCACCACTACCCCCACCCGCACCCCCGCCACCTCCGCCGCTCCCAACCTTGGGGCGGCGGCCCTTCCCCGAGCGGGACTGCACTGCAGCAGCAGTCTCAGCCACAGCGACAGAGCCGTCGGAGAAGGTACACTGAGCGGGGGCACAACCCTGAAAGATAGGGACCGGTACTGTACCGCTCGCCTGGGCTATGGAGCGGTGACGAGTCTCTATGGCAGTCAGGGTGTCAACAAAGTCGGTGAGGGTGAGAGCAGCAGGGTGGATGCTAAGGAACTGGTCGCGGGCGGCGGCAAGGCGGTCAGGGAGGCGGGTGGCAAGGAGGTAGAGGGTAGAGGTCATGGGAGGCTGGTGGACTCTAAGCTGTGCATCAGTGCAGGCAGCGCGCCAGGCCTCATCTATCGAGCGCAGGTGGGCAGCGAGGTCAGAGACAGTGGGGAAGGACGCCAGGTCAGGAAAGAGCAGGGGGAGGATCAGGCGACCCACTGAGGCAGCAGGAGGGGTAGAATAGCGCTTGATGACAGCATCGAGGTAGGCCTGGGCGGTAGTAATGGTTCTAAAGCGAGGGCGCTCAAGGGGGGGGAGGGCATTGCTAATGGCGAGCTGAGCAAGGGCATCGCGGGAAAGCCAGACAGAGCGGGCAAGGGCAGCGGCGGCAGTGGACTCGCGCTCAGCGGGCGTGGGATCAGCAGGCAGCACAGCAGGGGGGTCAGGGCAGGGGAGCATACCGTCTAGGTGTGCAGAAAGCGGGTGGCCGTCCTGCCGCTGACCAGTGAGGTGGCGGCGAAGGTCAGCCAACCACGCCTCGAACTCCAGAGGCTGACCCTCAGCATCAAAACGAAGCTCAGCAGCCATGAGGGGCAGTGGAGGACAGTGGAGTGCGGTGTAGTGCTGTGCAGTGCGGTGCAGGGCGGTGCAGTGCGGTCCAGTGCGGTGCAGTGCGATGCAGTGCGGTGCAGTGCGGTTCAGTGCGGTGCAGTGCGGTCAGTGCGGTTCAGTGAGGTGCAATGCGGTGCAAGGCGGGGCAGGAAAGTGCAGGAGGGTGCAAAGTGGTGCGGGGAACGGGGGACAGTACCAGAAAGTATGGAGGGCCGGGGCAGGCGCGACGGGGCCGGGCAAGCGCGACGGGGCCGGGCAGGCACGTCGAGGCCGGGCAGGCGCGACGGGGCCGGGCAGGCGCGACGAGGGGCCGGGCGGCTGCGACGGGGCCGGGCGGCAGCGACGAGGCCGGGCGGCTGCGACGGGGCCGGGCGGCTGCGACGGGGCCGGGCGGCAGCGACAAGGCCGGGCGGCAGCTACGAGGCCGGGCGGCAGCGACAGGGCCGGGCGGCAGCTACGAGGCCGGGCGGCAGCGACAGGGCCGGGCGGCAGCGACGGGGCCGGGCAGGACATAGCAGGGCCGGGCGGGGGCGACGGGGCCGGGCGGGCGCGACGGGGCCGGGCAGGTGCGACAGGGGCCGGGCAGCTGCGACAGGGGCAGGGCGGGCGCCACGGGGCCGAGAGGCCGCGACAGGGCCGAGCTGGGGCGACGGGGCCGAGCAGGGGCGACGGGGCCGAGCAGGGGCGACGGGGCCCAGGAGGGTGGATACGGGGCCCAGGGAGGAGCGCGGCAGGGCCCAGGAGGGGCACAAAAGGCCCAGGAGGGGCGCAACAGGCCCAGGAGGGGCGCTACGGGCCCAGGAGGGGCGCAATGGGGGCCCAGGAGGGGCGCGGCGGGGCCCAGGAGGGGCGCAATGGGGGCCCAGGAGGGGCGCTACGGGCCCAGGAGGGGCACTACGGGCCTAGGAGGGGCGCGACGGGGCCTGGGAGGGGCACGACGGGGCCCAGGAGGGGCGCTACAGGGCCCAGGGAGGGCGCGACGGGTCCCAGTAGGGGCGCTACGGAGCCCAGGAGGGGCGCGACGGGGCCTGGGAGGGGCGTTACGAAGCCCAGGAGGGGCGCTACGAAGCCCAGGAGGGGCGCGACGAGGCCCAGGAGGGGCGCTATGGGGCGCTACGGGGCCTGTGAGGAGCGCGACGGGGCCCAGGAGGGGCGCTAAGGGGCGCGACGGGGCCCTGGAGGGGCGCTACGGGGCCCAGGAGGGGCGCGAAGGGGCGCGACGGGGCCCTGGAGGGGCGCTACGGGGCCCAGGAGGGGCGCTAGGGGGCGCGACGGGGCCCTGGAGGGGCGCTACAGAGCCCTGGAGGGGCGCGACGGGGGCCTGGAGGGGCGTTACGAAGCCCTGGAAGGGGGGCGCGACGGGGCCTGGAGGGGCGCTACGAGGCCCTGGAAGGGGCGCGACGGGGCTAGGGGGAGGGGTCGCGACTGGGCTCAGGAGGGGCGAGGCGAGGCTAGGAGACGCGACGGGAGGAGCGGAAGCGGTAGGGGGGGGGGGGGGGGGGGGGGGGGGGGGGGTCGAAACCTACTCGTGATACCATATCAAACCTAGAATTGAATAATGAGAGAGAGAGAGTACACAAACATATACCTAAATGTTGTACTCTCTAGAAGGTGACCCTATACAGTCTATACAAACATGATAACTACACATGTTTGACAGAGTGTTCCTCAACCGTCGAATCTACCGGGGCCATGGCGGTCAGGACGGGGCAGAAGCTAGCGCACACGCTGTAGTTGTTGACATAAAAATATTTACGATCCAAGACAACTGCTGTGCAGCCGTGCTAATCCCCTCTGACCACCCTTAACTAATTAAACGGGAAAAACGGAAGGTTCCTGGAAAGCTCGGGCTCTGATACCAGCTGTTATGATATAGGAAGTATCAATGAACTATAACGTGAGAATACAAGGTCGCTATTGCAATGAAAGGCACGAGGTTATATAAGGGGTTGGCGTACTAGGGCAATAACCTTGGAACGTGGGTAGGTTCGGCAATCAGGCGACATGTTGAGTGACCCGCTGGGGTTGCCCTTGAGATCCTCGGGGAAGGGCCACAGGTGCAGAGCCTGGGGGGCTATGGGCGCACTTACCCGCTATTCAACAAGCCCTTTTAACCCAGTGGTTAGTGACTGGGTTTCTGACATGGTACATCAGAGCCAAAGGTCTTGGGTTCAACTCCCAGTGCCAGCGCTACAGAGGCGCTTGTGTCTTCCACCTATCCCAGCGGGGGGGGGGGGTGTTGAGTGACCCGCTGGGGTTGCCCATGAGATCCTCGTGGAAGGGCCACAGGTGCAGAGCCTGGGGGGCTGTGGGCGCACTTACCCCCTATTCAACAAGCCCTTTTAACCCAGTGGTTAGTGACTGGGTTTCTGACACGACAGTGCCGGACGCGACTCGGGAAAGGGTTGGGCCGATAAACGAGGCCGAACATGGAGTTGAGGAGTTCGGGTGTACGCGCTAGCGTACGACTCAGTAAGGAATGGAAATTCCTTACAAACTGCAATTAGAGGTTACTACACTGCACTAGAAGTCACGGGCAGCTCTTATTTCGTGTTCCCAGGGGGCTACAAATAAGCAAATCTGGAACATCCACAACACAACCAACCAGTGTCCATTCTCCACGCCAGATGCCCATAAGGCAACTGCAGCTTTGGCGCACACAAGGCCAATGAGCACGCCCTTATTTACAGCCACCATATACCACAGCCAAGCCCCCAAGAAACAGGCTAGCACAGCTCACTATACAGGATGCCTCTCTAGGCAGCTGCTCCTTTGGGGTAAACAAGCCCGTACAGCATGGCCTGCTACTGCGCCTGCTTCACCCCGCATGCTTCATTGCATGCTTCACCGCATGCTGCAGCGCATTCTGGTTCAAAACAGGCTGCTGCTGCTCCCCACACATACCCTCCCTCACCCCCCAACACCATCAACACAAGATGCCTCACTAAGCCGCTGCTCCCTTGGGGTAAACAAGCCCGTACAGCATGGCCTTTTTTATCGCATGCTGGAGCTTGTCCTGGTTTACAACTGGCTTCTGCACTCCACGTGATGCACCACCACCACCAGAATCCACACCTGACGCACCATCTACTGATGCAGTACCAGCCGCTGCTTCGTGCTCGCCAATTTCAAGAAAGTATTTCTCGAGCCCGCCCGGCATGCACACCACCAGCATGCGGGCAGGCTGGCCCGAGTCGTTGCGGAAGGAGTGTGCGCGGCCCAGCGGCATGTGCATGAAACTGCCCTGGGTGGCTTGATAGGTCCTGGATGGGGTGATGGGTGGGGGGATGGGTGGGGGGATGGGTGGGGGGATGGGTGGGGGGATGGGTGGGTACGGGTACACGGAAGATTTCGGAGCAACGGTTGGGCAGAGTCGTCGCGGCCCAGAGGCATGTGCATGAAGCTGCCCTGGGTGGCTTGAAAGGTCCTGGAGGGAGGAGGAGGGGGGCGAGGGGGAGGACGGAGGGGACATGAGTGGATGGCGGTTGTTGCGGACGGTGTGTGCACAACCCAGGGGCATGTGCAAGAAGCTGCCCTGGGTGGCTTGAAAGGTCCTGGAGAAGGGAGAATGGTTGGGAAGGTGGGCGTATGGGGGGAGTGAATGGTAGTCGGAGTCGTTGCAAAATGAGTGTGCGCGGCCCAGAGGCATGTGCAAGAAGCTGCCCTGGGTGGCTTGAAAGGTCCTGGAGAGAAAAGGGGGGGAGGGGAACAGGAAGGGGGGAGCGGGGGGAGGATGGATGGGGATGAGAGGATTGGGGGATGGGGCAGGAAGGACATCAATGGATGATGGCTGGATTTTTTGCGGAAGGAGTGGGCGCGGCCGCGAGGCATGTGCATGCAACTGCCCTGGCTGGATTGAAAGGCCCTGGGGGAGAGGGGGAGGGCGGGGGGGGGGGGTGTGTAAATGGTGGGAAGGTGGGGGGATGAATGGGGATGGGAGGATGGGGGGGTGGGAGGATGGGGAGATGGGGGGATGCGGGGATGGGGGGATGCGGGGATGGGGGGATGGGGGGGGATGGGGGGATGTCAACGGATGATGGTTGGCATCGTTGCAGGGGGAGTGGTGGCGACTCTGGCTGGCTTGAAGGGTCCAGCAGGGGATTAATTGGTGGGAAGGTGATTTTTGAGGCGCTTTCTGAGGCGCTTTTTGAGGCGCCTCAAAAATCGACTCTGGCTGGCTTGAAGGGTCCAGCAGGGGGATTAATCGGTGGGAAGGTGGGGCATCGGGGTTTAGTAGGAGTCTGGTTGAAACGCTAGGGGAAGGAGTGTGGCCGAGGGGCATGTGCATGACAGCTGCCCCTGCTGCTCGAATAGCACACGTCATCTGCCATGTCATCTGCCACGTCATCTGCCACGTCATCTGCTGACACAAACTCACTCTTGTTCGATGGTCCATGTCATGCGCCCATCCAGTAAAAACCACGCCTCGTGCTCGTGAGTGTGAATGTGCTCCTCTGACCCCCCCCCCCCCCCCCCCCCCCCCGCCGGAACCTCATACTCCATCACACTCTAAGTACATTCCCCATCCCATCTAACCCCACTCTTTCAACCCATGAGCCCCCCCCCCCCATCTGCGCTCCCTGTCTAAACTCCGCCCACTCCTCTGCCCTTATGACTCACTCTTGCTCAATGGTCCACGTCATCTGTCCATCCAGCAGAAACCACGCCTCGTGCTCGCGCGTGTGAATGTGCTCCTCTGACCCCTCCCCTGCCAGCACCTCATACTCCATCACACTGTAACTCCCCCCCGTCTGCTCCGCCTCGGCTTTAACTCTCACTCTCATCCCCATCGCGTTCACCACCTTCCCCCCGTCCGCGCCGACCAAACCCGTCGCGGCATGCGGACAGCTGGCTTGTTCATCTGGCGCAGCAGCGGCAGTGGTGGGTTCCGTGTCCGGGGCTGCGGCAGCGTCAGGCTCGGGTTCTGCCAGCCTGGCAGAGTCCAGCCTATCCATTGGTGCCACGTGTGCAAGATCCCCCAGTAATCCTTCTGCACTTCCCCCGTTCACGTTAGTAGGCCGGCCTAGGCTCACATACCCCTTACCGTCCATGTCATCTACCCACACCGCCCCCTCTCCTCGGCCCCCATTTCCCCCCATCTTTCCCCCATTCGCCCCACTCCCATCCCTCCCCACCCCTACCCCCCCCTCTCCTCCCGTTTCCGCCTCCCCCTTCCCTCCCCCCGCGCCCTCCCCCTGCATGCCCCCCCGCACTGCCCCAGTATGTTCCGCCATGCTGCGCTGTGAATGGAGGCTGGTCGCGGATTCCACCTCCGGCGCGTGGCTCTTCCCCCCCAACCCTTCCCCCGATTCCCCCGCGCGCCCTTGCGCCTCCCCGCTTCCCCCCCCGCCTTCGATTACGTCCGCGCGCCCCTCTCCTCCGCCGCTGCCCCCGTCGTCTTTAACATCCGTTTCCCTTAACTCGCTGCGGCCGCCGGCAGCGAAAGACGCGGAGGGTTGTTGATCGAATCTCCCTGCCGCGTGGCGCGTGCCGATTAGTTGGCCCGTTCCCGGCCAGAACGACGTGGCACCAGTTGACGCGGCGGCGGCTGCCACGTGGATGGAACGCGATTCCAGAACCTCCTCCACACCCCCGTCCATAAAATGCGCCGTGAAATATGCCGCAGAGACTGCAGCCCTCCCAAGCACCATCCCCTCCCCGTGAGTGGGCAACGGGGAGGGGGATGCGGCGGGGGAACCGGGAGACGGGATGGTTCCGCCGGCGCTGCTGATGGCGGAAGTTGAAAATTGGCGGCCGCAGGAATGAACGCCGCGGAGGTGCATTGGCGGAAACTGCTGCGGAGACTGCTGCGGAGACCGCAGCGGAGGCAGCTGCGGAAACTCCCGCGCGGACAGCTGCTGCGGAGACTGCTGCAGAGACGTCCGCCGATTCCCGGGATAATCGCTGTAAGCTGCGGCCGAAAAGCGGCGGTCAGCGGAAGGGACGGTTACCCCCACAACCTGAGAGCAGGAGAAACCCGCAAGGCAAAGAGCATCCCATCGGCACATGACGTCAGGATAGGAGCACGTATTCGCCTCAAAAATAGACGCATCGGGAAGATAGCAGGACAGGATTACGACTCTTAGTGACAGGAAAAACAGGAAAGACTTTTAGTGATAAGTTGGTGATAAGTCGGTTTTTGAGAATTCTCAAAAACCAAAGAACAGGAAGGACTCTTCGTGATAATAGAGAACGATACGAGGGAAAATGCATGCTGTGAGCGACCAGGTAAGGAGCAGAATTCACGGGAGACGACGCGACGTGCCTTATTGTGAAATCGCGAGACTCCCCGTGCTGCTCGGTGCGCCAAGACGCTGTAAAGGGCCGCCATGATTGGTCGACGTGTGACTGTGTGGCTACCTGCGGCCTGGAAGGGGGGAAAACGGCTAAACAGGTCACCGAGAGCCCGCAAGAGCAATTGCTTGCTCTGCGGAATTACTTTTCCCTTGCCGGAAACAAGGCCTGATGGACGATGCTCCGGGCTGGGCGCCGTTCCTTCCGTGCTCTCAAAACAACAATTAAGGGAGGGGTGAGAATGCTGGCGCGAGGTGCGGGAGGAAGGTGGGGGACCTTCTATAATAGTCGAGGGTGGAGGAGGGAATGGGAGGGGATGCAATCGCCACAACCTAGGGGAAAAAAAAGGGGGATCGCGCGAAGTTCCAAACCCCCCTCCTCCTCCCGCCCCCCTCCTCAGGAGAGAAAATGCCGACATTCTTCATTTCCTGAATTCCCCTGAGTTCTCCCACTCGATAGTTCCTCCCCCTGCACACGTGGTGTGAGGCATGCGCGGGAGCCTAAATCCGTGCGCCACGGTTTTTTTGCATGCATGCGCGAGCAGCATCCTGCGTGTTGCCTTGTGATTTGTCATCCTAGGGCTCAACCGCCAGTGCCACGCCACCCAAGCGCGCAAATTGTGTGCCATGACATGGGGATGTCGCGAGGTTCCTTGCAGAAGAGTGATTAATCGGTTCCACTAGTTACAGAGCATTTCAAGGGTGTGTGTAATGGTATGCTGGTCAACTTCTTGTGAGTGGTTTGTCACTGCCACGTGATTCGAGATCTCACCCGCATCGCGTCAATAAGATCCAAGCTGGCGCGCGCATCAGCAACGATGACGTGGTGCATGTGCACTCTCAATCCATCCACCGTGGTTGCTGCCATGAATGACGTGTTGAGAGTCTGGCATATGTTACTACTGACAATGGTTGCAAGGAATTTTCCATCTGTTATAAATGGGACTGCTGTTATGAATGGGACTGCCGAGTAGCGCGGAGGGCAATGGCGAAACTGTGAACGAGTGAATGACAATAAAATGAAAGACAATACAATATATAGAAAGCCTAGGGTGATCCTGGACGTAGGATCGGAAGGTTCGAGAAAAGTATCGAAGGGCCTCGATGTGTCGTAGCGAGGTCCGGAAAGGACCAGGAGGCTCGAACTGAAAGGTCTGGAACCCTCGCGATGGTTCGGGACTGTTCGAGTCGTACGCCCTGTAGCAAGCCTCAGTAAGGAATTACTCATTCCTTACACCATCCCTTACCGAGCCGTACTGCTATCGCGTAGCTCGAACACACCCGAAGCCTCGGGACGGTTCCGGACCTTTCTGACAAGAACCGTCTCGGCTTCTCCAGACCTTCTAGTTCGAGCTTCGGAAGTTCTCCGCGCCTCGCTTCGTCACTTCGAGACCCTTCGATGACTCTCCCGAACCTTCCCATCTCATGGTTAGAATAGCTCTGGTGTTCCTATATCTTGGCTTGACATACCTTGTATCTTCATTAAGTGATTCAACACTTCGTTATTAATTTCCGCGCTACTCTGCTTGTTCATTCATAACACCTGGTATTCAGAGCCACTTTCCTCGCTCACCCGTTTTCGTGAGTTGTATTTTATTTTTATTTGGGGGGGGGGGGGGGGGGGGGGGGGGTTAGCTGCAAAGCGGTTGCCCACGAATTAGACTGATTAATTCCCCCAACTACGATAGCGTTTGCGCTTACCTGAGTACAGGCACACTACGGATTTCCTCCTGCCCCGGCGGAGCATTCGCCAAATGGACCAAGCTCAGTTCAACGAGCTTCGGGAGTAGTTCAACGCCATGAACACAACCATAGCTATAGTGCTGGACGACAACGAGCGACTTCGTGCAGAAGTTGCCGAGTTACGCCAGGCGCGAGAGGATTCACGCCAGAAAATTGCCGACCAAGAGGAGGTCGCCAGCACCGAACGTGTCGAAACCGTTTTGGACGAAATCGCACGTGAGGTGTCTCAGGAGCGTAAGGACAACGAAGCCGCCGCAGCAGCTGACGTGGCAGCACGAACAGCAGCCGCTACTGTAGCCGCACCGACAGTCGTGCCGATAGTGACGACATCGACAATCAAACCGACAATGCCACCCCCGTTCAACCTCACAGATAAAAATACTACGGTTACGGGCTGATTATTTTCGGCGGAACTTATTTTAATGCCGCTGGGATCACTGCTGACGATTTAAAAATTCGGCTGGTTGTATCACTACTGCGGGGACCTGCGCTATCTTGGCGCCGATATACACTACATGAGGGGGAGTTTTCGGCAAGCGACACTCAGGGTTTTTTTTTAATAACTTCGGGCCTGCTGCCCAAGGGTCAACCGCGATTTTCAGATCGACCAAGATTCGCACGTGGAAGGCGTGGGGTACAGCTTTGCGTGAATGGTTCGAGCCCATATCCGCCTCGGACAATGCACGCACGAAGCTGGAGAACTGGCGCCAGTGGAGTTCTGTCCCAGATTACGCGTCGGTCTTCATGGTGTTGTGTGATCAAATCACCGACATGCATGACTCCGAGAAGAAGGCTCGATTCATTTTGGGCCTTAAGTAGGACACTAAATGCGAGGTTCGACTGCGATTACTAGCGACGTTTCACAAAGCAGTACGGATCGCAGACACTTTCGACGCGCATCAGACGTATGCGAGAGCGGGTTCCCGAGAAGGAAATCATTTTCGTGGCCAGGATCTACGGCCCACGATTCATGGCGTAATGGCGAAGGAGCACATGGAAGATTTTCCAAAGGGGACAATGTTTCAACTACCACCAGCCGCGTCACCAATCTCACGATTGCCCCCGAAAGAAGCAGATAAAGAAGAACGACGAAGGCAGGTCGGGAAGCGCCCAGCGTCAGTAGCGGTCGGGCCCCCTACTGACCCTGCCTCATCGCCCGAAAAACACCATCCCCACCGGGTAGTGGTTCCGATACATGCTATCAACCGCTCCCAGCTAAATAAGGGGGATGACCCAGTGGACCACCCTGTGCTGGTGGAGGGACGACTCAATGGAAGAAAAAATAGAATATTCATCGACGGAGGTGCAAGTAACAGCTTGATAAATCGAGAGACAGCACGAAGACTACACTTATCGTTGGAGCAGTGTCTGCCCAGAATCGATGCGCAACTGGTGGATGGCACCTTGCTGGCGATCCGCGACAAAGTACCCGTCGTTCGAATGAAGTAAAACGAAGATTTCGGCTTCAGCGCGCCAATGCTAGCGACAAACTCGATGGCTACGATGTGCTGTTGGGACGCGATTAGCTGCGAATATTCAATCCGCAGATGGATTGGACGACAGGCGAATGCACAGTGAAGTGCAGAAAAGGCTGGCGAAAATTACCCACGTGGCCGAGAGCATAGACGCATAGACAACCTCGATACGAGTCACCACTATGTGCCTCAACCGAGCGGTAAAAAATGGAGCGGATTTATTCGCCGTCCATCTAACCGAATCAACGGAGCAGAACGAGGTGGCTGACATTAACAAACTCTGCGCTTCGGTCCCGGATGACTTGGCAAAAATCATTCGGGAATATCCCGAGATTTCCCCAGACGACTTGCCAAATGGACTGTCACCCGAACGACCCCAGGACCACAAAATCGAGCTGGAGCCAGGTGCGCAGCCTACTGTACGAACTCAATGGCGTCTGACTCAGCTGGAGCTACACTAATTACAGAACCAACTTGACTACCTGCTGGCAAAAGGGTTTATTCGGCCGAGCACGTCCCCGTTCGCAGCGCCAATCCTGTTCACCAAAAAAAAAAGGACGGCGGACTTCGCATGTGTACGGACTATCGTGCCCTTCATCGGGTAACGATAAAATCGCGCTACCCAATCCCACGCCCGTATGAGCTGATTGACAACCTTTGCGGAGCTCACTACTTTTCGAAGATCGACCTTCGCGGCAGTTACCATCAAATTCGGGTGTTCGCTGACGACTGCCACAAGACCGCGTTTCATACTCGCTACGGGAGTTACGAATACACGGTGATGCCGTTTGGATTAACGAACGCCCCCTCGATGTTCCAACTCACCATGAACGGGGTGTTCTATGATCTACTCGACAAATGTGTGATAATTTTCCTGGACGACATCCTTATTTATAGCAAGACTTGGGAGCAACATTTGAAGGACTTGGAATCGGTTTTTCAGCGGGAGCAGCAGCATCGTCTCATCACCAAGGGCTCCAAGTGCGAGTTTTTAAAGCAAGAACTGGAGTTCCTGGGGCACATGATCTCCACGGAGGGGATTCAAATAGACGCGAAAAAACCATGGGCTATTCAGGAGTGGAAACCGCCAACAAATTTGCAGCAGTTGCGATCATTTATGGGTGTTGTGGATTACGCGCGGCGGTTTATACCCAACATGGCGGGGCTAACTGGATCTCTAACTGAGCTACTGCACAAGGGGATTTTTTATGAGTGGGGGGAGAAGCAGCAAGCTGCATTCGAGGCATTAAAAACTCTTTTAATGTCGCCACCGATACTTCGCATTGCCGACCCCGAACGGCCCTTCGAAGTCATCACCGGCGCAAGTGACATCGCCATCAGAGCCATGCTCATGCAAGATATCGGCAATGATCTTCAACCAATCGCGTACGAGTCTCGTAAAATGCAACTTGCTGAGCGCAACTACCCGGTACACGACAAGGAGATGCCGGCGATTGTCCACGCGTTCAAAATCTGGAGGTGCTACCTGTCTAGAGCAGACGTGACGGTGCGAACCGATCATAAATTCCTACAGTACCTGAGGGCGTAGCCGAATCTCAACTCGCGGCAGATACGCTGGCTGGACTATCTGGAGTCCAACTTTACGTACAAGATCACGTACAAAAAGGGTGCCAACAATATTGCTGACGCCCTCCAGACCGTCTGCCCAACTTCCAGCAGTACGAGTCGCCGAGAGCAATACGCTACTGAGTGGACTATTTACCCGCGGGTATTCGACCGACCCCTTCTTCGTAAATGACGGCCATCTCCAGATTACTACACAGAAGGCGTATATTAGTTACGTAGCGGGACATATTGAATTTGGGTCCCAAGTTATGTCTACTTTGGGACATATTCGAATGTATCGGGACATTCCGTGTTGATAAAACTCTGAAGGCGCTGCAGCGGTTTTATTACTGGCCATATATGGTGATGGACGTACAGCTTTACGTGGCCGCGTGTCCGATGTGCTAGCGAATGAAATCATTACATCAGCGACCGACAGGACGGTTGCAGCCCTTCGAGCCACCCCAACGCCCATGGCAACACGTGACGATGGATTTCGTCACAGGTCTACTGGCAGGATCCAGTGGAAACGACGCAATATTGGTTGTCGTCAACCGATTAACGAAAATGGCGCATTTCGTACCATATCGCACAACCATCACAGCCGAAGTAACCGTGCGACTGTTCATCTCGACCGTTGTTCGCCTACACGGGATACCAGCAGCAATCATTAGCCATCGAGACCCAAAGTTCACGTCAAAATTTTAGCAGGACACATAGGCTTGGTACGGGACGCGCCTGCAATTCTCATCCACTTATCATCCCCAAACGGACGGTAGACAGAAAGGACAAACCAAACGATGGAGCAGCTGATTCGGACAAACTGCCCTGACCGAAACAAATGGGAGGACGTGCTTCCCATATTGGAATTCTCCTACAACAACGCGCCCTCGGCTACGACTTATCACTCACCATATTACCTCAATTACGGGATGGACCCCACAGTACCCATCTCCACCAACGTTGAGAGTCAAGTCCCACGGTCGCAGCAGTTCGTCGAAGAATTACAGACTGCCCGAGATAAAGCTGTCGAACTTATTCGCAAGGCGAACGCTAGTGCCCGGCGGAATGCGGATTTACGTGGACGGGATATTACAATGGCAGCAGAGCAACTAGTCCTTTTGGACACCAAGAATTTACGGCTGCCACTACCGACGAAATTACGACCACATTTCTGTGGCCCATTCAAAATCATGAAGATGGTGACGTCCGTGACCGCCCAGTTACGCCTACATGACCAGTGGCGTATTCACAACAAGTTCTACGTGAGCCTGCTGCGACCTTTCGTACCTGACACATCGGACATCGCTCGGCAGCGATTGGTCCCGGATGTATGGCCACCAGAGAGACGACCATCGAGCCTTCGAAGATTTTGAGCCATATGATTCTTATCGACGGTCAAGGACGACACGTTGACTTTCCGATATGATGGACCAATCGTACCAGTGAGGACGACACGTGGGTGCCCTCGGACCAGATATAGTCACATTTGATACTTGCAAAATATTTGGCCCGCAAGCACGTGGCTGATATAGACCACCTTCGCTAAGAGGGGGGGGGGGTGGAGTAAGGAATTTTCCATTCCTTACCGAGCGGTACTGCTATCGCGTACGCTCGAACACGCTGGAACGGTTCCGGACCTTTATGACTAGAACCCTCTCGGCTTCTCCAGACCTTCTAGTTCGACCTTCGAGAGTTCTCCGGGCCTTGCTTCGTCACTTCGAGACCCTTCGATCTCTTTCCCGAACCTTCCAAGCTCATGGTTAGACTAGCTCTGGTGTTCCTATATCTTGGCTTGCCATTCCTTATATCGTCATTAAGTGATTGAACTCTTCGTTATTTATTTCCGCGCTACTCTGCTTGTTCACTCATAACAATGGTAAGGTTTAGCACTTCATTGTCAAGGTTCTATACCTTCATTACTACATTCACTTAAGAATCTCACTAGAAATTACATTTACTATCTAGGTGTCACGTTACATCACAGCAGGCGTTACGTTCTCTACCACATCTTTCAATTTATCTTTAGTATCATCTCTCATCTGTGTTCAGCATTAAATTGGTTTATTCATGCTACCTAACTCATGGTGAGCTTGAGGCTCCCAATATGCATGCATCATAACCTCCTTTCCATTGGGGCTGATTTTATGAGGATAATAATCTAACTTACAATATGTGAGTAAGGGCATGCTCCATAAAAAGTAGTCTCTCGTGAATTACTGATAGGGAGGTTGGAGATGAGGGGGCAACGGTGACTACAGTCGATGGCCTTGCAGGATTCTGTTGGAAATTTCCAGATTTTGCCACCACAATGACAGGTGGCAAGACGAAAATGTCAGTTGGGGCCCAAAAGCCCTCCCCCCGAAAATGCCTGAAAGTCCCTCAAGCTTTCCGCCCGAACATGAAGCATGTCGTTTTTCCCCTCCACGATTTCCAGGAGATCCTACAGCTTGCTTCCCACATGGCTCCCACACTCCGCCCCCCTTTTTCCAACACTTCCCTCAGACTCACTCCCCCTTACAGTCCCGCGGCTTGCCAGGTACATTAACCCGGTTCCGGCCGTCCCATCCCGTCCCGTCCCGTCCCGAACGACTCCTCCGGAACGGTCGGTGACTCGGTGTAACTCAGACCGCCCGGGAGAGTTCTGGGGGCATGGAACAGTGCCCACCCCTCAGGATAATTGTCTCGATGGTGAACTTCGAGATTTCCCCTTGGAGGGGAAATCGTGGCCCAAATACATGCGCCGTGCTCAACGGCTTCTCGACAAACACACCAACAATTTCCAGACACAACTCCAGAGCACGTCTTGGCGAACTGACAACTTCGCCGTTTTAGAAGGCGACTGATATTACTAATTGTTCTGACGCATACTGCGCATTCACTGCGAACATTTGTGCTCGGAATGGCGGCCGCGCGGCACCGACAACAATTTTGCGTTAACGAACCTCCGTTTACGATCCTAATTCTCGCGCTCATTGCGGCTTGCTACTTCGCACCTGCATCCTCGCGACTACAAAATATTTCGCCCTCCAACGGCGCATCTCCAAAAAACCCTATTGATACCGTCGCAGACTACGGATCACCCGCCGGCGGCAGGAAAGCCGGACCACTGTCTGACCTGGTTGCTCGGAAAGCGCGAGCCGTGCAAACGAGGCGGCGCGCGCTCGTGCTTCTCCGCGAGTTGCGGTCGCTCAACGACAGCATCGCCGGCGCCAACGAGAAGATTCGGGAAGCGTTGGCCGCGCGGGAAAAGCTCAAGGTGACGTCAGCGCGAATGGAGGAACAGCGGAAAGTCATCGACGAGCTTTCCGCCATAATCGAGAAAACCGCGACGCGGATGTACGAGCAGCGCGACGCTGAGTCGGAGGAAGCTCGGCTGTCGCTGGTGACAGCGGGCGAGGCGAAGGTCGCCGCAGAACGACTGGTTGGGAGAGTCGCACGGAGGGTTATGCGACTGCGCGATAAAGCGGAGTCGTACAGCATCGCGGTGACGTGTCGCGACGAGGTGGTGAAAGCCTTCGAGCAGCGGCTTCCGCAGGTGATAGAAGCGGAAAAGAAAGCCGAAGAGGCGTTGCGAAATTACTCCGCAGCGTGGAAAGAGGCAATGAAGTCGTTTCCGGAACGCGACGTCCTCAGAATCGTCGAATCGTCTTCCTCAACGGGGCGAGAGAGCACGCCATCGGCATTCAAACTAGGTTCAGTCGCGGATCGCCAGACCAGACAAGCCACGAATCGTAAAGTGCCACTGATGAGCAACATAGACGATCCTTATCTGGCAGAAATTGACGAATCTCATGGCGGAACCATGGAGCTTGAAGGAGAGCCTGAAGCCGACTCAGGGTTTAGAGAGAAGCAGCAGAAGTTAATGGACTCTCGGGTAGCGGTGGAAGAGGTAGCAGCAGCAGATGCAGAGGAGGCCGTGGTTCGGGGATTACTCGGCAGCCTCCGAGCCGACATCGAGGCTTGGAAATCTTCCATAGCTGAGGTTCGGGCTTCAGAGGATCTGCAGAAGCTCAAGAGATTGCGGCAAGAGCAGGAGAATGCGGAGGGAGACGCACAGTTTGCTGATTTCCAGGTGAAGGAATCAGAGAAGGACCTGCAGCAGGCGAGGGCTCTGGTGGCAGAAACAATGGAGATGGTAGAGGAACAAAAGAGGATCTTGCAAGAAGCGGAGCAAGCGCTGGCTCAAGCCATGGCCGTTGAATCCGAAAGTCATACATTGAGAGCACGGATGCAGCGAGAGGAGGCAGAACTGGTTAAGGTTCAAGCGGAGAGAGTGGCCTCAGCAATGGGGAGGAAGATGAAGCGCGCTGAGTTGCTGGTTGTGGAACGAACACAAGCGTTGCGTGATGCACAGATGGAAAGGGAAAAGGCAGCAAAGAAGGTTGCTGAACTCGAAGCCAGTGTGAAGGAGCTGGGAGAGCAATATGGTAGGGCTGAGTTGACTGCTAAGGAGGCTGTTAGCCTAATTAAGCTGCTGAAGCCCATAGTGGCCGCAAAGCATTCTGAAGCACACACAGCCAGGCGAGCATGGGGTAAGTTCTTAAGCCTAGAAAATGTGTTAAGATATCGATAGAAGCAGAAGAGCACACGATGATGCTCAATCTTTTCATGCACACCATGCAATCACTAGTGCAGTGGGCCTATATCACATTTTTTTATTTTACATTTATAAAGCCTTTAAGTGTCGATAGCAGCTTGCTGGGGTTCTCTGAGGATATTCCCGATGTGAGCTTTCTAACGGGGTTCCAGCTTGGATTTCGATTCGTAGCTACCCTTGCAGAAACCCTTTCCACCTGATTTTACTCCCCAGCTTTGCGTCATCCCGGCTTGTCTACCTTCCTATTGGAGAGTTACTCGCGAGCTTTCCCCACCGAGGGGACTACCTTCCCAGAGCTCAGGAAACTGCAGGGAGCCCAGGCCTGACATCACCTCAACAGCTGGCAAAGCGTGATACTGTAGTTCGTTAAGACTGCCAGTGCCTCGCCGCCCTGCACATAATCATCCAGCCTGGAGCCAGACCCGGTGTCGATAGTTCTTCCCCCGATCAAACCCGCCCTCCCAAAATGACAAGAAGCCCCTCATGCACTCCAGAACATGGAGCCCGTCGCCTCGCTTCTATTTACACAATTCCACCCTGTGCCCACAGGTTCCCACACTTTCTCCGCTCTTCCGACACTCACCAGTAGCCCGCTCCGATTCTCCCACCGCCAAGTGTCACCTGGTAACACTAATTGAACAAACAAATTTTCCGGGTTCAGTGGGAAAGTAGGACTGCTGTTGTTGTCGGCGGGGTGTTTTGGCGTTGCAACCTCGTCTCGTCAGTTGGCCCCTCTGCACCACCTTGTCTCCTAACCACTTTGTCTGGCACCTAGCAACTGGGATTGCACCAACGACGGAAGCACCTAGCCTATGGCGGAAACACCTGGTCCTGCACAGCCTCCTTCGCGCTACCGCAAATCTCCGCTCTGTTTTCTGACAACGCGCCATTCTCGCCTTGGCAACAACGCAAGGCTCAGTCGCCGCCGTTCCCCTCAAAGCCCATCGAGTTTTCTCCGATCCCGCCGAGGGACGAACAGCCGCATGCGGCTGCATCGCGCCTGCGCCATAGTGTCGCCCGCGCCCGCGCCCGCGCCATGCTGTCAAGCATTCACTCATTTCCATCTGCGCCGGACACTGTCTGCCTCAGGCTGGCAGCCTGGCAGGTGCGCTGGAACCGAGGGGAGAAACGACATGCAGGCTGCACCTGGGCCGGGGTGTTTCTCGGCGGGTTGACGCTCTACGTGTAGGTACACGTCTGGGTAGTGGTGGTAGCCATGCGATCCATGGAGCTTCAGACTGGCTGGCTAGTCGGACCCACTAAACTTCAAAATTCCATACCTTTTAGGTACAGACCTTTTTCGAGCAAGGTCCGAGTCGGACTTATTAGTACTTACGATGGGAGTAGAAATACGCGAAAAGTCTTCTTGCGTCACCGTCGCCGCTGCTTTGAAGTTCCAGACTGGAACTTGCCAAAAGAGCCTTCCCCTGGGAGTTACAGCATTGTTTTTTGCTGTCGCCGCTGCTTGCCTCTTCGCCCATGCTTCCGCGGCGCCTCTTCCCGGCGCACGTCTTCCCTCTCCAAACGAATCTCCAGAAAATAATGTAAAATCCGCTGAGACGCTCTCGGATCTGGTCGCGCTTAAAGCGCAGGCCGTGGAGGCGAGGCGGCACGCGCTGGTGCTTCTCCGCGAGGTGCGGTCGCTCAATGACAGCATCTCCGCCGCCAACAAGAAAATCCAGGCGGCGCTGGCCGCGCAGGACAAGCTCAAGGTGACGTCAGCGCGGCTGGCGGAGCAGCGGAAAGTCGTTAAAGAGCTTTCTGCTATTGTAGACAAAACCGCGGAGCGGATGTTCCGGCAACTTGCTGAAGGCTCAGCTACTACAAGCCGGACCTTCGACTCGGAGAGTGGCTCGGAAGAGGAGGACGCCCAGCTATCGCTGGTAACAGAGCGTGACTCGGAGGAAGCTCGGCTGTCGCTGGTAACAGCAGGCGAGGCGAAGCTCGTTGCAGAGCGGCTTGCAGCACGGGTCGCACGGAGGGTTATGCGACTGCGCGACAAAGCAGACTCGTACGGCGTCGCAGTGACGTGTCGCGACGAAATGGTGAAAGTTTTTGAGCTGAGGCTCCCCCACGTGCTGGCAGCAGAAGAGAAAGCGGAGGAGGCAGCGCGGGATTATTTCACAGCGTGGAGACGGGCAATGGAGACTTTCCCGGAAATTGATGTGCTTGAAATCGTCCAGTCAGCGTCCTCAGATTCTGGCCGAGCAAGGCGGGCCACGGACATTTTGAAATTGTTGGGGGGCGCGGGACAAGGGCAACTGAGAGGTGAAGTGTCTCCCGGGAGCGTCAAAGACGACCCCTTTTCTGCAGAGATTGACGATTCCCATGGCGGAAGGACCGACCTTGGAAAGCAGACTCAAAAGCTGAGGCCCTTGGGAATTGTGAACGAGTCCAGGCAAGCGGTGGAGGAAGTAGCAGCAGCAGATGCAGAGGAGGCTGTGGCTCGGGGATTGCTGAACGGCCTCCGAGCCGAAATTCAGGCATGGAAATCTTCCATAGCTGAGGTTCGGGCTTCAGAGGATCTGCAGAAGCTCAAGAGATTGCGGCAAGAGCAGGAGAATGCGGAGGGAGACGCACAGTTTGCTGATTTCCAGGTGAAGGAATCAGAGAAGGACCTGCAGCAGGCGAGGGCTCTGGTGGCAGAAACAATGGAGATGGTAGAGGAACAGAAAAAGATTCTCCAAGAAGCAGAACAAGCGGTGGCCCGAGCCATGGCTGTTGAGGCAAAAACACATACCTTGAGAGCACGGATGCTGCGAGAGGAGGCAGAACTGGTGACGGCCCAGGCGGAGAGAGTGGCTGGAGCAATGGTAAGGAAGATGAAACGAGCTGAGATGCTGGTTTTGGAGAGAACACAAGGATTGCAAGCTGCCCAGCTGGAAAGGGAAAATGCAGCAAAGAAAGCTTCTGAACTTGGAGCCAATGTGAAGGAGATGGGAGAGCGGTACGGTAGAAGTGAGTTGGCAGCTAAGGAGGATGTTAGGCTTATGAATCTGCTGAAGCCTGTAGTGCTCACAAAGCATGGTGAAGCACGTGCAGCTAGATTGGCATGGGGTAGGTTCTTAATCTTGGGAAAAGCTTAGGTGTTACAAACCGCCCACTCTTCATTTTTTAAAGTATGTACGTGTTGCATATACGTGTCAAACATATATATAGTTTATTTTTGCTTAGACTGTATAGGTTCGTATCTTAGAGGGTACAACACTTAGGCTTATACCCTTGTACTATTTCCTCTCGACATTCGATCCTATGTTAAGATGGTATCACGCTTAGTAGGTAGGTCCCGCTGCCCACGCTTCCATCCTAGGCCCTCGTCGCGCCGCCCCTAGCTAGTCGCGCGCGTCCTAGCCGGCCCCCTGAGCCATCGCGCCCGCCCATCCTAGACGGCCCCTTGAGCCGTCGCGCCCGTCCTAGCCAGCCCCTGAGCCGTCGCGCTCGTTTCTAGCCGGCCCCCTGAACCGTCGCGTCCGACCTAGCCGGCCCCCAGAGCCGTCGCGCCCGTCCTAGACAGCCCCCTAAGCCGTCGCGCCCGCTCCCAGCCGACCCCCTGAGTCGTCGCGCCCGTCCTAGCCGGCCCTCTGAGCTGTCGCGCCAGTTCCTAGCCGGCCCCCTGAGCCGTCGCGCCCGTCCTAGCCGGCCCCCTGAGCCGTCGCGTCCGTCCTAGCCGGCCCCCAGAGCCGTCGCGCCCGTCCTAGACGGCCCCCTGAGCCGTCGCGCCCGCTCCCAGCCGGCCCCCTGAGTCGTCGCGCCCGTCCTAGCCGGCCCTCTGAGCCGCCGCGCCAGTTCCTAGCCGGCCCCCCCTGAGCCGTCGCGTCCGTCCTAGTCGGCCCCCTGAGCCGTCGCGCCCGTCCTAGACGGCCCCCTGAGCCGTCGCTCCTGTTCCTAGCCGGCCCCCTGCGCCATTCGCGCCCGTCCTCGCCCCCCCCCCCCCCCTGAGCCGTCACGCCCGTTCCTAGCCGGCCCCCGCCGCGCTCGCTCCGTACCGGCCCCTTGCGCCCGCCCCTTGTTGGCCCCGCGTCCTCTCCTTGCCGGCCCCTTCAAGCCCGATCCGCGCCCCCCCGCTCCCCCCCCCCGTTCGTTTCACCGCTGCCCATCTCCGACTCGTGCCCGGCTCGTCCTTCCCGACCAGCACCGCACTACACCGCGCTGTACCGCTCTGCATCGCACAGCACCGCACAGCGCCGCTCTGCACCTCACACTAATGCACTGCACCGCATAGCACTGCGCCGCTGCTGCATCACTCCTGATGGCGGACTCCGTGCTCCGCTTTGACGCAGAGGGACATCCGATCGAGTTTGACACGTGGCTGGTCGACCTCCGGCGTCACCTCACTGGTCAGCGGCAGGACGGCCACTCTCTGGCGGTCCATCTTGACGGTACGCTCCCCTGCCCCGACCCCCCTGCTCCCCTGCCCGCTGACCCCTCGTCCGCCGACGGTGAGTTCGCCGCAGCTGCTGCCCTTGCCCGCTCAGTTTGGCTGTCACGTGACGCTATCGCGCAGCTTGCGATCAGTCATGCCCTCCTCCTGTCTGAGCGCCCATGCTTTAGATCAGTCACGACTGCGCAAGAGTTTCTAGAGGCTGTCGTCAAGTGCTATTCCACCCCGCCTGCTACCTCTGTAGGTCGCCTGATCCTGCCGATGCACTTCCCTGACCTTGCGTCCTTCCCTACTGTCGCTGACCTAGCCGCTCACCTGCGCACGATAGACGCGACCTGGCGTGCTGCCTGCACTGAGACCTAGCATAGAGCCTTTCAGTCACCCCTCTGCTCTGCCCTCTACCTACTTGCCACCAGCCTCCCTGATCGTCTTGCTACTGCCCGCGACCACTTCATTAGCACCCACCCTGGTGACCTCACCCTCACTGACTTTGTCGACACCCTGACTGCCATAAAGACCCGCCAGCGCTCTATCGCCCAGACCAGTGGTACTGTACTGGTCCCTATCTTTCAGGGTTGTGCCCCTGCTCAGTGCACCTTCTCCGACGGTTTCGCTGCTGTGGTTGAGTCCGCAGCTGCAGCGCAGATCCGTTCCGGGAAGGGCCGCCGCCCCAAGGCTGGACGCGGCGGTGGGGGTGGCGGTGCTCGTGGAGGTGGTGGTGGAGTCGGGTCGCCTAGTGGTAGCGCTGACGAGGGGACCCTGACAGGTGCAGCTGAGTAGCCGCCTCAGCAGTCGCAAATGTCGCATCCGGACACGCACCAGAGGCAGCCGCAGCCCGCGCACCAGCCTCAGCAGCCGCAGCAGCTGCCGCAGCAGAGGTGGGCGAGTGGCCTCCCGCCTGGGTGGCCTGGCGCTGGTGGTGGCGGTGGACGTCGTGGTCGTGCGCGTGGTGGGCTGCCGGGTGGCGGGTCGGGTGACGCGCGCTGTCAGTACCAGCTCCAGATCGGTCCTCGCCGTGGTTTTGTTTGCGGTAAGATCGGTCACACCTCCGTCCGCTGTTTCCATCGCCTGGATGGCCTGTTTCGTCAGCGCTTCGGCCCGTCGCCCGACGTCCCTGACTGGCATAGCTTGTTTCGCCGTAGAATTCAGATCTTTGATATGGACATGGATGAGATTGTTGCTGTCCTGCATGTGATGTATGCTGATGACTCTAATGTGACCGCTTCTTACTACCCCTTGTTGCCTAGTGTAGGCATGTCTAGTCTTGCCTCCCCTGCTGCGTCAGGCGTAGGATCCCTTGCTTTGTTTAGCCTTGGTTCTACTGTCGCTGCTCTGTCTTCAGACGCCACCGCTGCACTCTCCTTCACTCTCGACTCTGGCGTTTCTCGGTGTTTCTTCCATGACTCCACTACGCTGACGCCTCTAGATACTCCTGCTGCAGTTTCCCTTGCCGACCCCTCCTCCGGCCCGGTAGTCGCTCGCAGTTCCACCACCCTTCCCTGTCCGGCGGTTCCTTCGAGCACTCTTACAGACCTGCACATCCCCTCGTTCTCCAGGAACCTAGTTGGTGGCGGCTGCCTCCAGGACCTTGGCGTCACCACTACGTTCCCTGGTCACGAGTGGTACGCTGTCTGTACCCAGGCCGCCATTGGTGCCCCCCTCACCACGTTCCCCCGGGACCCGGTGTCCGGCCCGTTCACACTGGACACTGCGACCCCCCTGGTAGGGACGTCTCCTCAGGTGGCTGCGTCTACCCAAGTTGCTGCGGCCTGCTCCTGTCGGTCGCTTACTCACCCGACACTCCTGTGGCACCACCGTCTAGGTCACCCCGCCCTCCACCGTCTACGTCACATGTCACAGCACGGTCTCGTCCTAGGTCTCCCAGGGTCGTTCCCCGAGTTGCCCTCCTCCCCAGCACCACCGTGCACGCCCTGTGTCGAGGGCCGGCTCCGCCCTGCCCCTCACTCCTCCTCATTCCCCCCTACCGCCGCACCGCTACAGACTCTGCACATGGACGTCTGGGGCCCCGCCCCCGTCCATGGGCCGCGTCGAGAGCGCTACTTCCTAGTGCTTGTCGACGACTACACGCGCTACACCATCGTGTTCCCCCTTGAGCGGAAGGCCGACGTGCCTCACGTTCTCATCCGGTGGCTTGTCTCTGCGTGTGTCCACCGTGGTCTCCCTGTCTTGCGTCTCCACTCCGACCGTGGTGGCGAGTTTGCCTCTGGTGTCCTTGGTCGTTTCTGTCGTGCGGAGGGCATCACCCAGACGTTCACCCTGCCGGACTCCCCGCAGTAGAATGGGGTCGCTGAGCGACGCATCGGTTTGGTCATGGAGGTGGCTCGTACCTCCATGATCCACGCTGGTGCACCCCATTTTCTGTGGCCGTTCGCTGTTCGCTACGCCGCTCACCAGCTTAACTTGTGGCCTCACCCACAGCAGTCGCAGGTTTCGCCAACCCTTCTTTGGTCCGGGTCTCCAGGTGACGCATCTGTGTTCACGTTTCACGTCTGGGGCTGCCTTGCTCACGTTCGTGCCTCCGGCACGGACAAGCTCACTGCCCGCACCCTCCCTTGTGTCTTCCTCGGTTTCCCCCTTGACGCGTCCGACTGGCACTTCAACCACCCGCCGTCTCACCGGTTCTTTCACTCTCGTGACGTCACCTTTGACGTGTCTGTCTCCTTCTACCACCGCTTCCCCCACAGAGGTTCCCCGGTTACTCCTCCCCTGTTCCTGGTCACCCCTTCCCCGGTCGCCCCTGTCCCCCCTCCTCCCCCTCCCCGTCCTGCACCGTCTGGTGCTTCTCATGTTACTCCCCTCCCGTCGGTTGTCCCGGTCGAGGAGTCTGGTGACTGTGGTGGCCCTGCAGCACAGTCCTCGCCACCTGCACCTTCTTGGGCGTCTCCTCCTCCGCCGCCTTTGCAGCCGCCGTCGACGCAGCTGTCGTAGCCGTCGTCACCACCGCCGCTGCCGCTGCAGCCGTTGCCGCAGCCGTCGCAGCAGCAGTTCGTTGACTCTGAGGGTGCTGGCGTTGGGGTGGGTACTAGTCCTGGGGTTCCTGTCGTGGCTTGTCCCGGCGGGCGTGGGGGTGGTACCGGTGTTCGTGGGGTTTCGGGCTCTGGGAGTGTTCCTTCTGTGGGTGCTGGAGTGGAGTGTTCTGGAGGTAGCCGTGGAGCAGCGGGCTGTCCCGGTGTCGGTGTCGTGCCGCCGCAGCAGCAGTCACTGCCGGTGTCAGCCCTTCGCCTGTTCGGCCTCCCTTCCACTGACCACGTACCTGTGCCTCCCCTTCCGTCTCCTCCCCTTCCTGTTTACGACCCTGTGTTCCCTCCCCCGGACTTGTCTCCGGCTCGTCTTCCTCCTCGTTCCCCTCCTGTGTCCCCTCCTCTGTCTCCTGACCCGACGCCTCCGTCTCACGTCTGCTCTCGTCGTCCCTCCCGTGCTCGCCCCGTCTCCTCTGTCCCGCGCTCTCATTATTTGTTGCTTCGTTCTCACGCGTCTCGTTCTCCACTCCTACCGTCGTCGCCTCCGTCCTCTCTTGTTGTTGCGCCTCCCCCCCTGTCTGACTACCTTCGCGCCGCTCATCCCCTTGTTCCTCGGGTCCTTGCCTCTCTCGTTACCTACCCGTCTGTTCCGGTCTCGTGTCTCGACGCTCTTGTCGTTGCGGTCGATGACTTCGCCTCTACTCGCCGCCTTGATTACGCCACCGCTCTGGTCTCTGACCCTGCCTGTCCTCCGTCTGTCGGGGGTGCTCACTCACGCTGCGTGCTACTCTTGCAGACCTGCAAAACCTTTCCGTCTTTCGCAGACCCCTCGCTCTTTGTTCGATCTGGCCAGACTCCGTTCTACATCATTGTTTACGTAGACGATCTGATCTTTGCCACTGCAGACACCACCACGCTGGCCTTTGTGAAGACTGGGCTGCTAAGAAGACACACCTGCACTGACCTAGGAGAGCTGCGCCACTACCTGGGCCTGCAGATCTCCAGAGACAGAGCAGCGCGCACCATCACTCTCACACAGTCACACTTGGTGCGCCAGGTCCTTAAGAGGTTCGGTCTTCAGTTCTCCTCCGCACAGCCCACACCTCTTCCAGTAGATCACAGGCTCTCTGCTCCAATTCCTGAGGAGTCAGCAGAGCCCAGTAGTCCTTACGCAGAGCTGGTGGGTTGCCTCATGTACCTTGCACTCGTCCAGATCTCGTATACCCTCTCAGCATCATGGCTCGCTTTGTGGCCATTGGCAGACACAGACCTCAGTACTGGTCTGCAGCTAAAAGGGTTTTGCGCTATCGCGCGAGTACATCAGGCATGGGGTTAGTGCTGGGAGGACGCATGCCGGTGGTCCTTACTGTGCACACTGACGCTTCTTGGGCCGACGACGCTGAGACCCTTAGGTCCTCGCAGGGCTACTGCTTTAGCCTTGGTTCAGGTGCTGTCTCGTGGAGAGCTACTCGCGCCTCGTCTGTTGCCCAGTCCAGCTGTGAGACCGAGATCTACGCCGGTGCCATGGTGGCATAGGAGCTCCGCTGGCTGACCTTCCTGCTCACTGACTTAGGTGAGCGGCCTAGCTCTGCACCAGTCATGTACGCTGTTAACAGGGTCATGATCCTCATGTGTCAGGAGCCTCGACTTGAGGGCAGAGCAAATAACATCCAGCTGCGGTACTTCCACCTGCGTGAGCTGCAGCAGCGTCGCCAGGCTTGCGTAGTACACTTGATCTCCGGTGCCAACACCGTTGATATGTTTACGAAGGCCCTTGCGCCTAAAGATCATCCGTGGCACTGTCTACAGTTAGGCCTTGTTCCTGTTACCTCTCACCTGCTAGGGCCTTGACTATGTACTGACCTTTATATATATTTTTTCTTATTCTTGTGGCCTTGTGGCCTGTCACAGTGGTTGGACTAGTAGTGCCTGTTAGAAGGCTAGCTTAGTTAGGAAGCTAGGAAAGGCATGAGGTTTAGTTAGGAAGAGCCATGGAGTGGCGTGAGGTTTAGGAAGGAGAAAAGTTGAGGAGAGAAAAGAGAGTTGGAATAGAAAGAGAGAGGCATACAAGGAGGGGATTGTACCCTCTACAGTAAAGTTCGGTAACCTACCAAGCCTAACAATTATATAACTCAATATATAATTTAACAGTGCCTCCATGGTCTTGCCCTTGTACTGGTCTGTACTTGATTGACTGGTCTTTAGACCCTTGACTCAGAGGTTGGACTAGCAGTGCTGCCATGAGTTGCCGTTTCTCTCATCAGGAACTGCACCTATGCGGTCTACGGGGTGTGTCAAACATATATATAGTTTATGTTTGTATAGACTGTATAGGTTCCTATCTTAGAGGGTACAATACTTAGGCTTATACCCTTGTACTGTTTCCTCTCGACATTCGATCCTATGTTAAGAATACGAACGTTGGTTAACCAGTCTGTTGAAGGAATAACTGTGTGGATATGACACATAATGTGGCTGATTAATATCTTCAAAGTTCCAATTTGGTTAAACGGTAATGGCTTTTTGTGAGGATCAACATCATGTTGTAGAATTCGGAAGTATGCGCATTTCAAGTGTTGTATTGTCCATGTAGTTTTCGAGAGCTGATTCCTGATAGGAGCTTGCTGAAGCTGTTCCAAACTGATTTTTTCTAGGGATGTTTCCCATGACACGAATATTTCCACCTGATGACTAGCCTCGTGACGCGACCAATCTGCGTCATCCCTACCTCCCCCGGCTGTCCAGCTCGTCTTGCGAGCCTTCCCCCGGAGGTACAGTTCTACCTCCCAAGTGTTCGCGTTCTCTAAAAAAACCAGGGAATATGCATGGCATCTGAAGCGTGACTCCTCCCCACCAGCTAGCTAAACAAATGTAACTCCATCCAAAGTGCCAGTGGCTTGCCAGCCAACACAGCCGTATCTAGCCTGGAGCCTGCTGGTTTTTTTCCCCTCGATCAAGCCTTCCCCCCAAAATGACTAGAAGTCCCTCAAACATGGAGCCTGTCGTCTCGCTTGTTTGCGCAACCCCACCTTGCACCCACAAGTTTCCACACTTTCGCCACTCATCCAAGACTCACCAGTAACTAGTTCCAACTCTCCCACCGCGAAGTGCGACGTGGTAAGACTCACCGACCAGACGTTTTTCAAGGGTGCTGGAAAGTGCGAGGCTCCCTGTTGTTGGGAATGTTTTGACGCAGAAACCTCGTCTTGTCGACTGGCCCTCTGCCACTCCTTGTCTCCAAGTTCCAAACCATATTCGCACGAACACCCAGTGGAAACAGCAATGGCGGAATCAGCACCATCATGGCCCCGCGCTCCCTCCCTCCTCTGCTCGGTCTGCATGCACCATGGCAAAGCTCCGCTCTGCTTTCCGACAGCGCGGTATTCCCGCCCTGGCGGCAACGCAAGCTACGCCGCCGTTCCCCTCAAGCCACAGATATTTATCAGATCCCGCCGACAGACACCTCATGGCCACATCGCGTCCGCGAGGTGTCGCCATGGTGTCCAGCACTCGTCCCCACCGCCGGAAAGATCATCCACCGCAGCCTGACAGGCGCGCAGGAACCGAGGGGAAGACGACATTCTCCACGTTCCGGCTCGCCGCAGCAGGGGGAAGCTAGCCGATGGTTTCTCCGTGGCTGAGAAAAGCGCCATTCAGGAGCCCGTTTCAGCTTTTCCCAGAAGCAAGAGCAACCGCCCTCCTTGAAATGCCTCTTCCCAATGCGTCTCCCAGCATTTTACACTTCTGGGTACTAGTGCTACCAGTAGCTATGATACGTTCTGCTGCGTCAGGCTGGATGGTTCAGTGAACTTCAACTTCATTTTACCAGTGGCAGTGTTTCAGAGTTTCGCGCAACGGCCTCATCCGCGCAACGGCCGGTCTATACCTTACGATGGGAGTAATACGCCGGAAACATTCTAGCGTCCAGAACCTTCCAGATACAGCGTTGCTATTCGCCGTCGCCGCTGCTTGCCTCTTTGCTTCCGCGGCGTCCCTCCCAGCGCATCTTTCGACTCCGAACGAATCTCAAGAGAATAATAAAATATCCGCTGCGACGCTCTCAGATCTGGTCGCGCGGAAAGCGAGGGCCGTCGATGCGACGCGGCACGCGCTGGTGCTTGTCCGCGAGGTGCGGTCGCTCAACGACAGCATCGCCGGCGCCAACCGGAGGATCCGGGATGCGTCGCACGCGCGGGAAAAGCTCAAGGTGACGTCAGCGCGACTGGAGGAGCAGCGGAAAGTCATTGACGAGCTATCCGCGATATTAGACGACCCGGTTTCGGAAACCGCCGAGCGGTTGACTCATCGGATGATGTACTGGCGACGTGCCCCTGTCTCTGACTCTGACTCGGGCTCGGGCTGGAAGCCAGATGGCGGCGACTCCTTGGGCGTTCGACTGGCGCTGGTGACAGCGGGAGCGGCGAAGCGAGAAGCCGAACGCCTCGTCGTGAAAATCGCACGGAAAGTCATGCGCCTGCGCGACAAGATCGCGTCGTACAGTATTGCAGTGACTTTCCGGGACCAGCTGGCGAAGGCTCTGGAGCAGAGGCTTCCTCTTGCAGCAGAAGCGGAGGAGAAAGCGCGCAAGGCCGTGCAGGAATACTCCACAGCATGGCGGCACGCCATGGAGTCATTTCCTGAGCGTGATGTCCTCAGAATTGTCGAAGAGCCGTCGTTAAAATGGGAAGAGGGAGGGACGACGACAGAGGGACTGGGATTGGGGAGTCAGGGAAAGGGGACGCCATCTCCAATCAGATGCAGAGATGCGGGTATCAGAATCGCAGCAGCTGATGCAGAGGAGGCTGTGGCTCGTGCGCTGCTGGACAGCCTCCAACTTGATATCAAGGTGTGGAAAGCTCAGGCTAGAGAGCGGCAGGAGGTCGAGTATGCAGAGAGTGACCTGGAATATGCGGAATTCCAGGTCAAGGGAGCAGAGAAGGACCTTGTGCAGGCGAAGGATCAGGCAGCGAAGACAGTGTGGTTGACTGCTGAACAGAAGAAGATTCTAGAAGACTCGGTTAAAGGTTTAGCGGAAGCCATGGCTGTTGAGTCGAGGGGAGATACCCAGAGAGCATGGATGCAGCGAGAGGAGGCCGAGCTGGTGAAGGCTCAGGCGGAGAGGGTGTGGGAGGAGATGGGAAGGTGGATGGAACAAGCCGAGGCGCTGGTTTTGGAGAGAACGCAGGCATGGCGGGATGCACTGGCGGAGAGAGAGAAGGCAGCAATGAAGGTAGCAGAGCTGGATAAGAGGCATGGTAGGGTGAAGCAAGCTGCTGAGGAAGCTGAGAGGCTGATGAAGCTGCTCAAGCCTATTGTGAATAAGAAACATGATGCAGCACGCGCCTCTGAGGTGGCTAGGGAGAAGTTGTTAACATTGGGTGTAACCCAATTTTTCCACTAATGCAGTAGCTGGGATAATAGGGACTGGCTGTCAGAAACTAGCTTAGCTAGGAAGCCATAGAATGGCACAAGGTTTAGCTAGGAGCTAGGAGGAGCCATGAGAATGGCGAGAGGTTTTAGGTGCTAGGAAAGTTGAGGAGAGAAAAGATGTTGGATTAGAAGAGAGGGGAGTACAAGGAGGGGTTTGTACCCCCTACAGAAAGGTTCAGTAACAACCTACCAAGCCTATGTTCAAATTATAACTTATATAATTTGAACACACCCCCTAGGCTTGGTAGTCACATGCCCACACACACCCACACCCCCTAACCTAGCACCCCCATTCCAGCCACAGTGACAGCGACTCTAGGTCGGTCGACCCCACGGTGCGTGAGGCGGCGACGTCGACCGCAGGGGCTGCGGCGGCGACGGCGGCAGCGGCGGCAGTGTCGACAGCGGCGGCGGCGGCGGCGTGCGGCTGCGTGGCCCCGACGCAAGCGGCGACAGCGGCGGCGGCGGCGGCTTCGACAACAGCGGCAGCGGCGGCGGCACCCGCACCTCTCGGTGACGTGGCCAGGCCCCGCGACGGTGGGACGGCCGGCGGGAGTCAGCCGTCGTCTGCGGAATGGAAGAGGGCACAAGGGAAGGAGGGGGGTGGGGGGGGGGGGGCGCCACAGGCTGACATGCGGGCGGCCGGTCTAGCGGCGCCATAAGCGTCACGCGGCCGGCTGCAGCCCGACGACGCCGTCATGGAGCGGCGTCGATGCCGCAGCGGGGCGTCGACGTTGCGACGGCAGCACGACGTCGCCGCTACGCCGACCGCGCGCTGTCGCGTAGACGCCGCGGCAGCGTGACGGCGCCGTCACGTCGCGACAGCATCTTGACGCGACGGCGGAGCTGCGGCACGACGGCGCGGCCACAGCAGCTGGACGCGGGCGCCATGGACGTCGACGGCGGCGCCGCGGCACGACGACGCGGCCACAGCAGCTTGACGCGGCCGCCATGGCAGCGCGAGATAGAGAGAGAAACGAGCACGCAGCGGAAACGCGAGGAGCAGGCCCACGCGGAACGAACTGCTCTAATACCATGTCAGAAACTAGCTTAGCTAGGAAGCCATAGAATGGCACAAGGTTTAGCTAGGAGCTAGGAGGAGCCATGAGAATGGCGAGAGGTTTTAGGTGCTAGGAAAGTTGAGGAGAGAAAAGATGTTGGATTAGAAGAGAGGGGAGTACAAGGAGGGGTTTGTACCCCCTACAGAAAGGTTCAGTAACAACCTACCAAGCCTATGTTCAAATTATAACTTATATAATTTGAACACACCCCCTAGGCTTGGTAGTCACATGCCCACACACACCCACACCCCCTAACCTAGCACCCCCATTCCAGCCACAGTGACAGCGACTCTAGGTCGGTCGACCCCACGGTGCGTGAGGCGGCGACGTCGACCGCAGGGGCTGCGGCGGCGACGGCGGCAGCGGCGGCAGTGTCGACAGCGGCGGCGGCGGCGGCGTGCGGCTGCGTGGCCCCGACGCAAGCGGCGACAGCGGCGGCGGCGGCGGCTTCGACAACAGCGGCAGCGGCGGCGGCACCCGCACCTCTCGGTGACGTGGCCAGGCCCCGCGACGGTGGGACGGCCGGCGGGAGTCAGCCGTCGTCTGCGGAATGGAAGAGGGCACAAGGGAAGGAGGGGGGTGGGGGGGGGGGGGGCGCCACAGGCTGACATGCGGGCGGCCGGTCTAGCGGCGCCATAAGCGTCACGCGGCCGGCTGCAGCCCGACGACGCCGTCATGGAGCGGCGTCGATGCCGCAGCGGGGCGTCGACGTTGCGACGGCAGCACGACGTCGCCGCTACGCCGACCGCGCGCTGTCGCGTAGACGCCGCGGCAGCGTGACGGCGCCGTCACGTCGCGACAGCATCTTGACGCGACGGCGGAGCTGCGGCACGACGGCGCGGCCACAGCAGCTGGACGCGGGCGCCATGGACGTCGACGGCGGCGCCGCGGCACGACGACGCGGCCACAGCAGCTTGACGCGGCCGCCATGGCAGCGCGAGATAGAGAGAGAAACGAGCACGCAGCGGAAACGCGAGGAGCAGGCCCACGCGGAACGAACTGCTCTAATACCATGTCAGAAACTAGCTTAGCTAGGAAGCCATAGAATGGCACAAGGTTTAGCTAGGAGCTAGGAGGAGCCATGAGAATGGCGAGAGGTTTTAGGTGCTAGGAAAGTTGAGGAGAGAAAAGATGTTGGATTAGAAGAGAGGGGAGTACAAGGAGGGGTTTGTACCCCCTACAGAAAGGTTCAGTAACAACCTACCAAGCCTATATTAAATTATAACTTATATAATTTGAACACTGGCACGGGGTAAAATGTGACAAAGTGGAAGTCTGTACATACATATGCTTCCGTTCGGAATCCCAACATTGACGATCCCTCTGAGGAGTAAATGCATAACATGCATATGTTGGGCAGAACTGAATTGAACCGCATTGAAACGCGGTTCCAAGACTTGCACCCAGGGCTTCATACTGGGTTTTGAGGTGCTGTTCGTTAAAATTATATAAGTTATAATTTAATATAGGCTTGGTAGGTTGTTACTGAACCTTTCTGTCGAGGGTACAAACCCCTTCTTGTACTCCTCTCTCTTCCTAATCAAACCCCTTTCTTCTCGACATTCTCTCCTCTCCTAGATCCGTTTTCCTCACGCCATTCCATGGCGGCCTTCTTGCTAGTATCCTAGCCAACCTAGCCTCCTAAGTTTAAGAACCTTGAGTCCTAAGTTTCTAAGATGGTATCAGAGCAGGTCGTGTCCACCGGACCCTCTCCCTACGTTCCCGTTGCGTACTCCTGCTGCATTCGCAACCTTCGCGGTTTTCTGCCTGCCTGCCGACGCGGCATCAAGCTGTCGCGACGGCCCCTTGTTGCCTGCCGTCGCGGCACCAAGCTGTCGCGACGGCCCCTTGTTGCCTGCCGTCGCGACACCAAGATGTCGCGACGGCCCCTTGTTGCCTGCCGTCGCGGCACCAAGCTGTCGCGACGGCCCCTTGTTGCCTGCCGTCGCGACACCAAGATGTCGCGACGGCCCCTTGTTGCCTGCCGTCGCGGCGCCAAGGTGTCGCGACGGCCCCTTGGTGCAGCCGTCGCCCGTCCGCCTCGCCGCTGCGGCATTGACGGTGCGCTGTGGCGGCGTCTAGGGCAGCCGCTGGCATCGTCGGACTGCGGCCGGCCGAGCGACGTCTGTGACGCAGCCGGACCTGCCGCCCGCTCGCCAGCCACGGGCGTCCCTCTGGACGCCGTCCTCCCGCCAGTAAGCGCCGCGCCACTTATGGCGCGTCGCTGAAGACTCGCCTCGCCCCGCCCCCCTCCCCTCCCCCCCCCACCTGCACCTGCTTCCCCTGCATCCCCCCCTTTCTTGCTGCAGCCGATGACTGCCTTATGAGGGACCTCTCCACCGCCGAGGAGATAGGACATGCCGCCGAGAGGGCGGGGGCCGCCGCACCAGCCTCTGTCGTTCGAGCCACCGGCGCCGCCGCTGTTGCCGCAGGCCTGGAGCCGCCGCACACCGCCGCCGCCGCCGCCGTCGTCACTGTCGCTGCTGCCGCCATTGCCGTCTCAAGGGGCCGTGAGACCTACCCTCTTCCGGAGTCGTTGCGGCTCCTGCTGGGAATGGGGGTGCTGGGCTAGGGGGTGTGGGTGTGGGTGTGGGTGTGGGGGTGTGCGTGGGCTTGACACTACCAAGCCTAGGGGGTGTGTTAAAATTATATAAGTTATAATTTAATATAGGCTTGGTAGGTTGTTACTGAACCTTTCTGTAGAGGGTACAAACCCCTTCTTGTACTCCTCTCTCTTCCTAATCAAACCTCTTTCTTCTCGACATTCTCTCCTTTCCTAGATCCGTTTTCCTCACGCCATTCCATGGCGGCCTTCTTGCTAGTATCCTAGCCAACCTAGCCTCCTAAGTTTAAGAACCTTGAGTCCTAAGTTTCTAAGACTGTTGACTCAGGGTGCCCCCAGCAGAAGCCCCCGTTTTTCAGGTTCGGGTTTTGGAAGTTGCAAAAATTTTCAGGGTAATTTTTTTCGAAGGCTGAATTATTAGGACTGACAAATTTCAGAGCTTAGATGATAGGGTTGAACCTTGGCGATTTTTTATGGTGGGTAGGATTTTAACCTAGAACATTATCTTAGACAGGGCATGTTTTGTCAGGCAAAAAAAAAAAGTATAACTCATCACATACATTTTTTAGGTTTCCGATCCTTAGATCGGATCGGACTTCACTGTGTAAAAATTGTCACACTACCAGTGTGATTTTGGCCAAGGACCAGTCACGCCCCTCATACCTGCTCCAACTCGCGTCAGACTTCTTGCGTGATTTTGGCGAAGGACCAATCACGCCCCTCACATCTGCTCCAACTCGCGTTACTTGCGTGATTTTGCCGAAGGTCCAGTCACGCCCCTCACACCTGCTCCAGCTCGCGTCAAACTGCCAACGTGATTTTGGCGAAGGACCAATCACGCCCCTCACATCTGCTCCAGCTTGCGTCACCTGCGTCATTTTGGCGAACGACAAGTCACGCCCCTCACAACTGCTCCAGCTCGCCTCAACCAGCCAGATAGGATTCTGTTTTAGGCTGGAAATCTGTTAAGGCTGATAATTCAGCGTGACCAAAACAAGAACATACAGTATTTCAGGCCTACTCAAATAAGAACCCCTAAAATTCAGGCCTAGGCAAAATCAAAGGCTGAAAAAACAGGTTGACCCTAAAAAAACACCCTGCTATATAGCATTTAAGGGCATTTTGTCCTGACTTCTGAAGCCCTGCTTGCACCGCATAGCACTGCGTGAGTGTTCCTTCGTGATCCTGGTTCATACGAATGCGCCCTTATCTAATATTGTTGAGAATTCAGGCTGTCACAACTTGGACACGTAGAAGTTCAGGTGAATTTGGGAATGCTTGAAGCATGCAGATTCATATCAGGTATGTTCATATCAGGTATGTTGAGTTCATATCAGCGTCGAATGGGTTGCGTGTGTTGGTGAGGAAGTTTTTTCCTATTATTGTATACGTTCTTGTTGCATACATATTAGCACATTTATGTCAACAAATATATTTATATAGATTAGCTAGGTCATATTTGTTTATAGCCCAACTAGTTTAGTTCTTAGCGAGTACA